ATAGAAATCCATGTGCTTTTCATGTCGAGGATAACAGAAGACAAGAAAAATCTGCCATCGTAATCTCTCGTATGTTAATATTTCCTGTTTTAAACAAAAGATTTCTTTATTTATCATTAAGTTGTATAAAGTGTCTCACAATTCACAGCAATTCCTAAACACTCCATTTTTAGACTCTACAAATAATGCAGACACCAATCTTCCTTCAGTTGCAAATGCCTTCGAATTGCTACTGGGTGAAATATCCAGTCTACGGGATGATTCAAGATACCTGCGAACAGGCATCATGCAAATTGTGAGCTTCCTATTTGGAAGTTTGCAGGATCGGAAATCTCAGTCAGATCACCAGAATTCGAACAAGAATGGCACAACAAAGGATCGGATATTGCAGCCGGTTACAAAGGGTATTGTAAAGGATTCTAATCCTGAAAGAAAAAACAAGCCAAGAAAAAACACGCTACGATATAATGACGAACAACAACCTAAGAATTTAATATTTGGAAATGTAGACGAGGCTTACATCAAACAAATACTAAAAGCAATTCTTGAAGAAATTAAGGAGGCGAAACATCAGGTATAAAAAGAGTATAATCGTTATATGTTATTGTGAATATTTAATCATGGATGTAATAATATTTCTATATCTTATAATTTTACTGCAATTTTTTCAGGGAAACTTATCCAGTTTGTCTCATTTTGAAGATGCTGAAGGTAAAAAAAATTTCAAACATGAACCCTTTCATTGCAAAGCCTTGCTCCAGTACTAAAGAAATGTACTGTGCAAAGCCTTCAAACTTATGTCGTTTCACCGTACATACAGAGCCTTAAGTGAGGCAATGACATTCAAAACGAGTGTAAAAAATAAGAAACAACATTGATATATGTTAATCTATTTCCACGAGACTTACGCCATTAGACTTACGCCAAATGAAAAGTTTCTTGCGCAACTTTTCATTTTCAGATAACATTTTTAAAAAACGATGAAGTAGCCACCAATTTCTAGAAATTTAAACATAAAGAAAATTTAACATTTATTTAACATTTGCTGTTTAGAGTGTCCAAATAGAAAAGAGATACCTACTGCTTTGTTGAAAGATGCTGTCAAAAAATTTTTGACAAATTTTGAAAACGAAACCCGTCATGCTCAGCAACATAAAGTAGAACACAACAAAACAATAAGAAAGGATGGCAAGTCATTAGAAAAACATACAAGGACACATAAAAAATCTCCTCAAACAAATATCCAGACATCTCTAAGAATTGAGAGACGAAAACAGGACATTCATTTTCATTCATCATCATCGAATATAAGTAAATCAAGTGACGAGTCAATAAACTCTATTTGGGATATTACCAGTCAGAACTCTTTATCATCGTCATCATCAAGCTCAACAGAGCAGGGACAAGTTATTCAAAGACCTCGAACTTCAAAAAAATTACCAATTTCCCGGAAAGCGTTACGAAAGATAAAGCATTCAAGGGAATATTTCACTGATAAAGTCTGCGACGACAGTTTAGCAAGAGATGAATGCAGCTTCTTGTCAACAAATACAAATACTCAATCACTGAACAGAGAAACTATGTCATTAGTTTCTGAGATCAATAGCTTGGACTCAAAATATGCAGGTCGCGCAGCCAACAAAGAATTTCAGACAAACAGTTATACATCAATTGAATGCAATAGAGCGTTGGACAATGCTGATGTTGCAGTTTCATCTCAACAACACAATAAAAAGCGTAAGACTGACACCGATTTGTCCAGTCAATCTCGTGATACTAAAAATGCCAGAATGAAACTAATTAAGGACGAATCCATTCACACAAAACCAGCTTCAGGCAATATCGATAAAGAACAAGTTGTTCACAGTTTCTTTAAATCCAATAAAAATAATGAAAGGTCGGACGTTAAATCTTCCGGCATGTCAGGTAGAAAAGAAAATTCCACTGGCCGAGAAAAAACACCAAAAGACCCGAAGTATTTAGGATCAGTGAAGAAAATGAGCTTCAAAGAAAGTGTTGAATCAATAAATGCACCACGATTGTCCACGCATTTGAATGGCACCTGCAAACCTGATCTTAGTGCAGACAGACTTAAACATATTCAAAAACAAAGTACACGTGATAGTTCTAAGAAGAAATCGAAGTATTTTAATCAATACAAAACTCAAAAAGAAAAATCGAAGTCGAAGTCAAAGAAATGGAAGCTTAAATCAAAATTGGTATTAACTAAAAGAAATAAGAAATCAAAAATAAAAAATAAAAATTCACCAAGTACTGATAGAAATATTGGAATTTCAACTGAAACTCTAGCACTTGACGAGCTCAATAAAGACAACGCTTGTCCAGTAAACAAGATTTTATCAACGAAAAGCAACTTTGTTAATGAAAATGACGTATCAAATGAATCTCTTAAGAGTAAATCAAAAAATAAAAAGCAATGGAAAAAAAGCATAAAACCCAAACTGAAGTTTAAGATCAAGATGCGATGGAAGAAAAAAAGTAAAAGAAAATTATTGCCAAGAGAAACGATGGGCTTGGATGAGGATAAGTTGAACAAAACTTTTGGCTCCACCCTTCAAGACAGTAATAGTGAAAACAATAATGAACGTGGATCATCATCAAAGAGTAGTTCGAATTTAGAGCAGTATTCCTTCAACAGAATTACTAAGGAACAATCTATGAGTGAAAAAGTACAAAATAAAAAGATGAAGTCAAAAAAATCTAAGTTAAAGATAAAAAACCCGAAGCAATCTAAAAAAGAAAAAAAATCATCTGACTATAAAATGACGAGAAAAAATGCAGACAAAAGTCTGATATTAAATGATTGTGATGAAACTACGACTAAAAACTGTCTTGACGATCGTAAAGATGGAAAAGGTCGCAAACTATCAACAGCAAATATCGAAAAGTTGGTGAAAAACTCTTCCTTAGGAAAAACAAAACATACCAAGACGGCGAAGACCAAGTCAGAAAAGATCAAATTTAAGATAACGTGGAAGAAGAAAAATAAAAAGCCTAAAAAGAGAATATCTAAAGACGATTGTTCTAAAAACGCGGAGGTATTTAAAGAGTCGGTTGAAAAGAAGGACAACTACAAAGTTGATAAGAAAAACAAAAAACTTAAAGCAAATAAACTAAAAATAAAAGTTAGGCTACCTTGGAAGAAGAAAAGCAGTAAATTTAAAATAGAACATGCATCTCCGACGACAACTAACTTTGTTGATCCATCAAAAGATAAAACTAGTTATCAGTTCACCACAGATGGTATAGGCGATGGTGTATTGGGGTCTCTTTCGAATCAACTGGCAACTTACACGAATGAAATGGAATTTGCTGATAATCTTTCGTCTGAAATTCGTGACTTTGAACACAATGGAAGAGTTATTGTTGTCAAAGCACTTGAAACAGACAATGAAGCAAAAGGTTCTGATACAGACTCGATCAAAGAAAAAGAAAATGTTCCTACTGAAAAATGTCTTGAAAAGCAACTTTTTGCTTCGGACGCTGTTGATCCATCTAATCATCATACAACAAATAGTCAAATCAAGGCACATGAAGACAAGGATAGACAGCTGGCATTGAAAACTGTCAGCACTTTTGTGGAAAGCTTCGACTCACCTAAGAACTCCTTTGTCAAAGAAGGTGTTAACAGCAGCCAAGAATGCAACCAAAAATCAAAATCTGGAAGAAAGAAATTCAAGTTAAAAGTTAAACTACCGTGGAAAAAGTCGAAGAAGAAAAACAAGTTATCAAGCGATTTCAAATCAAGTAAAATGACAAATACAAGATCCACGATTGAAAAAATTGATTCAACTGGAAATAAACCCTTTGTCGATTTGAACAACAATAAAAATGCTGAAAATCTTCAATTTGAGCAAAACGAAAGCACATGCAATAGCACACGAGTAATTAATGTGAGATCTGTCAAGACTGCTGGTGAGCAAGGGCGCAATAAAACTGTACTGAATCGTAAATATATTCCTACAATCTTCAAAGGAAATGCTTGGGGTGAAAATCCTATAGAGGAGAATAAAATCTTCCATAATGATCATGATTTAAATGCGTTCAATCCACCACAGAAGGCCAAAAAATCGTCTCCACAAACGAAATCTTTTGCTGATCTAGTTGGTGACAAAGAGCAATCGATTGTTGATAATTCATCAAGCCCTAAAAATGACGAGAAAGACCATTTTTTGGCGTGTGTTTCAAAACTAGCCCGCATTCAAAGACAACGCTTGAGGAATTGATCACGATAAGGTTCAGTGATTGCCTTCCAGATGTTCTTTGATAGAAATTAAACGTTACACAAACTGATACTAATGGTGTACATAGTTCTTAAATTAAATATGACATTCGTAATTTTATGGTTAAATAGTTCATTAATAAATAAGTTTGTGTCAAAAAATGCAAGGCTTTCTGATTTTCTCGGTTGAGTCTGTTGACTGATTCATCGTATTGATTACGACAGCGACGCAACCTTTTTAATAAATTTCATAAAACTAAATTGTTTATGACTATGTTTAAAATTATTTGTTGGGCTCCAATATTTATATTGAGAATCCGTTTCCCGCCTGGCACCTCATTGGCAACAATATTGATAAATCGATAAAAGTATTCCACAATAGAACGCACTTGCCAGAAAGATATGTTTATTATGTGCAAAAACCTTCGCCTGGATTTACCAATCCAGGAAGCTATTGAAATTGAAAGCATGGTCTTATCATGAATTATAGCGACGAATTCAATATATATGTAATAATTTATAATGATTGTTGGAATAGTAATATAAAAATAAAATAATCAGCATTCTGGTTTGGTCCACTGATCTGTGCAGACCATTGAGTTCTATAATAACCATTGAGTTATTATAGAACTCAATGGTGCAGACTGTGGTTTGGTCATTTCAGGTTCACTGTCAAAGGGCTCATCATTGTAGGTAAATGTGTCACCCCCCTGTCTCTAACATCTTACGTAACATTATGCAAGACCAGGTCAGCCAGATGTCATAAAAAAAGACGAAGTTCAAAAAGCGAAATATTTTGTCATTAATTTTGGAGTTATATCAAATGACACAGATTCAAAATGTATTTATTTTCGAAGCATAGCTTAAAAATTGTTTTTCGAGCATACAACAAGAATATGTTTCGTTCTTGTGAGAAGAAAGTGTCTCAGATCTGGAGACATTTACATCAAAGCATGGGCAAGTGTGAAATTTAAACTAACTCATTTTGTAAAAGTAAACACGTGTTTATTGTATCGGTTTTTACTGTAGCTGTCTTTTCTGGTGAATATGAATGGAAAGATCCCCAAACGCCAGATGAAATGTAAACGTTATTTAAACTTTGTCATTAAATATTGAAATTGTTTTATGTAATACTTTGAATTTTATTCACAGTGTGAATGTGAAATATGTAGATCAAAATGGTGAATCTAAATTAGTTCAAGGAAAAGTTGGAGATAATGTAATGTACTTAGCACATCGTCATAATATTGAAATTGAAGGTATCTGTGATATTTTTGATGATACAAGTAAAAAGTTCTTTTATAATTCTCACACTACAAGCATCCACTTTGATTCAACAAGGAAAAATATGAATTGTTTAATATCTTTCTACTAAATAAATATAGTTAAAAAATTGTTAATTGCAAATTCAATTGTAAATTTGTCTTTTGATTGGATTGATACAGTTGAAGAACACAAGCACTTGTAGACTAAATAATCTAGCCATTAATAAAACATCTTTTTTTGATTCATCAATGCTTAAAAGGAATTGCAGGGGAGAATTATCTATATAATACAAAACAGTTTGATTTTACCAATACTTCGAAAAAATAGCTCAAAAATATTATATTATTTTAGTCTTGAAACTTAAGCAGCTCAGACAACTGGTAAATTGAATAAAAATATGTGAATAATAATAATTAAAGTTTATTTTTGATTCATGAGTTGAAGAAATTGAAGAAAGATTGTTTTTTAGGTGCATGTGAAGCATCGTTAGCATGTTCAACTTGTCATGTTTATGTAAAACAAGAATACTTTGATATATTGCCTGAGACAGAAGAAGCGTAAGTTTTTATGTATGTTTTTCACAAAATCTTTTTAAGTGTTACTTAATATGTTGTGAAAATGAATGAAATTATTTTCATTTAGAGAAGAAGATATGTTGGATATGGCTCCCTTTTTACAAGAAAACTCCAGACTGAGTATGTTTTTTACTAAAATGATTTTTGGAGTATAACAGTGGATCTTAACATTATGTGTTGATAATTAACATAAATGGTCGAAGTTCCACATTGGTTTATATTGTCAAATGATGACATACGTATTCTCAACACCTAGACTTTACACCATAAATAACAACAGTTCCACACTCTGTAGAGTCTATACCATAAACCAACAATAAAAGTTCCACACTCTGTAGAGTCTTTACCACAAACCAACAATAAAAGTTCCACACTCTGTAGAGTCTTTACCACAAACCAACAATAAAAGTTCCACACTCTGCAGAGTCTTTACCACAAAGCAACAATAAAAGTTCCACACTCTGTAGAGTCTATACCATAAACCAACAATAAAAGTTCCACACTCTGTAGAGTCTTTACCACAAACCAACAATAAAAGTTCCACACTCTGTAGAGTCTTTACCACAAACCAACAATAAAAGTTCCACACTCTGCAGAGTCTTTACCACAAACCAACAATAAAAGTTCCACACTCTGTAGAGTCTTTACCACAAACCAACAATAAAAGTTCCACACTCTGTAGAGTCTTTACCACAAACCAACAATAAAAGCTCCACACTCTGCAGAGTCTTTACCACAAACCAACAATAAAAGTTCCACACTCTGTAGAGTCTAGACTACAAACAAACAATAAAAGTTCCACACTCTGCAGAGTCTTTACCACAAACCAACAATAAAAGTTCCACACTCTGTAGAGTCTAGACTACCAACAAACAATAACAGTTTAACACTCTGTAGAGTCTATACCACGGAGAAACAATAACAGTTTAACACTCTGTAGAGTCTATACCATAAACAAACAATAACAGTTTAACACTCTGTAGAGTCTATACCATAAACAAACAATAACAGTTTAACACTCTGTAGAGTCTATACCATAAACAAACAATAACAGTTCCACACTATCTAGTAAACTGAGGTTGTTTTTTAGTATACCAAAAAATACTCTTTATTCAGTTTTTTTATATATTTTTTGACGATTTTTGATTTTCTTGTTTTTCAAGGAATATCTTACAGTCTAGACTTTACTCTATAAAATCTTCTATTATGGTGATGCGTTGATACAATTGAGCATTACTACAAATATACAATAAATTAAGTATTTTTGGCTCATTTAAATATTCTACAGATATACTTATGTACACCTAAGCTTGTTATTTATTCTTACTATAAATTTGTAGCTATAAGAGTCATCTTGCTATGTTAACTGTGCAAATCAAGAAATAATTGTAGATGCTACGTATAATGATTTTTACTTGATGATTTTATTGTTAATTATGCAGGTTGTCAGTTATTGTTGACAAAAGATCTCGATGGTATAGAGGTTGTTTTACCCAAAGCAACTCGAAATTTTTATGTCGATGGTCATGTTCCTCAGCCACACTGATTGACCCTCGTGATCCTCAGCCACACTGATTGACAGTCGTGATCCTCAGCCACACTGATTGACAGTCGTGATCCTCAGCCACACTGATTGACGCTCGTGATCCTCAGCCACACTGATTGACAGTCGTGATCCTCAGCCACACTGATTGACAGTCGTGATCCTCAGCCACACTGATTGACGCTCGTGATCCTCAGCCACACTGATTGACGCTCGTGATCCTCAGCCACACTGATTGACAGTCGTGATCCTCAGCCACACTGATTGACAGTCGTGATCCTCAGCCACACTGATTGACAGTCGTGATCCTCAGCCACACTGATTGACAGTCGTGATCCTCAGCCACACTGATTGACAGTCGTGATCCTCAGCCACACTGATTGACAGTCGTGATCCTCAGCAACACTGCTTTGCAGTCGTGATCCTCGGCCACACTGATTGACAGTCGTGATCCTCAGCAACACTGCTTTGCAGTCGTGATCCTCAGCCACACTGCTTTGCAGTCATGATCCTCAGCCACACTGCTTTGCAGTCATGATCCTCGGCCACACTGATTGACAGTCATGATCCTCAGCACACTGCTTTGCAGTCGTCATCCTCAGCCACACTGATTGACAGTCGTGATCCTCAGCCACACTGCTTTGCAGTCATGATCCTCGGCCACACTGATTGACAGTCGTGATCCTCAGCCACACTGATTGACAGTCGTCATCCTCAGCCACACTGATTGACAGTCGTGATCCTCAGCCACACTGATTGACAGTCGTCATCCTCAGCCACACTGATTGACAGTCGTGATCCTCAGCCACACTGATTGACAGTCGTGATCCTCAGCCACACTGATTGACAGTCGTGATCCTCAGCCACACTGATTGACAGTCGTGATCCTCAGCCACACTGATTGACAGTCATGATCCTCAGTCACACTGATTGACAGTCGTGATCCTCAGTAGTCACTAAATTAGTCCTAAGTAGTCACAAAATAAATCAAATTGTAGGGCCTCGGCTAACTAAAAATCGAATCATAAATGGCATTCTAAATAAAAAGAGAATCACAAGTAAACTCCTCCAATGTAAATTGATAATAAAAACTTACATTTTGTATTTCATGTGCTATGAAAAGTTGAGTTACCTAAGTTAAATATCACGTTGAGATATTTACATTTTGATATATGTTATAATCTTAACAATTTGTCCGTGCTAATATTGCAGCGTACAAGAGGTGAAATTCGCTCAAAAAAGATTGAAATTATGCATTTAAAAATTTTGGTGCTAAAAATCGGTATACTGTAACATAAGTACTATTCAATAGCTAGTTTTTTGTGACTTGAAAGCTCATCTTTCAATTGCGGTCAATGATTTAGGTTTCCATAAAGCTTTGACTAAAGTTGTTGCTTCATCTTCTTCTGTCTCTCCCTGAATTTGATCTTCTTCAACATCATACTCTCCAATTTGCTGACAACCAATATCAAAGAGATATTTTCCTTTACCTTTCATACAGTTATCTGCAAATCGACCCGAGTATCGATGATTGGCGTGTGTCAATTCACCTACACCTTCACAAAGACCGTTGCTCCAGGTTCCGTGATAACGTGAGTCAGTCATTTTGAATGTGTAAACACCTGTGCATGAGAGAAGATGTGTCAAAAAATGGGTAAGCATTATTGCAAGATGTAACCAAACTGATCCTGTGTGTATTTTTATTTAGCATTGCAGTCAGTCTTTTGACTCGTTCATTTTTTAAGAAATGAATTGTGTTTTATAGAGATATTGAACACAAAAGTGGTGTTACTGGAAGACTGCCCCGGTTTAATTTTTACTATATATTTTATCTTTTTTAATCGTTAAGGCATTCTTTGAAGGAAGCTGTTGGATCAATGTGCTAGATGTCCCCAGGGCCCTTCGAGTCGTAATCAGTACCTTGTCCTTGTCTTTTGTTTTCATACCAGTCTCCCTCATAAATATCGCCGTTTGCATAATAATATGTTCCAAATCCTTGTTTTTCATCATTCACCCAGTTGCCTACGTATTTTGAACCGTCTGGATAGACAAATGTACCATAGCCGTTTTTCTTTCCATTTGTGTAACTACCGATATACCTTGCACCATTTTTAAATCTGAATACCAAAAAGAGAAGAAAAGATTTTGTATAGAACAAAATACTTTGGTTTTGCTTAACCATGATAATGATGTTCATTGACAGCAATGTTAGCGCTACTTAAACAATTGTCGTGTCGTGCCGACAATTTCTGATTTTTTTGCTAGATTGCTACTGTGAGAGAATCAGTTAGCTTTTATCAGTTAGCTATTTTGTATAATTATTAGTTAATAGTGTCATATTAATGTGATTTGTTCCTCTGTGAAAGCTAAAATAATGTCTTCAGATTGTTTACGTTTATGAGAATGTAGTAAAGTGTTACTTGTATGTCCCCTGTCCGTTTCTCTTCCCATTTTCATAAAATCCTTCATAAGTATCCCCATTTGGTAGTTTTGCCTTTCCTTTGCCGTGCCTTTCTTCGTTTTGATTACGTTCGCCTTCGTACTCGCCAAGATATGGACCTTCTTCCCCTTCGATTGATTCTTCGTCAGAAGACATTGCACCTTCTAATTTTAGTTCTATTTGCTTTAGAGTCTCAAAATTTACTCAATGAGCAAACTAAAATTCTAACTTAAAATATATGCGTGTATGTTGCAGTCTTGCTGAGGAAAGTTTTCATTTATATATCACATGTAGCTATAGAAACAGTGAAATTTGATTCTTTGTTGACAGGTGGATAAAATGATATAACATTTGTTATTTATTTATTTTTTTACACTTTAAAGCACTGACATAACTATTTAGTCTCTTTAACATGCAAAATGCTGTAAAAAATTGCGTTTTCATTTTCATAACGAATCGCTTTTCTTACTAAAATATGATGTGGCCATAAAACATTTTTAGTGTCTTTTTGACAGATGGAAATCTGTCTCTACATTGAAACTGTCTCCTCTCGGCAGGAGCCAGAATTTGTCCAGGGATTTTCTACTGAAATGTCGCTTTTTACAAAATGTCTTCATACTATTTGCCATGACTTTCACTGTATCCAAAAGAAATATATAGAAGGTTTGAATATGTATGAGAATGAAATTTTATGTATGAAATCCCAGTCAGGAAAATAGTTTATCCACATGACAACTGACTCAAGTGACCTGAGTGTGTGTTTTAGACACTCAATATTTTTAAACTTTAAAAAGCTTTCAGATCCACCGAATGTAGATGTTTTGTAACCAATATTTATGTAATGATGCTCATGATGTACCTGTAATATGTTGTTTTTTATGGTATTTTATTAATTACTCATTGTTATTTCTTAAAGAAGTAATTTTCAATGAAGTTTTGTATGCTAGTTGTGTCATTACCCATGTTTCAATAATTTTAAACACAATATAATATTTGAATACATATCAGTAAAACTGTACAATGTAATCCTTTTGTTTAGGAAAACATTTTGTAATTTTTTTAGATTTACCAAAGCATATTATGCTTTTGATCATTGAGGAGTTACCTCCTTTTCATTTGGAAACTCTTGAAAATATGAATTTTTTTGAACCAAAAGGTAATGTGAAAATATATTTAGACACGTAAATAAATTCAGTATAAAGATTTGATATGGAAAGTTTGTAAACATTTTCCTTTTATTACATTGTTGGATGATGACCATTGTAAGACAGTAGCCAGTAATATACCTTATAACAGACATGCCTTAAATGTCCAATATATGACAAGCATTTTGATCTAAATAGAATTTTATATGATCAGAAATAAGTTTTGTTTTATCATGAAATATTGGAGTTAGGATATTAACTATTAAAATGCATATTTCTATAAGTAATGTTGTAACGGTGATGGATAGGATTCGAAGTGAAGAGATTAGAGAAAGAGTTGGTGTTGAGTGTATCGAGAATTGGGTAAGGCGCCAGCGTTTGAGGTGGTTTGGGCATGTGGAAAGGAGGGAAGAAAGTGCTGAAATTCGTAGAATGTTGTATATGAATGTTGATGGAGTCCGCAAATGAGGTAGACCGAGAAAGAGATCGATGGATGCTGTGAACAGTGATATGAAGGCGATGGGTATAACGAGAGATATGGCGAGAGATAGAGACATTTGGCGTAGAAAAGTTCATGGACCGGTCAACCCCCCTGGCAGGGATTAATACTGGCCAGTATACAAATGTTGTTTGTTTGTTTGTTTGATATTTCTATAAGTAAACTTACATGTATGTATTGTTGTAGTTTTTAAATAAATGGTGATTTAAGTATGACAGTTTGGATAAAAACTAAATCAAATGATTAGCGGAATATTTCATGAGATAATAAAAGTAAGTAGTATTGTAAATGTGAATATGAAGCGTAGTGAGGTTGTCAAAAGTCATCAACTTCTTTCCATCCTTTAAACATTTAGTAATCTTGAGTTGAATTTGGACTTTGGACTTGATGATGTTTTGATGAATCATTAAGTCAAAAAGACAAAATGAAATGCAACATAGAATGAATTGTATTCTATAGGATTCAAAATACTTATTTGAATGGGTTTAATAACAGTCCATTTTTCTCCCAATCATGTACTTTGTTATCAACCTCTAATCACTATATCATTACTTTCAAAGACTCTTTTTCTTTCGTATGATAACTCTAACTAAATGTAGCATTGACAGGCGTTTTCTTGTTATAACTAGCTTTTACGTAAAATCATCTTTCAAATATCTCTGCCAACGTAATAATCAACTCATTCTCTACAGGCCATCGACCAATACGTTTTCATTCTGTATAATGTTTTTTACCAACTTAAAATGCCTTCACAGATTTACTGAGTATCTCATTGCACCCACGTTTTGCCAAAATATTAATGTTGTTATCACAAACTTTGCATATATCATTCAAATCGTTTCTATACAGACATAACCTAAGTTGAATGCTTTTTTCTCTCGGCTACTCTTTACAATAAAACATTGCTCTTCGACTTTATCAAGCAGAAGTCTCTTTTATTGACGTTGACATTGCACGCTCTGAATAAAGAAATCCAGACATCCTTTCATCGTGAACCCACATTCACTTTTTTTTACCAACTTTTATGTCTTCATCTATAACACCGCCTCTTCTTTTCCACTTTGCATCTTCTATCTCTTTCTCGAGCTACGAAAACTTCATGCTTTAATCAAAAATACCTCTAATGTAATTGGTTTCTTTTCCTACTTGTGTTTTTGGCAGTTTTAACTATGGTAATTTTTTCATTCTTCCTTTTTCCCACTTGATTCTTCATGAATGGATTTTCATCATCTAAGTCAAATCCTTGCTAAATATTGAACTTATTTTCCGTCCCATTCAATCTCTTTTGATTCTCAAACGATCCAAATCCTTTTTTTAAGTGAAACTTTACATGTTAAAGTTCTTGATACTAACTTACAACAAAATTTATTGATAATTTAAACATTTATAAGATTTACATTTATATATCCAAACATACTATAAAATTAAATTTTATTTAGTCTATTGAAATTTTGTTCTTAGCTTTTTTGAAATATTGTGTTTGGAGTATGTGACAAATGATCTTGACTGGGAAAGCATTATTTTCTTTCAAGGTATCTCAACAGAAATGATTTGGAAAAAGCATTACGACAGACATTTCAAGGAACCACCAAGTATAGTTAACTTGAGATGTTTAAACATAGATAACATCAAATCATGGAGATCAAAATACTTTGAAAGGCATTTTATACAACTTCTACATGCTTTATCAAGCACAACTGCTCATGGTAATAGACCAATATTAATTTTCAAACCAATCTTTGCTTTTCAGCTAAGTCCTAACTAAAATAATAAGATGCAATACTATGTATGTGTAGCTAGCAGTTTTTAGTGGTACAGTAGAGCCTGTATTAAGCGGTCACCCTTGGCGATTTCTCTTGTCACCGTTTAATACAGTTTGACCGCTTAATATACTGGTCTTCAGGAAAATCACCAGACGGACCACGTGTGATATTTCATACAACTAAAGTTGAACCAATCGCTATTCTTCCTTAACCTATACGCCAAACAACCACACTATATAAAGCGATTTTTTTTTGTTTGAACTACAAATTAAAAATAGTATACATAGAAATTTCACGGCTCAAACTGCTGAAAAATAATCAATGGCAAGCGTGTCAACAGAGAAAGTGGTTATAACTTATAAATTCCGTGCGTATATATATCCCTTTCTTGGAGATATGTTTTCTTGTCAATGGCTGAAGGGACGATGTATACAATATAAGTGACATGTTCCAGAAAAAATATTTAGTTTGATATTTTATTATGGGGTGCATTTACTTAACCTGACCGTTTAATACAGTTTCAAAACAATGAAAAATTAAGTTTGCGACTTTGGAAAAGGTGACCTCGTTCGCTTAATAGAGGTGACCATTAAATAAAGGTCACTTTGATAATATTTATATTATGAAATTTTCGGGACTTTGTCATATGACCGCTTAACACAGGGTGACCGCTTAATACAGGTTCTACTGTAATTTTCAACATTATTTCTATATTTGGAAGCTAATGTGAAAACATAACAAATACTGACTAATTTCATAGTTCTTCACACTTCGAATTATCCTTTTTCTTTATAGATTCTAATAGTTTGAATGAACAGTTATTCCGACTGCCTTTTGATGATAAAATTTCGAATTGTCTTCAATACGACACAGATGTAATTATCGACGTTTGCATCAAACATACAACTAGACTTCGTTTTTATCATAATGCTGTTTGTAAATATCTTGCAAGACAGGAAAAATTGCTAAGGAGACTTGGTGAGGTTGTCATTGCTTTGGATGTGAATCAACTTCGTGACATTAGCATTGATCCTGTTGCTCGAATCCTGAAGGTCCTTTTTCAACATGAGCTACGCTCTGTTTGTTTTACAAATTGTAAAGTGGAGAAAAAAGAAAGCGTTGAAACTTTATTGAAAACCATCAATGTTGATCATGCTGTTCGATATTCTAATGAATGCAACAACGTGGTATTTTTTGCAGAAAAAGAACAATGCTGTGAAAAAGAAAGAGATGATATCTCGAACAATGAAATATTTTTTATCGGGCAAAACAACTTGAAAGAGAACAATGATCAATGCTGTGCATCGTCGTCATCTTATTTGTTAAATACTGGTAGTGACAGCAGTAAGAGTGTTGCTGATAATTTAGAGGAGGCGTTTTTTTTCAGTGATGAAGGACATGATACTGATGATGAGCTTTTTGAAGATATATTTTCTTTTCGTCATTTTGAACAAGAATCTCCTGTGTGTCGTGGCCAATTAACATCATTACACAAACAAAAGTTTTTTCCCTCATCAAAACTACGCCCGTTCTGTTTAACTGAATTGAAGATTTCATCCTGGAGCTTACTAAATGATACTGTTGAAACTTTTGCTGAAGAATTAAGGCGTTGTGTTTATCTACGAACCCTATCATTGTTTGATGTTGGTGATTCATTAGCAATGTACAAGATTATTGAAAGTATGAAGGAACTTGTTTTATATGGTTCACTGCAAGATCTTACTTTTGATAATTATAATCTCACAGCAGAATATTTTGATTTGTTTTGTGACATGATAAGTTCCACTTGCGAAGAGTGTAAGGTAATTAGCCAGAAAGGTTTGAATTCACTTAATGTCTCTGCTCATGGACCTTTATCCTTGGAGAAATTTGGAGAAGTGATCAAAACGTGTTCGTTTTGCGAGGTACACGACATCAACGATCATCTTCTTATGACAAGTAACCACGTGTTCAATATGAATAGATCTACTGATACGTCAAAATGCAGTAACATTACAAGAGGCATTGAAAGTTTAGAATTTAGTTTTCTTGTAAAACATGACACCTTTACAAAATTTTCAAGGTCGCTTTTACGAAACCGAACTTTGAAATGCATTTCTTTACCGGATTGTGAACTTTATAATGAAGATGTTTGTTTTATTTGTGATTGTATTTCAGGTAATCATTTTACACATTAATATTCGCTAACATGAATTTATATGTTTGAAACTTTCTTGTGAATCATCAATTAATTCATTGGTTTCAATTACACAATGTACAATTCAATATCTTGGCTATAATAATTTTTTTTACAGGCAGTAATTCTCATGATGTCAACACCGAAATAAAAAAGCTCATTTTGCAAAAGAGTCATATTCAAATTCAAAATACGGAAACTAGCTCAAGTCTTTATAGGTTGCTATCTAAGAGCCATTTGGTATACTTGGATATATCATACTGTGGTTTGGAAGGTTAGTAAAACCATGTTTTTTGTTTAAGTCATGTTTGTTATTGATGATACTTTAATCAAAATTCCTTCTTGCGTTTTCTTTCAAAGTGATTCCTGATAACATTGTCCTGGCCTTGTCTTCTAACAGATATTTACAAACGCTAAGGGCTGCAGGCAATAGACTCTGTACGTATGTATGTTGATTTATAACAATATTTTTAACTTTAATATATAAGCTCTTTAATTAGCTACAGATTGAGGAATGTTAAATTTTGAAATCATAGCTTTAAATCATTCTTTTATACATGTATCATGTGTTGAAGTCTGTGATTGTTTAAACGTGTATTGGGCACATCTAAATGTATATGTTTAATTACTTTCTACCATTTAAGTTTTAAACAATCTAAGTGTATTCCATCGCCATGATTCATTTAATGTACACAAAGTAGACTGAGTGTGCATCTTTATTCACGCTTATAGTTCTGTGGTGGTGATACTTACTACGTCAGTTTTTCCATTTAATGCTAGATGATACAGCTGTCATTCAATTGAGTAAAGTGTTCGTCGATCCAGAAAAAGGCTCGGTTTTAAATAACATTGATGTAAGGTACGTTCACAAGTCACTTGGTTGTTATAGTACTCAGTTATGTTCCTGTAATGGTTATCCTTCCTAATCTTTTCATCTTCCTACTTCCTTTTTTGTTGGCTTTCGTTTGAAACACTTGGTAACGTGGTCTCTTGTTTGAAATTTGATAAACTTTATGCCATGCACTCTAATAGTGGTATTGTTTTTTAGAGAAAACAGATTGACATCTTCTTCTCTTATTGTGTTGGCAAAAGTTTTGACATCTTGGCCAAGAAAGCTTCGCGTAATAGATATTGGTGACAATGATTATAAAGTTGTTGATGTTGTTCGCAAGCCTTTGGAAAAAGTGTTTGATTTTGTTTTTACTGAAGCGGGTGAAAATGATACCACATTCGCGGATTGTGTTAGTGAAATGTGACATAGTCAAATATCTTGGCTCATGCGAGTAAAATTCATTTGGGAAACAGTTGGCATAACCATGGACGTTGAGAGATAGTTGTACCAAGAAGTGTAGCAAGTGCAATCTTATGACGATTGAATGTAAATCACAATACCTCTCATAACGCACATATACGTCTTTGTAACAATTGTGTCATAATCTTAGAATGAATACAAGTGTCTGGCAGAAAACACGAAAACTTCATCTTGGAAATGGTCATTTTCTTAAACGTAGAACAAGAGGAACCGAGCGGCCGCGACAGTGGGAAAAGAGTTGTGTTCTAAAATAAATAGACCTTCACGGACAAAGAATTGTGCAACGAATACTAACTTAACTTTATTTTAAAGTGTCTTTTGTATAAAATGGTTTCACCCAATTACGACGTTGAAAAACTCGCGAGGAGTTACGACAAACTACTTGGAGTAAGTCTAAGAATGGAGAACAGATGATTATAAGATTGGGATTGAGAAAGCCAAAGAGGGAATACAAGGTATTTGAATACAAATTTGAAGAGACTGATTATGGGAGAGGAAAGTGTATTGAATGTTCGTAGAATGCTTAAATGGTTGAGGATAGAACATTAAATGTAAAAATCCTTGTACGCAGCCATGAAAAACGCGATTAGGATGAAACTTAAAATGAACGCGCTAAAAACTTAGTGTAGAGGAGTAATGGTAAAAGTGTGGAAGGGATTTTGTTTCACTGATAAAATGGATATTAGGATGTCGGTGATATAGAATCTTTGATAGGATAGAAACTGGCGAATTTCATCGACAGATGATAGGATTTTGGTGATTTAGATTGAATAGAAACTTGGAATTTCACCGATGTGGCGTTGAAATAATGGCGTCAATCATCGACACAACGGAGCTACGTGTACTATTGTTTTGAAGTGGACAACTTGTTCATAAAGGAAACATTAACATTAAAATGTACTCCCACGAATATGCTGCCGGAAATCTTCATATTGGACTTATACGGCACATACTCTTCCTCTCGATGTTTACGGATCGTATCAAATACCAAATACATTTCGTCTATAAGATGGCTACGCTACTATTCATGCTTTGTTAACTTTTTCAACAAGCTCAAAGGCCAGAGTATCACGAATTGTTTTGCGAACTAATTTTAATTCAATTTCTAAAACTTTTATTCCAATAAAATTCCATAATTTTAAGAAACTCTTTATCATCACTGAACTGTTGCAATTATAAAATATATGATGTCTCATTGTTGATTGGTTGTTATAAAAGTCTACGTAAGTGTTTTGGTATTTATCTTAGATTTTCACTCGTTGCCAACTGTACATGTTTTTTTAAAATAATTAGTTTAGGCCTCCAACTTCAACTTTCAACTTCCTCCGTGATTATTTTACATCATTCGACAGCTCCAATTAGTTTCAATGACGTAAATGATACATTTATGGCACATTTCACAGCACGTGAATACCTATTTAAATTTAATCCCCTCTTTCTCTATACAAAGTACTTCCGGTAGTTGAATCTCCGTAAAATTGTATTATTATATAGAAGTCAGGGGGGGATACCAATTATTTTTACTTATTTAAATTATAATTACTATTGGTAACAGCTGTTACGTATTTTGAACTAAACTTTCATTTTCGTCATAAAACATATATTCATTTTCAAACAAACTTAGATTTATGAATGTGCGGTAGGCATACCATTCTCGGTAAAACTTGACAATTAAAATAGTGTAAGCAATTGTTTTATTGAAGCTGAATAGGTTGTAGTATTGTCTACATCCTAACGACGACATGTTTTAGATCCTCATACCGGTCTGATAACACTGTCATTCCATTTTTTGTGATGCTTCGGTTGTGAAATTTTAAAACTTTGACGAGGTATTGAAATTTTCTCTCTTGTCTTCGAAATGAAATTAAAACTTTTTGGACAAATCAAACTTTTGCTTTGGAAAAACTTCTCCATTCGTCGTCGTCAATGGGTGAGTTAACTGAGTTGTTATTTATTTGTTTTAAAACACTAAAACAACACTTATTTAATACGAAATAAAGTTAACTGTTTGCTATGAGGTACACTTGTATTGAAGTTTACATTCATTCAGCGATGTTATATACAGAAATTAACGTAAAATTTCTTATGTTAGACTTAATTCGTTGCATTTAGCTGGTTTCCTATCTGAACTGCTACGTAGAAAACATTTTAGATTTTACATATAACAGAGAAGTTATTTTCAACATTACTGAAGTGAATTTAGTGTTCATATTTCAAAGCAAGGAATGCATTTTCTTCTTAGTTTCATCTCTTCATTTACCGTGTTTGTGGGTGACGGGAACAATATTTTTTAGAAGATAAAGTTCTTTATGTTGATGAAACTCTTTCAATCGACTGCCACCTGTCAGTTCTGTTTGTCTACTTGTGTTTTAAAAAAAACCCTACAAAATTTTGTCCTTTTTATGTAGCTCTTGAATAGTTGTATTATTTCATCCTTATGATTGAAATTGGGCTAATAAGGTTCAAGTAATTGTGCATTTTTTAGCTTTAACAGTTTTTGTTTATGATTCATGAACATCAGAACATCTGTATGTAAGCTTAAGTGATAATGCAGCTGTATCCATAAAAGTATAGAACATGTAACTGCTTGGAGTATATTTCTGGCATAAATTTTTGCTTTATTGCTGTAAGATATAGTTCTACAACATTTCTTATTCACATTTGGCCAAGTATTATCTAGGAATTCTAGTTAAAAAAAGTGAAGAAAATATTGGAAAGAAAATCTTAGTTGCATTAGAGGCATTAACCCTGTGCCATTTATATTACCTTTCAGTAAATGTGCCATTCATTTTATTTGGCATTAAGCCTGCGCTGTTCATATTGCCTTCCATTAAATCTGTCATTCATATTGATTGCAATTAAGCCATTGCTATTCATATTGTCTTCCATTTAACCTGCCTGTCTTGCTATTGCCTTCTATTAAGCCTTCCATTTATATTGTGTGGCATTAAACCTGCCCTTAGTATTGTCTGGCATTACCCCTGTGATATACATATTGCTTCCCATTAGGAGTGTGCCCCTCATATTGTCTTGCAATGCCATTAGCATTTTTTTGGCATGAAATACAATTAATTGAACATTTGCATTTTTATAGTTAAGAAATGCTATTGAAATCTTATGGCCATTAATGCTGTTTTTGATCTTGGTGTTGGTAAGACAACGACGTCCACCATCGTTTAGATCAAGTGGTAAATACGTGTGTACTAATTTGTTCATGTATATCAATGATCATTGTCAATCTTTTGATTTTGTTACTCAATCAAATGGTATTAATATTTTAGTTGTGTTCCGTCCTGAAGCTTTGCCATCGGCAGGTCTTGTTCCATTTTTACAAAGTTTCTTCTGTGGTATAACAGATCGTGGTACAATTTATAATGGAAATAATAGTATTGATCTGCCTAGCAATAAAAGGTAGGAAATACATTGACATGATTTAAATTAACTAATCATATTGGGAAATATTCAAAAATGTCATTCATAGGCATAGGAACAAATTAAAAAAATTTTAACACTTTGGTTAAATTATCTTATGTAGAATAGTTGAATTGTTGAAGGAACTTCAGGTTTTTTTTGATAATCAAGGTGTAACTCAAGGTAACTTGTTTGATTGTGTTCATCATTTTTATTCAATTAACTGTTATTGTGTCCCTCAAAGTATTCATTAATTCATGTGTGTCCATCAAATGTATTCATTAATTCATGTGTGTCCATCAAAGTATTCATTAATTCATGTGTGTCCATCAAATGTATTCATTAATTCATGTATGTTCATCAAAGTATTCATTAATTCATGTGTGTCCATCAAAGTATTCATTAATTCATGTGTGTCCATCAAATGTATTCATTAATTAATGTGTGTCCATCAAAGTATTCATTAATTCATGTATGTTCATCAAATGTATTCATCTATGTCCTTCCCAATCAGGGATGTATCTAGGATGATTTTGTGTGTTGCTGTAGTTTTTATAAGATGTCATTTGGTTAGTCTAGTTTTGGTTTGATTTCGGTTATTTCTTTGTGGGTGTTGTTATGTCATTTACAAGTCAGATTTTTGTTGGTTTGACCTGAGAACCTGGGAAATTTGTTGTTCTACAGTTGTTTTAGTTTAATTGGTTGGTATATTAATATTTTGTAGGGAAATTTCCGCCCATCTGCACCCCTTCTAGGCAAGGTTAGAGAGGTGCACACCCCCCCCCTTTCACCCCTCCCCTAAATCCATCCCTGTTCCCAATGCTTCTACCTGGCTCAAGAGGCCTGGGTGCAATGTTGACAAATTTCAATGCTAATTTCATTGAAAGGTGTGTTTTGTTTTTTTGTTTTTTTTTAGATCCAACTTTTGCATCTTTGGTAAATAGTACTGATGATGTCAGAAATTTCCTCATCAGAAATCTCTCCTTTTCTTCAAACTTAGCAGATGCTTTTCTTGATGCAAGAGTGAATTTGTCAAGGGTTCGTAAATGTTATTTTACCAAATTGTCTTGTCTTTTTTTGGCGCATCATGTATTATTTTGAATACTTAGATTGAGAATGTATAAAATATTTTTACTTTAGAATTCATTAAAATTTGTTTGGAATGATTATCTTAAATTGTTTTAGTTTAGTGGAAATGAAATCCCGTCTTTTGGAAGATTTTTTCCTTATGATTTTTCTGGTTTTTCTGCTGGTCAGAATCAGGTTTGTTCATTAATGTGAATTTAGAAAAACCCCGACATTTTTTGGATATTTATTGACTGGGCAACCTGTGGAATTGGAATGTACGAAATTTGCGCGAATGTTGGTAAAGCTGCGCCTGTGCAGTTTTAAGTTTTTCGATTTTGTGTTCAGTTTTTTGGAAGAAAAAAATGCGTTTTCGCAAAATTGATTGGTTCTTGCTTATTTTTCAAAAAGGAAAAACAATACAGATGTATTGACTCAATTGTGAATGCTACGAGGAAGCGCAGCTGTAAACTTGCACAGCTCAGTTAGTTAATGTGTGCTTATTTTGTAGTTATGTGTTTTCCAAGTCTGCTGATTGCTTTCTGACACAGACTGCAATAAGGTGACTGTTTGGGGACGTTAAACTAAAAAATAAAACTGAAAATATCGATTCTTTGGCTTATAAAGTTGTCAGTGGATAGAAAAGCACCGAAAGAACAATTGTTTTTATTAACCGCACATCTTTTTCATGTCAGCTCTCGGAAAACCTTCGTTTTAGCAGAATATCTAATGGCATTAAAAAACATACATGTCACAATATTCAGTGAAAAGCTTCAACAAATTTAATAGCTACTTTAGTATTTTGCAACTTTCTGCAGCTCTTCACAATGGAAGATTTTAGTTGCTAGTTTTTTTTATCGTATTCACAGGCCTGCTGCTTTTTTTTTTTTGGGGCTTGCTGCCCCAAAAAAAAAAAAAACCCAAACAGTTTTTCCTTGGATTTGATCAAACCCAAACTGAAATTTGGGTTGAAAAAACTAAATGACAGTATCTTTGTATGTAGCTACTTATATAAACATTTTCTTCATTGAAGAATTGTGAGAACAGGAAACAGCTTATACTTTGAATATTTTCATTCTTGTTGCATTTCACTTTATGTAATTCTTTTGTTGAAGAAAATTACTGACGAATTTATTCAATATTTCTTTTCACTTTTTCAGACTGTCTTGTATGAAAGTTTACAAAAAGCCTGTCACAATGGTTCTTGGTCTGGTTATCTGATATTTTCTTCCCCTGACTATGAGGTACATATGGTCTGTTTTCATGCTCACTAGAAGATAAAAATCACGATACTTTAACGATAAATTTGAACATCAAGTGAATGTGTAAGAAATCGGGTAGGTAGACCGACCAAGTGCAACCAATGTCTTGTTTTAATACACATACAGGTATTGAAACTAGAAAATGTCGAGGAGGGTAATATTTACACTAATATTGTCACGAACTATTGAGCTGCGCAAAAATTGCCATTTCTCAGGACAAGTCTGAACTAGATTTCAATATTTATGTTTAATTTGCTATGTTGTGGAAAGTATGAACATATGTATGTTTTAAATCATTAGTTTAAGAAAATATCGTTGGAAGTTTCATCAATTTCTTCTTAAGACATTAAATTCAAATCAAATCAAATTTGTGATGTATGTTTTGGTTATGTTTGAAGTTTTTTCTTTTTCAGATGGCTTTCAAAGATGCCGTTTGTAACTTAAGCCAATTGCAAGTCAATGAAATACCGTTTGAGATCAGAAATCAACTCACTTTTCCAAGTTCTCTTCAGAAACTGGTGGGTCTTTGTGCTAAATGATAATCGTATCGGTTGTTTTGTTAAATGTGTTAAATTATATATTAACCTGCTGTAATACTTATAGTCATATGTTAAATTATATATTAACCTTCTGTAATACTTATAGTCATATGTTAAATTATATATTAACCTGCTGTAATACTTATAGTCATATGTTAAATTGTATATTAACATATTAATCTTTGATGCTCATAAAGAATAATTGCCATAAAAAAACAATGCAACACAACAATATGAATTTAGAGTTAATTTAGCAATAAATTACTGAAAATAATATGACAATTTTTTCTCAAGTATGACGCAGTTCGTTTGGATGGTGGACTTTTTGATGTAATTTGTGACAGAAAAGATAAATCACCAGTTGAAGTAGATAATGATGAACCTTCTGCATTGCAAAGTCAAGAGCGTTCTCAAGAATCTCAAAATAAAATCAACAAGAATTCTTGCGCTTGGCTGAGAGAAGAAGCAATGTTTGAATTCCAAAATCATTCGGGTATTGTTTGAATTATTGTTTGTTCATAGTACTAAATATATTAATAACAGTTCTTTTAAGAACTCTTGGGTTTCTCTTGGGTTTTTTCCTGGGTTTCTTGGTTTTTCAGGCCATTCATCATGGCAATTACGCTTTTTAAGGCAATACTAATACTAATGTACAACGTAAGGTTTAATGATCAAGTTGTTAAAAATCAAGTCTTACGCCGGCAGTTTTGTGTCATATGACGAAATTAGTATGAAGTGTGGATTACCAGTTCCTTTTAAAAAAAGGAGGGTTGGTTAATTGTTGGTTACATTAATTTTAAAGTCTTGAGATTGAAACAGCTCCTTTCATTATGTTTTTTAATTATATTGTAAAAGTTAGGTAATATTCCAGATGTATGAATTTTCCTTCTAGATTTCTTTCTGAGATAATACATTATTGATAGGTTCAGACAACAGTCGATGTTCAGATGTAAAACCTGAGTTGAGATCAGATTGTGGTTGGGGAGGAATCAACAAGCAAGAATGTGAAAGTCGTGGTTGTTGTCATGACGACACAGTCGAGGATACTTTTTATTGTTATTGCCCAAAAAGTTTGTATTATTTCATTGTTTCGTTTAACTTATTTTTTGCTTGATTGTTTACTCAAAATACGACAATTCTTTTTAATATTACAACATGAAGTTTCATGCCAAATGCAATCATCACGTAACTGAAATGCAAAAAACTGTTACTGTAGTTTAAATTATGTACAAAATCACGTTTGCTGATTATTTGCTGACGCGCGTGTTTTTTGAATGGTCCTGCGTGGAATTTGCGTGAATAGACACATCGTGCAAAAAGTTTATTATTACTACAAAAGACAAAATGTAAAATAGAGGAGAAAATGACGAACAGTCATTTAAAATTTATATCCAAAATCTAAACAAATTTTTTTTTGTTTTCCATGAATTATTTCAATGATTTGAGTGTGGTTTAACATTTTTATTGATTTTTTGTTATGTTTGTTTCTTCTTCCATAGATGATACATGCTGTATGTTCAACGCCTGTCTACTTGATAATGTTGGTTCTAGTTTTATAAGTGGTGGTGCAAGGAGTTTCTTTTTAAGAATGCTACGGCTGTTTTCAAATGGAAAAATACTCTATACTCCTGACAATGTTCACACAAGAAGTATAATAAAAAAGGTAACTAATGTTTGTATTTTAATGGTGAAAATCAAACTGTCTATTGTTTCGTGACTACAAATTGAATGTGGGCTTAGATTAACTGCATTTGTTATTTCTCATAAAATGAAGTTTGTAATGGACATCTATAAAATATTTTCAATTTTAAATTTCAGGCAAATTTTACTTTCAATCAGTTGGGTAATGTTTGGAAAACAGTATGCGAAGCTGCCAAACAGTGGAACTCGCAATCATCACCACTTGATTCACTAAATTTGCCCGGTTTGGTAAGTGAGAAAAAAATAGCTATAGCTATTTTTATCATAATATTACTTCACTTCCATTTAATGTTCATTTATATCATGTATGCCAAATATGAAAATATTAGTGAAAAAATGAGTGAAGAAATACATGCTGTAACATCAAGAATTTGGGTGATTTTTAGCTGTAATGTATAAACCATTTCTTTCACAATTCACGGCATGATGGTCAGTTTTTGCCATTTTTAAATCATCTTATGTTAGTTGTTTCATTTTTTATTTTATGTATAAACGAAATTTCCGATTCTGTGGTGGCACATATTGCGTTTTCACCATCCATTTTTGTTCTAGAGTTCTTTATATCTCTCTGAAAAATTGTCATCTTTTCAAGGACACTTGCTTACATGCACGCCATTGAATTGCTTCAACAATGGCGTTCATCTTGGTATATACATGTATATGTTCATATATATTTATATTTTAGGATATGTTGCGATTTTTTGCCTCCATGTATGGAATAACGTTGGAAGACCCCAGCTCCAGTGTTGTATCAAATAATCTCCAGTTGATTAGTCGACTTATTGCTAAACATGGCCATTGTTTAAATTTCAATTATTTTCAACCAGTAAAAAGTGAACGTGAAGCTGAAATGATATGGTTGACTAAACAAAGATACGAACCTCTTGCCAGTATGAAAACATTCCAGTTATTCAAAATAAACGAATATTTTTGTGAAGACCGTATTGAAATTTATGTTTACTCGTGGATTCTGAGTTTGAAAAAAGTAGCTTTAAAATACGACTAAAAATATGACTAAAAATATGACTAAAAATATACCTACGCAGCTCAAAATTTACTTCATAAATTGATGATCTTTTTTGTTATTTTGAATTTAGCTGTTGTATTCAACAATGTAAAAGATGATGATGAAAAACTATCGACAAATATCGAGTATAAAATACGTCAAGATCCTAGTCATGTGATGAATCCTCGCTGGAAACGTAGCAGGTTTGTGATATGTTTTTGATGATGACTTTAGAAGTTTTATTAATGATTACTTAGCAGGAAAAGAGTACATTGCAATGGCCGGTTGCGCGAAGCTTGAGTAGCGTTATCCATTGTTTTTTAAACTTTTAAAAAAGGTGTTTATATCTTCGTTACGACAAAGAAACTTTGTAATCTTAGAAACAACATTTCATTTCAGTGATTGCTCAATTCAAACCGTATCTTTTTCATTTTTAATAAGTTTTTTAACCGTTTAAAAAAATTTTTTATCCAATAGATAACGCTATCCATGCTTCGTGCAACCTGCCTGAGAACTTAATACTTTCAGCCGGATCTGTGAAATGCACCAACAAAAATCTGCAACGTATTGCTTCTTATTATATAGATATTGGCGTCCAGGTCCGGAGAATTCATTATGGAAGTTACGTTATAAAGTATTTGGTTTTGTTTATCTTCAAGACATGATAGATCGTGCTATCACGGAGATTCATGCTAATAAAACCATTCATGAAACTGGAATGTTTCTTCAAATGTTTCCATATCCTTGTTATATTTATGACAGGTACAAAAGTCATACTTGTTGTTGTGTCACACCATTGTCAATCCAAGACAGACACTTGAAAAGTTGTTTTTGAAAATTTATGAGTTTGAAATATGTCATATTGTGTGGAAATGTGTCATACGTATGATGTCAAATGGTGACAAATGTACATTTTATTCAGGTTTTCCCTGACCATATCCAACTCTATGCCTTTGTTCATGACTTTGGCGTGGATATATACTGTTGGAATGATTGTAAAAACAGTTGTTCATGAGAAAGAAACTCGTTTAAAGGAAGTGATGAAGGTACGTTTGTATTTATAAATAAGTAGTGATGAAGGTTCTTTGTGTATTTATAAATGTGAGGGTGGTACGATGTACAATTTACTGACAATACAACTATTTTTTTACAATATTTTACGAAGAACAACTTATATAAATACAAATAGATTTCCCTGGCAACTACTTAAGTTGCATTTTTACGTGGTGTGCTTTAAAAAGTCTTCTATACTTACATTACAGGTGATGGGTTTAACCAACGCCGTTCATTGGCTAGCGTGGTTAATAACTAGTTTCGTGATGATGATGATAACAGCAATTATGCTTGTCTTCGTTTTAAAGTTTGGTGAAATTCTCATCTACAGCGATCCTGTTGTTATATTTGTATTCTTCCTTGCGTTTACACTATCAACTGTCATGTTATGCTTCTTGATAAGCGTTTTTTTTTCTCGTGCTAACGTTGCTGCAGCTTGCGGTGGTCTTATTTACATCACAACTTATTTACCTTATGTTATTCTCACGATATTTGAAAGGGAAGTGAAAACTCCACATCTTGTTATCTCTGTAAGTATTTGTATGTTTATGTTTCCACATTGTTGCCAGTTGTCTTTGAATATGACAATATATTAACTCTGTAGACTGCAACTACTTGTGTTTATGTGTTTCCGAATTGTGGCTTGTTTTAATTTAACGTTGTATTAACTGAAGAAGAAATGTTTAGTCATATTTCATTAATCATGACCCTGCTTTAGGAGAAGGCTGTGTACCTGTATATATAAGATTACGGATGATGACCATGCATTCAGGGGGGTTCTTTACTTCTTTAAATCAGATTACCAAGCAGCTTGAACTACAGTTTCCTCTTATCCCTATTATTTACGGTTGTGGTTTTTTCTCTCTCCCTAATTTATCTTCACATGACTTTGTTTAATCTTTGTAGAGTCTGTTATCCCCTACAGCGTTTGGCATTGCTTGTCGATATTTCGCTCGGTTTGAAGAACAAGGAATCGGTTTAAGATGGAATAATTTATTCTCCAGTCCAGTTAGTGGTGATGAGTTCAGTGTTGGTGCGGCCATGTTGATGTTGATACTTGATGCGTTCATATATGGGTTAATCACGTGGTACATAGAGGCAGTTTTCCCAGGTTTGTTGGTTTTGATGTCAGTCAATACGTTCGTAGGTAGACACTGCTTTGCATTGATCTATTCAAAACAAGGGGCGAATAATGAAAGTGACACTCGTCATTCTCCATATGAAAACGTTATGTGACACCAATCATTTTTATACATTTTTAATGTGTTTTTAATGCAAAGTATGAAATATTATCTGTCAAAGAATCATTCGCATAATTTTTAAGGCTGTTTTCAATCATGAAAATGTTCCTGCTGTGTTTTTCTCGTTCTTTTCCATTGTTGTGAGAGTCTTTGAGAAATTTTCATTGATTGACAACTAACTTACAAAAATTTTGTGAACTTGATGAAAGTAAGCTTACTAGTTTTAGCTGCCATTCATTTTTTTGTTGTATGTTTATACAGGTGATTACGGTGTTCCTAAACCTTGGTATTTTCCTTTCATGAAATCTTATTGGTTTCCAGCAAAATATCGTATAAGAAGCATTGGAACACGTGGAAATAACGATACACAAGTTTACATAGCTCTTTCTCAACAGGTATTTGAATTATTATTTATTTCTTTAAAAATTTCAAAGCAGTTATCCATTGCTTGCTCCGTTCTTCATTTTAAAATCTGTATCTGAGCGATGTAATCTTTAATCTTTAATCATTCTATTCTCACATTTAATACTCTTAATATGTACTATTTTAGAATGGGAATTTCATTTTAACTAATGCAAATTAAGAATATAGTTTAGTTACTTTTAAAATGGTTGAAATACTATGTACGTAGTGCATGATCTTTAAAACTTTGTCTTATGTGAGAAATGCATGCATGAAGAACTTTGTAAATAGTGATACATACATGTTTATTGTATTGTTATAGAACGTAAATAGTGATACATACATGTTTATTGTATTGTTATAGAACGTAAATAGTGATACATACATGTTTATTGTATTGTTATAGAACGTAAATAGTGATACATACATGTTTATTGTATTGTTATAGAACGTAAATAGTGATACATACATGTTTATTGTATTGTTATAGAATGTAAACAGTGATACATACATGTTTATTGTATTGTTATAGAATGTAAATAGGGATACATACATGTTTATTGTATTGTTATAGAACGTAAATAGTGATACATACATGTTTATTGTATTGTTATAGAACGTAAATAGTGATACATACATGTTTATTGTATTGTTATAGAACGTAAATAGTGATACATACATGTTTATTGTATTGTTATAGAACGTAAATAGTGATACATACATGTTTATTGTATTGTTATAGAACGTAAATAGTGATACATACATGTTTATTGTATTGTTATAGAACGTAAACTGTGATACATACATGTTTATTGTATTGTTATAGAATGTAAATAGGGATACATACATGTTTATTGTATTGTTATAGAACGTAAATAGTGATACATACATGTTTATTGTATTGTTATAGAACGTAAACAGGGATACATACATGTTTATTGTATTGTTATAGAATGTAAACAGTGATACATACATGTTTATTGTATTGTTATAGAATGTAAATAGGGATACATACATGTTTATTGTATTGTTATAGAATGTAAATAGGGATACATACATGTTTATTGTATTGTTATAGAACGTAAACAGTGATACATACATGTTTATTGTATTGTTATAGAATGTAAATAGGGATACATACATGTTTATTGTATTGTTATAGAACGTAAATAGTGATACATACATGTTTATTGTATTGTTATAGAACGTAAACAGTGATACATACATGTTTATTGTATTGTTATAGAATGTAAATAGGGATACATACATGTTTATTGTATTGTTATAGAACGTAAATAGTGATACATACATGTTTATTGTATTGTTATAGAACGTAAACAGGGATACATACATGTTTATTGTATTGTTATAGAACGTAAATAGTGATACATACATGTTTATTGTATTGTTATAGAACGTAAATAGTGATACATACATGTTTATTGTATTGTTATAGAACGTAAATAGGGATACATACATGTTTATTGTATTGTTATAGAATGTAAACAGTGATACATACATGTTTATTGTATTGTTATAGAACGTAAATAGGGATACATACATGTTTATTGTATTGTTATAGAACGTAAATAGTGATACATACATGTTTATTGTATTGTTATAGAACGTAAATAGGGATACATACATGTTTATTGTATTGTTATAGAACGTAAATAGTGATACATACATGTTTATTGTATTGTTATAGAATGTAAACAGTGATACATACATGTTTATTGTATTGTTATAGAATGTAAACAGTGATACATACATGTTTATTGTATTGTTATAGAACGTAAATAGTGATACATACATGTTTATTGTATTGTTATAGAACGTATATAGCGATACATACATGTTTATTGTATTGTTATAGAACGTAAATAGTGATACATACATGTTTATTGTATTGTTATAGAATGTAAATAGGGATACATACATGTTTATTGTATTGTTATAGAATGTAAATAGGGATACATACATGTTTATTGTATTGTTATAGAACGTAAATAGTGATACATACATGTTTATTGTATTGTTATAGAACGTAAATAGTGATACATACATGTTTATTGTATTGTTATAGAACGTAAATAGTGATACATACATGTTTATTGTATTGTTATAGAACGTAAATAGTGATACATACATGTTTATTGTATTGTTATAGAACGTAAATAGTGATACATACATGTTTATTGTATTGTTATAGAACGTAAACAGTGATACATACATGTTTATTGTATTGTTATAGAATGTAAATAGGGATACATACATGTTTATTGTATTGTTATAGAACGTAAATAGTGATACATACATGTTTATTGTATTGTTATAGAACGTAAACAGGGATACATACATGTTTATTGTATTGTTATAGAACGTAAATAGTGATACATACATGTTTATTGTATTGTTATAGAACGTAAATAGTGATACATACATGTTTATTGTATTGTTATAGAACGTAAATAGGGATACATACATGTTTATTGTATTGTTATAGAATGTAAACAGTGATACATACATGTTTATTGTATTGTTATAGAACGTAAATAGGGATACATACATGTTTATTGTATTGTTATAGAACGTAAATAGTGATACATACATGTTTATTGTATTGTTATAGAACGTAAATAGGGATACATACATGTTTATTGTATTGTTATAGAACGTAAATAGTGATACATACATGTTTATTGTATTGTTATAGAACGTAAATAGGGATACATACATGTTTATTGTATTGTTATAGAACGTAAATAGTGATACATACATGTTTATTGTATTGTTATAGAACGTAAATAGGGATACATACATGTTTATTGTATTGTTATAGAACGTAAATAGTGATACATACATGTTTATTGTATTGTTATAGAATGTAAACAGTGATACATACATGTTTATTGTATTGTTATAGAATGTAAACAGTGATACATACATGTTTATTGTATTGTTATAGAACGTAAATAGTGATACATACATGTTTATTGTATTGTTATAGAACGTATATAGTGATACATACATGTTTATTGTATTGTTATAGAACGTATATAGTGATACATACATGTTTATTGTATTGTTATAGAACGTATATAGTGATACATACATGTTTATTGTATTGTTATAGAACGTAAATAGTGATACATACATGTTTATTGTATTGTTATAGAATGTAAATAGTGATACATACATGTTTATTGTATTGTTATAGAACGTAAATAGTGATACATACATGTTTATTGTATTGTTATAGAATGTAAATAGTGATACATACATGTTTATTGTATTGTTATAGAACGTAAATAGTGATACATACATGTTTATTGTATTGTTATAGAATGTAAATAGTGATACATACATGTTTATTGTATTGTTATAGAACGTAAATAGGGATACATACATGTTTATTGTATTGTTATAGAATGTAAATAGTGATACATACATGTTTATTGTATTGTTATAGAACGTAAATAGGGATACATACATGTTTATTGTATTGTTATAGAATGTAAATAGTGATACATACATGTTTATTGTATTGTTATAGAACGTAAATAGGGATACATACATGTTTATTGTATTGTTATAGAACGTAAATAGTGATACATACATGTTTATTGTATTGTTATAGAATGTAAATAGTGATACATACATGTTTATTGTATTGTTATAGAATGTAAACAGTGATACATACATGTTTATTGTATTGTTATAGAACGTAAATAGGGATACATACATGTTTATTGTATTGTTATAGAATGTAAATAGTGATACATACATGTTTATTGTATTGTTATAGAACGTAAATAGGGATACATACATGTTTATTGTATTGTTATAGAACGTAAATAGTGATACATACATGTTTATTGTATTGTTATAGAATGTAAATAGTGATACATACATGTTTATTGTATTGTTATAGAACGTAAATAGTGATACATACATGTTTATTGTATTGTTATAGAACGTAAATAGTGATACATACATGTTTATTGTATTGTTATAGAACGTAAATAGTGATACATACATGTTTATTGTATTGTTATAGAATGTAAATAGTGATACATACATGTTTATTGTATTGTTATAGAACGTAAATAGTGATACATACATGTTTATTGTATTGTTATAGAACGTAAATAGTGATACATACATGTTTATTGTATTGTTATAGAACGTAAATAGTGATACATACATGTTTATTGTATTGTTATAGAATGTAAATAGTGATACATACATGTTTATTGTATTGTTATAGAACGTAAATAGTGATACATACATGTTTATTGTATTGTTATAGAACGTAAATAGTGATACATACATGTTTATTGTATTGTTATAGAACGTAAATAGTGATACATACATGTTTATTGTATTGTTATAGAATGTAAATAGGATACATACATGTTTATTGTATTGTTATAGAACGTAAATAGTGATACATACATGTTTATTGTATTGTTATAGAACGTAAATAGGGATACATACATGTTTATTGTATTGTTATAGAACGTAAATAGTGATACATACATGTTTATTGTATTGTTATAGAACGTAAATAGTGATACATACATGTTTATTGTATTGTTATAGAACGTAAATAGTGATACATACATGTTTATTGTATTGTTATAGAACGTAAATAGGATACATACATGTTTATTGTATTGTTATAGAACGTAAATAGTGATACATACATGTTTATTGTATTGTTATAGAACGTAAATAGTGATACATACATGTTTATTGTATTGTTATAGAACGTAAATAGGATACATACATGTTTATTGTATTGTTATAGAACGTAAATAGTGATACATACATGTTTATTGTATTGTTATAGAACGTAAATAGTGATACATACATGTTTATTGTATTGTTATAGAACGTAAATAGTGATACATACATGTTTATTGTATTGTTATAGAACGTAAATAGTGATACATACATGTTTATTGTATTGTTATAGAACGTAAATAGGATACATACATGTTTATTGTATTGTTATAGAACGTAAATAGTGATACATACATGTTTATTGTATTGTTATAGAACGTAAATAGTGATACATACATGTTTATTGTATTGTTATAGAACGTAAATAGTGATACATACATGTTTATTGTATTGTTATAGAACGTAAATAGTGATACATACATGTTTATTGTATTGTTATAGAACGTAAATAGTGATACATACATGTTTATTGTATTGTTATAGAACGTAAATAGTGATACATACATGTTTATTGTATTGTTATAGAACGTAAATAGTGATACATACATGTTTATTGTATTGTTATAGAACGTAAATAGTGATACATACATGTTTATTGTATTGTTATAGAACGTAAATAGTGATACATACATGTTTATTGTATTGTTATAGAATGTAAATAGGATACATACATGTTTATTGTATTGTTATAGAACGTAAATAGTGATACATACATGTTTATTGTATTGTTATAGAACGTAAATAGTGATACATACATGTTTATTGTATTGTTATAGAACGTAAATAGTGATACATACATGTTTATTGTATTGTTATAGAACGTAAATAGTGATACATACATGTTTATTGTATTGTTATAGAACGTAAATAGTGATACATACATGTTTATTGTATTGTTATAGAATGTAAATAGGGATACATACATGTTTATTGTATTGTTATAGAACGTAAATAGTGATACATACATGTTTATTGTATTGTTATAGAACGTAAATAGGGATACATACATGTTTATTGTATTGTTATAGAACGTAAATAGTGATACATACATGTTTATTGTATTGTTATAGAACGTAAATAGTGATACATACATGTTTATTGTATTGTTATAGAACGTAAATAGGGATACATACATGTTTATTGTATTGTTATAGAATGTAAACAGTGATACATACATGTTTATTGTATTGTTATAGAACGTAAATAGGGATACATACATGTTTATTGTATTGTTATAGAACGTAAATAGTGATACATACATGTTTATTGTATTGTTATAGAACGTAAATAGGGATACATACATGTTTATTGTATTGTTATAGAACGTAAATAGTGATACATACATGTTTATTGTATTGTTATAGAACGTAAATAGTGATACATACATGTTTATTGTATTGTTATAGAACGTAAATAGTGATACATACATGTTTATTGTATTGTTATAGAACGTAAATAGTGATACATACATGTTTATTGTATTGTTATAGAATGTAAATAGTGATACATACATGTTTATTGTATTGTTATAGAACGTAAATAGTGATACATACATGTTTATTGTATTGTTATAGAACGTAAATAGTGATACATACATGTTTATTGTATTGTTATAGAACGTAAACAGGATACATACATGTTTATTGTATTGTTATAGAACGTAAATAGTGATACATACATGTTTATTGTATTGTTATAGAACGTAAATAGTGATACATACATGTTTATTGTATTGTTATAGAACGTAAATAGGGATACATACATGTTTATTGTATTGTTATAGAACGTATATAGTGATACATACATGTTTATTGTATTGTTATAGAACGTAAATAGTGATACATACATGTTTATTGTATTGTTATAGAATGTAAATAGTGATACATACATGTTTATTGTATTGTTATAGAACGTAAATAGTGATACATACATGTTTATTGTATTGTTATAGAATGTAAATAGTGATACATACATGTTTATTGTATTGTTATAGAACGTAAATAGGGATACATACATGTTTATTGTATTGTTATAGAATGTAAATAGTGATACATACATGTTTATTGTATTGTTATAGAACGTAAATAGGGATACATACATGTTTATTGTATTGTTATAGAATGTAAATAGTGATACATACATGTTTATTGTATTGTTATAGAACGTAAATAGGATACATACATGTTTATTGTATTGTTATAGAACGTAAATAGTGATACATACATGTTTATTGTATTGTTATAGAATGTAAATAGTGATACATACATGTTTATTGTATTGTTATAGAACGTAAATAGTGATACATACATGTTTATTGTATTGTTATAGAATGTAAACAGTGATACATACATGTTTATTGTATTGTTATAGAACGTAAATAGGGATACATACATGTTTATTGTATTGTTATAGAATGTAAATAGTGATACATACATGTTTATTGTATTGTTATAGAACGTAAATAGGGATACATACATGTTTATTGTATTGTTATAGAACGTAAATAGTGATACATACATGTTTATTGTATTGTTATAGAATGTAAATAGTGATACATACATGTTTATTGTATTGTTATAGAACGTAAATAGTGATACATACATGTTTATTGTATTGTTATAGAACGTAAATAGTGATACATACATGTTTATTGTATTGTTATAGAACGTAAATAGGATACATACATGTTTATTGTATTGTTATAGAATGTAAATAGTGATACATACATGTTTATTGTATTGTTATAGAACGTAAATAGTGATACATACATGTTTATTGTATTGTTATAGAACGTAAATAGTGATACATACATGTTTATTGTATTGTTATAGAACGTAAATAGTGATACATACATGTTTATTGTATTGTTATAGAACGTTGAACTTAACAGAGCAGATTCACCTGTCACTCCAACTGAAAGAAATGTGGCTATTGAACGTGAACCAAAACATTTACCCTTAGGAATTTCTATGCGCAACTTAAAGAAGGTAAAATACTTCATCTATTGTAAATATTTAGGACTCTTTTTTGTGAGTATATTAATGTTTAATCTCATTTCCTGTATTAATCAAATAATCATTATACGTAACTAAATTATGATCGTTATTGGCGTTAAAGTGTATCATGTAGGTATTTAGAACGTCCAATGTAAACATTTGCAGCTATTTATTTGCTATAAGTAAAAATTACTTTGGGAAAAACTTGATGACACAAATGATTTAATTGATAGGTTTATAGCAACGGTAAGGTTGCTGTTAATGATCTGAGCTTAAATTTGTACTCTGGACAAATAACGTCATTCCTTGGTCACAATGGTGCCGGCAAAACGACGACAATGTCACTGCTGACCGGTATTTATCCCCCTACCGAGGGCACAGCTTTTATCGAAGGAAAAGACATCCGAAATGATATGGACGAAATAAGAAATAGTCTTGGAATTTGTCCTCAGTATAACGTGCTGTTTGATGATCTTACGGTTGAAGAACATCTTTGGTTTTATGCAAAGTTAAAAGGAATGGACGAAAGTCATATTCATGAGGAAAGTGAAAAGTAAGAGTTATTTTATTCACATGATTTATTCTTATAATGGTAATGTAAATGCATAATTTTTGCTTTGTGTTTTTGTTTATGTTCAATTTTTTTTTAAAAAATATGGTTCAAACCACTTTAAAATGATGATTCATCGGTTCCTTTAATTACCTTTTCTTAAGATTGAACATTTTTACACGATTAAATTTCTTCAAATTTTATTTAGTAGAAAAGTAAAATCACCGTCCACATAACATATGGCTTAGTTTTTAGTCAATTTGGAAGTATAGTCACAAATTTCTACTCTATCACTGTGGTCTGTCGACTCAATACGTAAATTCACTTCCTATTGCTGCCCTCGAAATTCACAGGTGTAGTAGGGTAATCCTAGACGACAAATAACGGCAAGAATTAATTTGAGCTCGTTACCGAAATGAAAGATCAAGTTATTTTACATCATCGCTTTAAACAAGATTTTATTTGATTTCAACACTATATAAATGGTTAAATACAAAAAGTCTACAAACAACGAATGAGAACCCATTTATTTTTGTAAAAATATCTTGTCGTAGGGCTGTGCAATCTCCGTTTTTTTAGCTCCGGATCCATCCTCTTGTCACTTCGGATTGATTATTGCTACTGTAATTTATTTAGCTTTTTGCCTGCCAATGTTGATTACCAATCTCATTTTTGTGGACCATATGGTGAAATGATTGCTGTTAATCGTTATAACATATTCTTTTTACTAGATTCCTTGCAAACTCGCAGCTTGTAGAGAAACGAAAAGAGCGATCTAAATTTTTATCGGGTGGAATGAAGAGAAAGTTGTCTGTATCGATGGCGTTTGTTGCTGGTTCAAAGATTGTTATTCTTGATGAACCAACCGCTGGTGTTGATCCTTATGCTCGTCGTGCAATTTGGGATCTTCTCTTGCAATACAAAGAAGGTGAGAAGTTTTTTTTTCATTTACTTTTGATTAGCGATACGATAGACTCTCCATTTGATGAATCTTGAAAAAAGCAGAAACCCAATTTATTAAACGACTTGACAATGGTTTTTGTAATATCATTGTATTTGTAGGGAGAACAATCTTGTTATCGACGCATCATATGGATGAAGCAGACGTGCTAGGAGATCGTATAGCGATCATTGCTCAAGGAAAATTGTGTTGTTGTGGCACTTCATTGTTCCTCAAAAGTCAATATGGTAGTGGTTATTATCTTACATTGGTAAAGAAAGATCTCGTCACTAATGTAGAAACTCGAGCTCTTGAAAGAACAAGACACAACAGTGATGATAATGATAGTGAAGCATCTGGCAGAAGTATCGATGAAGGTATGTTTATGGATAATAGATAGTAGCAAGGTACATACTAGAACAGTAGATATTCACGAATTTTGGGATAGCGAATGATAGTGAACGTACCCTAGGGATAACTTGGTACATTGAAAACAAATTATTTCCTATTTTTTAACATCCCTATATATGAAAATCAGAGTAAACCTGAAAGCAAAGGTCAAGTTTTGTTTGCACTCTACTTTTCACCAACTTTTTTTTGGTTTGATAACCTCTTTCTATACTGAATTTATTTTATATTTTTATATTTTATATTGACAATTATTTATAATGAAAGGACATTTTCTTTTTAAATGACAGCGTTTGTTGAAATGCTAGTACGATGAATGATAAGAGAGAGGTCACGTTATCAATAACTAAGGATTATAACGATGTTATGTTGTTCAGGTATTTGTACAATACTGTAAATGATGATACATCCTGCATATAGGTGTTAGTCTGGGTGATTCATCTTCAGAAATTGGTGAAGGAATAACAGAAAAAGAAAAACCATCACAAGAATTATCGTTGACCGCTTTCATCAGATCATTTGTTTCTAAAGCAGAATTGGTTGAAAGTGTTGGTACTGAAATGACATATGTTCTTCCTACTGACGATTGCCATGGTAGTAAATTTGAAAACCTTTTTGATGCATTGAATGAAAACTTGGAGAAATTTAACATCAGTAGTTTTGGTGTTTCTGATACAACATTGGAGGAAGTATGTTAATTTTGCACAACTGAAAATTGCTGTATTTTCAATTTCACAAATTATATTCATATTCTTCAGGTTTTCTTAAAAGTTGCAAGCACTGCAAGCGTAGAAGAAGAAGGTAATGTTTGTTTCGGGACAATTTTTAACTGTATCCAACAAATATTGTATTCGTGTACACTCTGTTTCGAATGCCGTTTCATTTATTTTTTTAAAAATGTGTCTCAAAAGATTCCAACATTTCTGTAGAATCTCACAGACACATGTATATATAAAATTGCAGTCATTTCACAAGCTGACAGCAAATAGAATGTAAACTGTGTAATTTAACAACTGCAGACATTTGCATGAGGACAACAATCGTAATTTGATCTTTGTGATTTAGCGTCTGTGTAGACGTTTACATGCCGGCAATAATTGGAATGTGATTCTGTGTGATTTGATTTTTGTTGCACAAGATTTCTCTAGAATTGTGATAGTTATATTTTTATAGAGGAAATGCAATCATCTTATCCTTCAAGACGCTCCAGCGCGCGAAATGAAAGATGCAAAATTAAGGGATTTAAAAGGATATTTCAAAAGAAACAGAGAGAAGTATCAGCGAGATCCGATCCAGAAATGAATACTGCACAAGGTGCATTTTGATTTGAACTGTTATATCTAAAGTTATATGAATTTTTTTGTACACTTGCTCAAAATGCGCATGTTAAGAAACATTTGCAGTTTAGTTATATTGAAAAATGCCAAATAATTACGTAAAAAACAGTTTTGCTTTGTTGCTATTAATAAAATAAAAAGCAAGTGTTGTTTGTGTGTGAAAGTTTTTTGGAAAAGTCTTAGGTTTTGTTGTCAATTAGGTAGAATGACGTTTGTTAACAATATATCGTTTTTATTTCTTAGGTGAGGATCAAATGGAAGAAGATGTGAACGATGAGATTGAAAATGTATTTCAACCTCCAAGAATAAAGGAAAGAGCAACTGGATTGATCTTGATGAAGCGACAGTTTTTTGGATTGTTAAAGAAACGTTTTCAACACTCAAAACGTAACAGAAAAGGTTTTATTTCTCAAATCATTCTTCCTGCCTTGTTTGTTTGTCTTGCCATGGTATCAGCTATGCTGAGTCCTCCTGTCGGTGATATTCCTCCATTGAAATTAACCACAACTGATGCTATACCTCAACCAAATAATATGTTCTTTGCTGATGCTATGAAATCTCCCAGTGGTAAACACCTTGCTGAAATATTTGTTAATCCTCCTGGAGTTGGTTAGTAGATTCTAAAGTCATAAATTTTAATGTTTCTAATGTTGGTTTCTGCATTGGGTGTGTGGTTACTATAGGTGTGTGGTTGCTATAGGTGTGTAGGTGTGTAGTTGCTATAGGTGTGTGGTTGCTATAGGTGTGTGGTTGCTATAGATGTGTGGTTGCTATAGGTGTGTGATTGCTATAGGTATGTGGTTGCTATAGGTGTGTGGTTGCTATAGGTGTGTGGTTGCTATAGGTGTGTGGTTGCTATAGGTGTGTGGTTACTACAGGTGTGTGGTTGCTATAGGTGTGTGGTGGCTATAGGTGTGTAATAGGAAACCTATTCAGAATATCGTGCAAAACAAGGCTTGATTTCCCATTCACAAAGGTGCTAATCATCTACTTTTACGCTTATTGCTCAATGTAAATAAGAAATACAAAGCTTACGTCAGTGGTAGCAATAAAACTTCAATCCGCAATTGTTGAATTTGAAATACATGTCTATATATTTATATATTTCTGAAGAGGCCAATATCGAAACCTTGTTGTTGAGTGTGTTCTTTCAATTATAGGAAGTTACTGTGTACCACTTAACTGCTCTCAAGAGCGACTTCAATTTAATAATGGCTACGATACTGTTCCTCGTTCATCACGATATTTGCAATCTTGTTCATGTAAAACTGGCTCTGCCATTTGTAAAGGACAATGTTGTAATTATCAACCACCTAAGGCATCTTCTGACACTGGTGATACGGTTTATAATCTCACACATTGGGAGTTTAATGATTATCTTTTGAGAACTACCGAACAGTTTAGAAAACGAAGGTAAAGACTATTTTTCGTAAATGCTGGTAAAGTACCAATACCAGCAGTTTGAATTAAAACCATAAAATCAATTATTGAATCATTACGACTGTATGTCACAGTTTCCTGAAGCAAATAACATTTTCATTGTATATTACAGATATGGAGGTGTCACGTTTGGTCATAAAGTAAACGTACCTCGAGAAGTAGGAGATACTAGAAACCTCAACTATTCACGATATTTTACTAAAGAAGGAATTAAGGTCAGCGAATAGGATTATTTTGTTTGTCTGCATTGTATACTTATTTGTTCATAATATATCAATATTTGCCCTTTAGCTTGTACACTTGTATCCTTATTTGCTCATAGTACATCTTTATTCCTTTTTCACTGGTATACTTGTATCCTTATTTGTTGCCTGTATTCCCTCAAGGCTTGGTACTTAAACAAAGCAGGTCATGCATCACCAACCTTCCTCAGTGTCGCTACAAACACTTTCTTACGTCATCACATTGCGTCACAAGGCAAAAATCCTCAACAATACGGTATGTTTTAAAAATGTTCTTTTTCCATTTTAATGTTTTTATTTTTTTCTCAGAATTACTGAAAGTTCTGTAATTTTCAGGCATTACTACGTACAACCATCCAATGAATATGACTGAAGGAGAACTCTCTGAAGCTACATTGTAATTTACGCTTTCAAAACTACTATTATATGCAAGAATATATGTTTTAAGGCTAAGTACATTTTTAATGAATTATTTTATAAATTTATTACATTGATTCACCTGTTAAAATATTGTCTTTTACTGGTAAAGATATCATTTACTGTCAGCACACACAAATACGTGAATAAATTAATTATATTTTTCTATTGCAGACGAAATCTGGCGCGCACTGATCTTGTTATGGCAATATTTGTGATTTTTGCCCTCGCATTTGTTCCCGCAAGTTTTGTCGTTTTTCTCATCAATGAACGTGTCTCAAAAGCTAAACATTTACACATGGTGTGTGGTGTTCATCCACTTGTTTACTGGAGTGCCAACTTTTTTTGGGATATGGTGAGTTCTATTTTTTTCTTTTTTCTTTTTTGTTGATTTTTTTTATTTTTCTTCTGGTGCATGTATCTTAATCTTTTATCTAAGGTGCTCTCTCCTACATCAAGCATCTAAGCTGCTCTCTTTAATATTCTTACACTATCTAAGCTGTGAACGTTTTCTTCGTTGATCATGTACGCTGTGCATTTTAATCTATATCAACTATCCTAGCTATTGATTATAATCTACATCAATCATCCTAGGTATTGGTTGTAGTCTCCATTAAATAACCATCCTAGGTATTGATTGTATTGTACGTACATCAACCATTCTAGGTATTGGTTGTAATCTACATTAACCATCCTAGGTATTGGTTGTATTGTACGTACATCAACCATTCTAGGTATTGATTGTAATCTACATCAACCATTTTAGGTATTGATTGTAATCTACATCAACCATCCTAGGTACTGGTTGTAATCTACATCAACCATCCTAGGTATTGGTTGTAATCTACATCAACCATCATAGGTATTGGTTGTAATCTACATCAACCATCCTAGGTATTGGTTGTAATCTACATCAACCATCCTAGGTATTGGTTGTAATCTACATCAACCATCCTAGCTATTGATTATAATCTACATCAATCATCCTAGGTATTGGTTGTAATCTACATCAACCATCCTAGGTATTGGTTGTAATCTACATCAACCATCCTAGGTACTGGTTGTAATCTACATCAACCATCCTTACTATTGATTATAATCTACATCAACCATCCTAGGTATTGGTTGTAATCTACATCAACCATCCTAGGTATTGGTTGTAATCTACATCAACCATCCTAGGTACTGGTTGTAATCTACATCAACCATCCTAGGTATTGATTATAATCTACATCAATCATCCTAGGTATTGGTTGTAATCTACATCAACCATCCTAGGTATTGATTATAATCTACATCAATCATCCTAGGTATTGGTTGTAATCTACATCAACCATCCTAGCTATTGATTATAATCTACATCAATCATCCTAGGTATTGGTTGTAATCTACATCAACCATCCTAGGTATTGGTTATAATCTACATTAACCATCCTAGGTATTGATTATAATCTACATTAACCATCCTAGGTATTGATTATAATCTACATCAACCATCCTAGGTATTGGTTGTAATCTACATCAACCATCCTAGCTATTGGTTATAATCTACGTCAATCATCCTAGGTATTGGTTGTAATCTACATTCACCATGTACGTACGTAAGCTGTTTAATTCACCAATGAGACAGTATTGTAATAAGATATATATTTTAATTCAATCTGCTGAAGGTCTCGTTGCATCTTTATGTATGTTTTGCTAAGAGAAAACATGCAACTGCTTGTAATATTTTAAATTTAGAATTATAGAAAAAATATTCTTAAATGAAATATTTCTTGAGTATTTACTCATTGTAAATTTATTTACTCGTTTTCAACACATGTAACATGAAATTTTTCTATTTTTAGTGTAATTACTGCGTTCCCGCCCTTTGCTGTATTCTTATATTCCTTGCCTTCCAAGATAAATCGTACACATCCGCTGAAAACATTGGCCCCACTCTTTTGTTGCTGCTATTCTATGGGTTGGTACATTTAATATAAAATCATGAAATGATCAAAGTTTAGAAGGAATAATTCTTGACAATTGTTCAATATTTGTCATATTTATTTATCAGACTTACATTGCGTTGTTACGTGATTTAAATACATATGTAAATCTAAATAGAAATCTTGAACGAAATTGAAGATATGAAAAACTATCCCGTTAAAGTTTGATTTAAGTGCAAGTTTTACCAGTACCGTAATGAGACTTGGTAATTCTTTATGTTAACCATATTCAATTCATTCACCTTCATTTTTTTCTTACTTTAGATGGTCGATAACGCCTCTTATGTACCCTGCTTCATTTGTTTTCCAAGTATCAAGTACTGCTTACATTACCTTAATCTGTATCAATCTCTTCGTTGGAATGAATACCACGATTGCGACATTTGTTTTGGAATTTTTTGATGATGATCCAGTAAGTACACCATTGTTTGTGCATGATCATGTAAGTACACCTATGTTTGTGCATGATCCTGTAAGTACACCTATGTTTGTGCATGATCCTGTAAGTACGCCTATGTTTGTGCATGATCCTGTAAGTACACCATTGTTTGTGCATGATTATGTAAGTACACCTATATTTGTGCATGATCCTGTAAGTACACCTATGTTTGTGTATTATCATATAAGTACACCATTGCGTTTTGTTTAAAATGTAGAAATCAACATTATCGAAAAATTTGTAAAGAAGTTAATAAAGATGTTGAGCTTTGCAATCATTTGAAGAGAAACGCGCCTACACATGAATACTAAAATATATTTTGTTATTTTTGTTACAGGAACTCATTATGATCAATAATTATCTGAAAAAAGTGTTTTTGATTTTTCCCAACTATTGCTTGGGTCGCGGACTTATTGATCTTGCTAGAAATCAAATATTTGCTGACGTTTTTCAAAGATTTGGTAAGTTTTATGTCCGCATTTCATCTTTGTCAAGTAACACAATGGTTTTTATCCTTTGTAAGATTATACGTAATAGTTAATGTAGTGAACTTGCGGTAGACTTAATATTCTGCTCTGTAATAGAACAACTTTGTAGACTTACCCACATAGATAAATTACTAACAGCCGTCGTTTTCTTTTCTTACGATGTTTTATTTTCTTATCTGAACGAATTTTTTACTGATCGTGTACGCGTACTTTTGACAAAGTGTTAAAAAATATCCCGTGAAATGGAGAACATGAGCTTCATCCTGGATGTATAGTGTTTATTTATACTCGTTGGTAACTCGTATTTTCTTATTGCTGTAGGAAGAAGTTTATTTAAAGATCCGATGAGTTGGGAAATAACTGGGAGAAATATATTTTCGATGTTTGTCTCTGGTTTTGTCTATTTTGCATTTACGTTGTTGATTCAATACAGATTTTTCATCAAAAAAAGGTTAGATGTTGTTTTCACATATGAAGATTTCGCTACAAAGATGTCCAGATTGTTTTGTTGATCTTTTTCGTGTAGAAATACTTTATATAAACCCTTAATTATTTGTAAAATTTACTGTAGAAAAAAGAATAGTAATGAGTTTTGTATGGAAAGTGGAGATGATGATGTGGATATGGAAAGACAACGTGTTCTAAATGGCGAGGCAAATTCTGATTGTTTACGTCTTGTTAATTTGACCAAGGTAGGAAACTATAGTAAACTATTTTTCTTTTTTTAACTTAACTACATAAGTCGTCCATACTTTTATGTCATTCATCAGCTGCACATTTATTTAAAAGTGTTTTTTCCTCCTATTCAGGTTTATCGTTCAAAATTCGGTCGCAACAAGAATATGGCAGTGAAGCAACTCTCTCTTGGTGTTCCTAATGGACAAGTGAGACTTTAAAATCTTATTTGATTAAAACTAGAAAATCTGAGTAATGTTACACAATATAAAAAATCTAAGAAATGTCTTATAACATGTCCTATTAACGACACAAAACCATCCTTCGTAATAACGACATTTTTTCATTTCGATAAACATCGATTTGTTTGCGTTGATTTTGCGCGAAAATTAAACTTTTTATTTGCATTCGCTTCTTACATCAATCTTATTCGTTGATATTTTAATGATGGTTGATATGTATGTCTTTTTTGTGTCATTAAGAAGTTGCCTATTTTTTTTATCACAGTGTTTTGGTTTACTTGGTGTTAACGGCGCTGGTAAAACAACAACATTTAAAATGTTGACTGGTGATATTGGAGTAACTAAAGGCGACGCTTTCATTAATCAACACAGTGTCGTTAATGATATTCTTGCGGCAAGACAAAGCATGGGATATTGTCCACAATTTGATGCTCTGAATGACCTTCTGACAGCCCGCGAACACCTGAAACTTTATGCCAGAATACGAGGCATTCGGGAAGAAGACGTTAATCAAGTATTGTTTTTTACTAAACCTTATTTTTTTCAACTCAGTCTTTTTATGTTCGGAGAAATAATGTACAGTATATAGTTTTATGGAAGGAGTAAAAAGATAATTCCAATTCAGAAATGCCAATTTTTAATGCAAATTTGTTCACACAAATAAAGAGGAAGGGATGATTTAGGAAATGTACTTTGTTGAGACGCTGGTCGTAGAAGCTCCATGTAAAAATATCAAGTTCAATAGAGATTTTCTCTTCTCTATCCCTTCCTAAAGTGATGTTACTACATCAAGTATTATAATGAAGGATTATTATCAAGTTTATGAAAATATAATTTCAGGTGACAGATTGGTGTCTGCGCACGCTCAATTTACTTCAGTACGCTGATCGATGTGCAGGAAAGTACAGCGGTGGTAATAAACGCAAGTTATCAACAGCTATTGCTTTAGTTGGCGAATGTCCTATTATATTTCTTGTAAGTTATTATTACATTTATAGGTATCTTTATTATTAATTATCATCGATTCAAAAGCAGTTAATTTTTAGTTAATTAAATAATTTAATTAACTAATTGAACGAAATGTCAAATGTGATGAACAAGATGCGCACACAGTTACTAAGTATCTTGTTCTTTATGATAATTAATACCAATCGTCCACAATGTCTACGATATTTCCACAGTACTTCATGTAAGTATTCAAATCTTCTTTTGTAGGATGAACCAACCACAGGAATGGATCCAAAAGCTCGAAGGTTTTTATGGAAAATTATATCAGATATTGTAAAAGACGGACGTACTGTTATTTTGACGTCACACAGGTAAAAGGAGAGATTTTCCTTACCAGATGCATTATAAGTTTCACAATAAATTCATCCATTACTGTACGTCAAACTGTTAGATATGCATAGATTTTAATCATTAAATGAACACAGAAAACTTTGCAATGCACGACAAAATGTCTACGCTATATTTTTGTGATGCAACGTGTTTAAGATATTCACTGTTTCTTTGGAATATTTTATATACAAATAGCATGGAGGAATGTGAAGCTTTATGTGGTCGTATTGCTATCATGGTAAATGGAGAATTTAAATGTATGGGAACTCCTCAACATCTTAAAAATAAGTGAGTTGTAAAATCTTCGAAAAAGTAAAAGAAGATTGTAAAAAAAGACTATAGCTGAATTTATATGCTGGCGTATTTTTATAGATATGGAGATGGTTACACCGTAATTCTCAGAATTTCTGGAATAATGCCCGATTTAGAACCAGTAAAGGATTTCATGAATGCAACTTTTGTTGATTGTGTACTGAAGGTATGTTCGTAATTGTTTATGTTATTGTACATCGTTTTTTCGTCAGCATCTTTTAGTAGCGGTAGTACGGTTACCATTCTTCTTTTCAATCTGGTTCATAAAACTGCTTGTGTGTTGTTTTAGGATCAACATCACAATATGTTGGAATACCAGTTACGCAATGAAACAGCATTGTTGTCTTTTGTATTTGGTGAACTTGAAAGAAATCGCTCTCGTCTTAAGATAGAAGAATATTCAGTCAGTCAAACTACATTAGATCAGGTGATTTTTAAGCATGTTTTCTAACCTTTACGTATATATGTGTTCAATTGAAGTCTTGATATTTTTTTCATACTTCTATTCAGGTGTTCATTAACTTCGCAAAACAACAAACGGATGGTATTGAACCAATTCCAACAACTTCTACGGAATCGTTGACTGCGACAGTTGATCCACTACCAGTTCAAGTTTAGATATTGTTTAAACTGATATGTAGCATGTTTTGCAATTGACGACGATTTTTATTTGATCTGTTGTTAGGATTCATTTTTTTTTAATATTTACCTTCACTTTGTTTAGTATTTTTTATCATTTAGTATTTCCGAAAGAATTTTTACAATAACAGTAATATATATATATATATATATATATAAATAAGATTCATTGCATATTGTCATTTCCATAATTTCGTAATAGTACATAAGGGTTTAGACATTTTAAATGAACAACAATTTTTGTAATGAAGCAAACATTGAATGTTTCTGCGTACTTACTTTTTTGTAATCGTTCATTTGGTTCATTTACATGAATATGAATTTGAGTTTAGGAGTTGACTGCGGGCGCAACACAACATCAAAATCTTCGATTCGATTTTGTTGTTGTTTTTTTACGAGAAATTTGTATTTAATTCAAACATATTTATTTATATATGTTATTATTAGGAAGAATATGAGTAGGGAATTAATGTTTAAAGCATGGTGGTAAGTTTCATTTTGTAAAAAATTCTTTATCAATTTTAAATATGAGTCTGAAATATCTTTGAAAAAACTCAAAAAAGCTGAAAAATTTGAAACTTGAAAGAAATCTCGAATCAAATGTTAAAACATCACAACATAACATCAGATGTAAACCTGAGTTTTTTTGAAATTAATTGATTTGGTAGAATAGAATCTAAAGCATAAAGTGAATTTCCGAAATGAAATCGATGCAAAACAGTTAGATTTTGAGGAATAGAGACTATTGTAAATATATTTGTATTTTTCTTGCTTATAAGAAAATTGGGTTGCAATTCAAGTGTAGTCTGGAAAATGTCACTGATGTTCAACCTGAGGAAGATGATTTCAGATGGTATCTGAAGGTTTGTAATTTTTATAAATTATTTAATCTTATACGTAAAGTTATTATTCTTCTGTCTTCAAATAGTTAAAAGACTGTGTTATTAATAAATAAAATGAAATATAAAGTTGTAAAATGGTATTTTGTCTCTTATATAATACAAAGTGTAATGGATTTGTTAAAATCAGTACTCTTTCCTCTTGAGTACTCTAATATCAATTGATTTGATTTTGACAAATAATTTATTTATATGTTCCTGTAATCAATTAAGGTGAAATGTTTAAACTGTGGAGAAGAAAATCCCAATTGGATTTATGCTACTTTGCAGGTTTGAAAAATGCAATCTTGCTAATCACTCATCTCTCACATTATAAAGTTTTTATTCAGAGTTTAAAGTTACTATTTCCCAGCCTATCTGATCTTTATTTTGTGTATGGTTATACTGATAATGGTTGTATTTTGATAAATTATTACTTCATTTTTATTTTCTTATACAGTAGTCCTAGCTGGCAACAATTAACAAACGATATGTCCCTTATATTTTATTATTTTTTATTATTTTCAATTTTAGGAATGTCAACCAATCAAAGGAGGCCGAGGACAAGCAAATTTTGTCTCGCATTGTAAATTATGTGGAAGACATAATTCATTAGGTCTTGAAATGGATGTGATGTTATATACCATTTATTGAATCAATAATTTTTTCATCATATCAAATAGTGACTTCAATGTAAACTTTGCAGATATATTGAAAGATTCAATAAAACCTTATAAGGTAAATATTATAGACTATGTTACAATATTTGCTGTTTAAATGAGTTTATCTGTTTAATGTATGGTATATAACTGAGTATGTCTGTTTATTTCATGATAATCGATGAATTTCTTAATATACTTACTCCATGATGATATTCTCTAAATTGGTCCATATTTATACAACAGTGAATCATGGAATATACATCTTGTTTCATGTTGTACTTTATGTGTATTACCATAGCAATGTCTTTTATTTACTTATTATTCACTTATGAAGGCTGATGATGACAACAAATACAAAACCATAGTATCCTTTGATTGTCGAGGACTGGAGCCTACAGATTTCTCTCCAAGAGTAAGACAAGTTTAAAATGTGTCATTCATTTGCAAAAGCTCATATTCATGCATCATTTAAACTTTCAGTGATTTTTTTGAGGTTGGTTTTTCTGCTAAAGGATTGGAAACAGAGACAAAATTTAATGATATCGACTTAACAGAAAAGGTTTTTATTTGTTATTTAACTTTCAAAATGCATTATTTTATTTTAACATAACAAATATTATAGAATTACAGGTATCAGTTGATTTATATTCACTATTCTTTTATATGTTTCCTTTAGGAGTGGGCTGACTATGATGAACAAGCTCAAGAGTCTGTAGGAATATACGAAGTGACGCATAAATTTGTTAAATTATAGATGTATATCAATGATATTCAATTAATCTCTTAATTGTGAAATGTGAGCTTCAGAACATTTGATTTATCATAGAAAATCAAGTCATTTTACATCATCTTTTAACTAATTTGCCCCACACCATCAATAGAAATACATATGAACTTAACAAGATTGTTTCAATTATTATTATATATTTATTTTTAACTGTTGAATTTTTGAAAAAACGGACAGCATGGATAAATGGGATGGGAGGTGGGCTTGCTCCCAATAAACCCCCCCCCCCTTGGCTGGTTAGGAACCCCGTAATCTTTAGAAAAATTGTATTAATTTTCTTCGTCATCATGCAAAGATAATATCTAGTTTTGTAAGTCATTTATAATTCCTTTGAGATATTGAGACAAACCAAAAGCTTACGTATTCGAAGTTTTACAAAACAGAGCGATAGACTTCTGACATTTGGGGTTTCTGGGACATTTGTAATTAGGGCCAGCGGTTTACAAACATGAAAAAATATAACAAAAGATTTGTGAAGGAAACAAAAGATAAATACGACGATATATAAAACAACCGTGAAACATTAACTTGTTTTCATGATTAGTGATTACATCATGATGGTGAAATTAACTTCAATATATAGTCAAAACAGAATATCGTTATTTGTATACATCTACCTATCATTGAAATATTCCGTGTGAAATAAACTGAATTTAGTTTCAAATCAAAACCACCATGGCGAACTCAAGTCTTGGGACGAAAATAAACTCGAATTGTAGGCAATCATTGAAACCCGATTTGTCATTAAAAGAATTTAACTTGTTCGATGGGAAGAACAATGAAAGTTATCTTAAAGATATCAGGATAGTTTCAGGAAAATTTCATCGGGAATATCGCGATAATGGAAAGAATAAGTCGGAAACTGCCAAAAGTAAGGTTTAGTGTGATATGTTTTTAAATCACAATGAGCCATTTTGAGATATAATTTTGTGTGAAATATCATATTTTAACAAAAAGTACTTGATTGAGATCAGCATTAATGTATAGTCACAGTTTAGTGGTACCTTGGTACAAAAACTGTCACAGATATAATGTGGCTGATTGGTTACATAAAATTATATCTTCATGGCTTATTTATAGTTAAGTAATTGTATGCTTTTAGATTGTTAGTTCATTGCATATACCCATGGAGCAGTATTCTATAATTGATTTGTATACACAAATTGATCTCAAATTGCAACATTTATGTGTACAGTATGTAGAAAAGCAGCTTTTATTTTGAAAATGTTGTTTAAATTCATTGCACAACATGCCGTAGTATTATTTTGTTAAAAGCTAAACATAGGTTATTAAGTGTATCTTTTTCTTCAAAGCAAGAAATGGTTATGATGAAATGATGACAAACGGAAAATCTTGTATACTTTGTGGTGTAATGTTTACTACTTTAAAAGATCAGGTGAAATAATGGCTCTCATTCTCATACTGAATTTCATAACTGACTCTGCAATTTTATTTGTGAAAATGACATATTAGCTAACTGTATATCAGTTGAATATTTTTATATTTTTATTGCACATAGCGAAGCCATTTTAAGCTGGACTGGCATAAATATAACATTAAACAAAGGTTACTACAGAGAAAGCCTGTCAAACAGGAGGAATTTGAAGAAATTGTTTCAGGTAAATTGAATTATTCCTAAAATTATGTAAACTTATAACTCTTGTGGCTATGTATGCATGCAACAACTTGACAGCATCTCTATGAAAAAAACAGACTGTAAAAGAACAGTGTCTGTTAAGATCTGCTTTACATGTTTTATAGATTGTCCCAGGCTTTTTCTGTTGTTTTTTACGACACTTTGTTATTTGTTATTATGAGGAAATGGCCCCCAAAAATTTATATTTAGGTGACCTTTCAAGTATCTCTGGCTCAGACTCAGATTCAAGTGATGATGATGATGATTTGCTTGTCACTCTTGATGAATTGAGTGAGCCATTAATGAATTTGAACTTAATGATGCAGGAAAATGAAGAGAATTGTAGAACAAATCTGATTAACAAAGCTGATCCTAAAGTTTATTTTGTGAATGAGAAAGGAATACAGATGTCATTATATCGAGCTGTTATTTCAGGAACAAAGGTTGATTTAATGTTTTATAAATAAATATGTTTATGTGGGAAAACTTGTTTAAAATAATTAACTTCAAGCACTGCTTTCTTTTATAGGAAATCTTATCTATTGAGACCATTGCTTCAAGGATTAAAAATTTAGCCAATGAAAGAATGTGGATGATTTTAATGACAGGCGGAGGTCATTTTGCAGGTGCAGTATTTTCAGGGTATGTATATAGACATATCCTTACATAGTACTGATAGTTTTATTGCAGTACATAGTGAGTCTGCAGGTTTGTTTATGTCCTGTGAATTTTTCACTCACAGTGAAAACAATGAAGTTCTATAGAAATAAATAATGTCAATGGTGAAAAATTTACATAGCATGACCAAATTTGTGGCCTGGCTATACTCATATTGGTGTGTTGGACCTGTCACATTGAGGCAAACATTTTTCAACATTCACCAATTCTGCAACACATGTTGATTGAATTTATTTTAGATATAGACCTTTATAGTTACTTCTATCGAAGTTACTCCTATAGTATTGTGTTTTATAATCTGTCTCGCCATTTAATCTTAGAATTAATGTGCTAATTTATGGTGCATAACTGGGAAAAAGATTTGTTGATTATAACCTTTAACTAAATGATGAAAATGAAACGTTGAAATATGATATTTAGTCACTAATTGTCTAGCTTTATGAGAAATTTTCCATTTATGACCAATTTAATTTACCATGGTAGGAAAATGTGAGATCTACTCAATGAAAATAATTTCATTCCTCTTTGTAAAGTAAAGTAACACCTTTGTAAAATCATCTTGAAATTTTTTTTCAACAAAGCCACATTGTTTAGACTAGCTTAGTCTGTGTCTTAGAATATATTCTTTGTTATTGATTATTACATAAACTAAGTAAGAATTAATTATTTTTAGCAAAGATGTAATCGTCAGTAAAACGTTTCATCGTTACACAGTTCGAGCAAAACGAGGAACATCACAAACAATGAAAGATAATAAACAAGGAGGACATGCACCAAGGTTGGGGACACATGTTTATATTGTATAGTAGTTGTGGATACGAGTTTTTAGTGTGTTTTGTCATTTCGATCATACATATTGCTGAATTTTTTTTGTTGTTGCTTTATTTAATTTAAGATCAGCTGGCGCAAGTTTAAGACGCTACAATGAAGCTGCTTTAGTTCAAGTATGGAAAATCATTGTAATGTCAAATGTAGTTTACTAAAGAGGAGAGGAGAGGTTTACCTTTACTCTCGTAGCAAGGCCACCATCCTTCAACCTCACTCTACGTATAATCATTGCATGAACATCGACTGCACAGTTTAAAGTGTCATATTTTAGTATGTTTGTCAAAATAAAATATCTCAATGCATGTCATAAACCTGTTATGTTAAAACTCTTGTAGGATATTCAGAACCTTCTACATTCATGGAACGAGTACGTAAATAAATGCAGCAAAATTTTTATGAGAGTTCCAAATAATTACAAATGGATCTTTGTTGCTGGCAAGAAACCTCCATTTGAGAAAGGTGCGTAAGAAAACTTCCCTTGTTAAGATATGTAGGTCTCATCACTTTACTCAATTTATGAAATTCACTTCGTTTCTTTTTGCGTTTATAATTATTTTTACAGACGATAATCGCTTAAGAACAATTCCTTTCCCCACAAGACGTGCTACGTTTAAAGAGCTTAACAATGTTCACAAAAAACTGTCTACGGTATCTGTAGGTTAGTAACCAACCTATGGATACTTTGATGAACGTAGAAAGATACGGGATACGTAATGCATAGACTAAAACATCGCGTAACACAATTTTTGTTATTTTACCACTAGTGTTAGATAGTAACCAAACAATTGTCGATGACGCGTCAAACCAAGAAACTGAAAAGTCCGATGGTTTAGATTTTTTAACGCAATCAGAAGAATCCAAATGTGATAATAAAGAAATTTTTGTTGATGTTCATGAAATACCAAACAACGATTTAAAAGATTTGGATAAATCTAGTGACAAGGAAATACTTCAAGTGTCAAAGAAGAAAAAAGCGAAGCAGGGAAAGAAAATCAAAGTTGAGAAAGAGATAAAAAATAATTCTTGTGACAATCAAGAAAACAGCAAAAACATGATACGTATGTGTAATGAACTTAATGCAACACGTTCATTTTGTCATTTTAACGTATATTTACAATATGCAATGATTTTCTTATGATTTACAGATATTCCAGCAATATGGATGGAGTTATATGAAGCAGTCAATTCTGGTAAAAAAGATGATACTCTAAGAATTTTAATGACATGCAACGAATTGTATAATAATGAAATGGTTTCGTCTAAAGATAAAGGCAATCTAGTTGATGAAAAACAATCTTTTACATTCACGAATAAGGAAACATTCAATGTGAACAATAATAAAGAAGGAAATGAAGGATCTAATTTTGACAGAAGTCTTTATGAAAATGAGCGCAATGATCTTCTAAATCAAAACTTTCAAAACGAAACAGTTCTACACGTGGCCTCAAGACTTGGTGAAACTGAAATATTGAAGATTCTGTTAGATAATGGTGCCAATCCTACTGTAAAGTAAGAAATTCCGTATATCGCTTTTGCATTGTTCTATTTTTTACCAGCTTATATAAAATTCACAATATGTACGTAAAGACAGTGTGTGTTTTCATGTGGCTTACCCTGTTTCTTGCACTATTTTCTTGCTCCTTATGTTTGGCATTTTGTTTATTTAAACTATTTTTACAACTATGTTGAAAATATTCTTGACACTATGTTTTAAGTTGTTTCGCTATCTTCGCCATCAAAAGTATTATATGTTTTCCTATCGTGAGATATCGAACTTTTTTAACGCTCTATTTCCAATTCAGGAATGCCAAAGGTCGTGTTCCATATGATGTTGCTACCAACAAAGAAACAAGAAATGTATTTCGGCGATTTATGGCTGTGTACCCAGAGAAATATGATTATAACGAGGCTAGGGTAGGTATGCGTAGGAAAGAGTTTGGGGTAAGATTGACTATATGATGAGGTTAGTTCATGGTTAGGTTTAGGTTTATGGTTACAGTTAATGTGAGTAAAACAAGGTTGGAGTAGTTAAGATGACTATCACGTGGTTTGATTGAATAATTACGTAGGTTAGTGTGGATAACAAGGTATCTGTGTGATTGTCGCGAGTTTGTTGCTGATGGTAATTACGTAGGTTAGTGTGGATAACAAGGTATCAATGTGATTATCGCGAGTTTGCTGCTGATGAGATTTTTAGTGCAAAGTTTCTAGGCAACTATTGTTTCAACTAAAGCATAAAAGCAAACATGTCATACTACATTAACTAATTCGGGGTTATGTGTTGCATATTTTCATTATATTCGAAAATTTGTGTTTTTGTGCATATACGTATACTTTACGATTTCTATGCACGGTCTAAGGAAAATTTTATCAGGGATATTTTATGTAATCTAAGGAGCTTTATTGTTTTGTGTTTCCTTCACGCATTTACATCGTATTATTTGTAAAATGTATTTGAAACGCATGGTGAACTGATGTGACAGTATTCATTTGATCTTTTGTCGACCATAGACGACCTTTTGTTTCCAACAAACAGTATAGCTTTACTTTGAAGATTTAGTGAAACAAAGTCCATTGTTTATTTTTACATAAAATCATTGAGTAAAAACAAAAAATCTTAAACAATTATTTAAACTTGTAAACTTATGTAGCCTCAAATGAAAATGAAAGAACCCCCGCTATGTAGAGACTAAAAGTTGTGATATGTCTTATTAATAATGATTCTATATGCTGTGATGTCAATGGATATTTTTCTGATGTTTCATGAATCAAAATTGAATTGGAATTAATGTAGAAATGGAAAAATGTATGAAACGTTTTATGATTGACTTAAATTACATGTCAGGGTGCAATGAGTTTTTTAAACTTTACGATATCTTGGATTCCTATTTACGAGGTTGTGATAACTTATATTACTTTAATTGGCTTGTTAAAGACATCACAATTGTAACTTCAAGAGTTAGCCTTTTTGAACTCAAACTGTTTTTGTATTGACTCTTGGCATTTATCCTGCAAATAGAAACAGTAATTAGGAGCTATTATACCGAATTCTCATTTCTCTTTCTTTTCTAGATTCCTAGTGCCTTAACGAGTGAGATGGAAGAAAGGGAACGTCAAAAGATTGCTGACAAAAAGAAGGCTCAATCCAAAGCGCGAAAGCAACGTTTAAAAGAAAAGAAAGCTGAAGAGAAACAGAGAAAAGAAGAAGAAATAGAAAAAGAAAAAGAAGAAAGCGAAAAGAAATGGTTTCAACAATTATCTGAAAGAGAAAAGGTTACGATAGAACTCATATCATCTAAGCATATCATAAATTAAATCTTTACCGTCAGAAATCTAGAGAACAACGGTTGTAGAGCATTTTTGTTCTTTATTGAATCAGTTTTCTTTTGATTTCACCATGAAAATATCATATTTTCTAAAGAAGAATTTGTATGATTTGTTGTAGAGGGCTGTTGCTGCTGAACGAAGATTAGGGTTAGTAAATTTTATTCTTTTTGTTCTGTCAAATTATTTTTCAATTGCTTATACGTTGAACAAAAATTGTTGCAATGAGTAATTTAGTTTTAACTGCCCTCCCCCCTCTCGTCGTTATTATGAATTTTATATGGAAGTTATCGTTCTATTTAGAACCATTTGTTTCAGCTGTTGTCGGAGTCTGCAAGGTCTGGTTCCATTTGAAAGACTGTCATATAAATACTGCAGTACTGAATGTGTAAAACAACATCGTCTAATTATGCAGACTGCTGTAAAATAAAGTTCCACTTTGGTTACATACATTAAAGTCGTACAACAGTATTTCAATAAAGTATAATTTCTGGTCATGTCTACAATTATCTTTCACTGTTGACACTAATGTATATATTTTGGGATTTTGTGAATGATGTGTTTATGATTCTTTTTTTAACATGATGTACATCGTCAGTTTTATGTCATGCGAATATGTCATTGGATGTTCAAGAATTTTTTTATCATTTAGCAAAAATACTTACCACCAGACATATTTGAAACACTTCCACTTTATTAAAAATTGTAGGCTTACGGACGTTGAATTTTCATTGTTACACGCTAAAAAAGATAACCAAGTTTCGCGAAACTACCGAACAAATGTCTTTTGGTTAGTATAACATATATCCTGAGATTTAAACTTTTAATGTCCTTTACAAGCTCAAATAATTGAATCGAGACTTGAAAATCAGGCAATCACGATCTTGAGTTTTTTTCTTTTTTACGTTAGAGTTTAACTGTCAGCAAGTATTCCCCCTTTTTATTGTGTTTGAACGTCTTAAGCTTCTACGTCTCCGTACATGACGTCGAAAACAGCCTATTTCCCAGTCCTGCAGACGATGCTATAAAAATTATGTTTTTCCTTGTTTTTGATTTGAATAGAAAATTTTGCAGCATTTTTCTTTTATAAAAATAATTACACCTATTTTGTTCGTAGAGTCTATAGCAGGGGTCTCCAAACTACGGCCCGCGGGCCAGATGCGGCCCGTTGGGCCTCTCAATCCGGCCCGCAGAGGCACTTAAGAAAAAATAATATATATTATTATCAATATTATTATTAAACAAAATAAACTTTGTGCAGAAAGTTCACGTTATGACGCAAGTCAACTAGCAAGAGTGGCTTACGTCAATTTTTCTCCCAACTTCCTACTTCCGTTTCAAGCACATTGCGAAATTTAAAAAGCTGAAGGATAACGTGGAAATTTTTTATATTCTTCGGCCCTCAACATGCTGGATGAAAGTTCATGTGGCCCTCCGGCTGTAAAGTTTGGAGACCCCTGGTCTATAGAGTCAATAGTATAAAAACTCTTTTTTAAACAAGAAACTGCGATATTTTATTCAGCGGAGCTTCGATACCTGGATGGCCAAAATCGACAGTTGGTCTCCATGTTTTTGGAGTTAGACGACGACATGCTTGGTTAATCTAGGTAGTTACCATGGTAATTGCACGAAAATCAGTGCACGGATCGTTGAAAAGCAGTGTTGAAAAGTTAAGGAGCTGATCTCTACACTCTCAGTTTTGAAAAAACTTGAAGTAAAATCACCGCTTTTTGAGAGTAAGTATAAACTAAAGAGGCAAGAATTATTTTTAGCCTTTATTCTGGAATGGAAAACTCGTTGTAGTGTTACCAAGACAACAAGCATCATTTCAAAGGTTAGTTTTTGTCGTTAGTAAGTCATAGTACAATAGGTGGATCATTTTGTTGAAATTTAATCCCTTGCCACATTTGCAATTCTGCATTTGTTTGCATTGAATATGTTATCGCATTCTTGTTAGTATTCCATCTTTACCGATTTTACATTAAAACAGCAAGCTTTCTGGTTATCTATTTGTCAGCTTTGTTTTTATTCGTGGTCGTTTCTTGGATATATTGGGATAAACGGATTTGTACGGTTTTTGAAAAAAGCTGAGTCACGAAAGGGATATTTGATTTTAATTCAGCATTGTTGTCCTCGTTGTTCATAACTGGCATATTAGCACTCAACAAAACGAAGTATTTATTCAGAAAAGATTTAGTTTATCATTCAACGTTGTGCCAAAGTCAATGAAGTCATTGAAAAACGCAAAAGGAGATCCTAGTAAGTAAACTAAGGTTTTTTGTTTTCATGTATGTCAACAAATTAAATCATATATGAATGCAAAACGTCATTTGATGTGCTGTTTTCGCTCAAAGTATCCAGTAAAAGCAACATTTCGACTGCTCTATAAAGTAAAATGGATTTGCTCTGTGCAATGCAATAACTGAAATACAGAAGATTTGCCACTGATTTTTATGCAACTAAGATATAAGACCTATTATTTTGTTTTTTTTTGTTCATTGGTTATTTCGTATCAGTTGGCTAATTAATAATTTTGAAAGCAAAACAAGGAAGTCACACAAGTCGTTTTCATAAAATCTTGTACATAGCAAAATGACGACATGATGTTGTCTTGGTAACGACTTGTGACAAGAAAACACTCCCTCATATAGTTTTTATGCAAAGTTGTAAAACGCAAGTATCGTGATAATGGATTTTTTCGAGGATTTTTTTAAATAATTTTTTCTCGATTTTTTTACAAAAACATTCTACCCAGCACGCACTACTTATTGAGTAATATTCAGATATGCATACCGTAAATTTTTAAAATACTTTATTATTTTGCATAATTTGGAAACTTTTATTAAATTATATATGCATAACATATCGATGAATACTCACCATGATCACCATTATCCCCAGCATATGTTATATTGTTTTTCAAATATTGAGATTTTGACGTCATAAACATACGTCAAAAAAAGACCGTATGAAAAATTTTCTCTTTGCTTCCAAATATGGAGAGCATTTTAATGACTTTTTTCAATTGACCAATCAAAAAGCATAAAAAATTGTGACGTTTCCGTTTATGAACCCGCCACCTTCATCTTATATTCCCTGCAGCTTCGCTTTTGGGCATGAAAAATACAAAGTCGTCTGGAAACGAGTAAAAAAGCGATTTTTTTGTACATTTATAAAATAATTTCCTTGAAGTAACGGACGATTTTCCCCTTGCCTCATAATAATGGGCAATACCACGGGGAAAAAGGGAGATCCAGAGAATGGTAAATAGCGAGTACACGGATACTTTTTGTGGCTATTTATATGCATGTGTTTCGATGTGTCTTCAATGTTAAATGCATGGCTTGTAAACCTTTCTGATCGTTTTAGTCAAGGCATTTCTCAGTCAAGCAAAAGAAGAGTTTAATCAGAAATGGGAAAAACCCGCACAGGTAGAAATCATTTGTCGAGCTGTAAATGTAAAAATATATCTGGAACGCGTCATTGACTAGAGTGAAAGGACAATGCAGGAAGGATCAGTCTATGTTTTCCGGTTTCCTGAAACTCATTTTGTACAATCTATTGGAGTTTTGTTTATAAAAAATACCTTTATAACAAATATTATGCTATGATTTAAGCTTGACATGCATTAAACTGTGTGCTTTTAGGATTTAAGACTAAACGTTTGTTGCCAAATGCAACGCCTATTAAACTTGTTTGCATTTTTATTTTACAGAACACAGCTAGTCTTGAAGATTTTGAACGACTTAAAACTCTTGGGACGGGGTCATTTGGACGAGTAATGCTTGTACAGAGAAAAAAAACTGGAAAATTTTATGCCATTAAAATTTTGGACAAGCAAAAGGTATCGAGTAAACAGGAAATGTCAAATGGAAATTTATTCTTATGTACAACATCGTTTGGTGCAAATGTTGCCGTTCACTTGCAAACTGCAATATCTAGTATTTAAATCTATCCTGCAACACGAAAAGGAGTTAACATAATGGAAGTGTGTTCTTTGAAATAAATGTTTTCAGCGATTGTCAGAACATCTGTTTCTTGTTACCTGAAGCGTGCTCAATATGAAACTCGAATCAAATTTCATTTGAATGCTTTGCCATGAATTTCAAAATTTTAATGTTTCTTCGGACCTAGTATTTGTTTCTGAATAGTATAATTTACTATTCCGCCATGATGATAGTCAATAACAATGAAAAATTGTTGTTTTGTTTGTGAACGTTGTGCTTGTTGTAGTGGTCTTAGATCATTAATGTCCCTGTTGTCAAATATTAACCTTGTTATAATTTTTTTGTTCATATCTAGGTGGTGAAGCTGAAGCAAGTAGAGCATACTTTAAATGAAAAACGTATTTTGCAAGCAATCAGTTTTCCTTTTCTTGTGAATCTTGAATGGAATTTCAAGGTAGCATAAGTTTTGAATATTCAACATTCTCTTTGAATCACTTTGTTGTTTTCAGCTTTCCATATTGTGTTGCCTTATGTAGTAGAAAGAATTTTAACAGAACTATCTTTAGAAAATTTTTCTACAATTTTTATTAGAAATACATAAGCCAGAAAATGTCAGATTTACATTTAGATTAGTTGAGTGTTTTGCATAGAAATCAGCTAAGTAGGTAGGTTTCATCTGCTTGTTTTATTCATAAGAAATTTGGTTCATGATGAATGAACCCAATTGACTTAAAACTTTCCCAAAACATTTAATTATGTGAGAGTTTGTTTATTATGAAAACCACTTAGATATAAGTGGTGACAAGGGAATTGCATTATATACATTCACCCACACATTAATGGATACATGACTCTATTTTATGCCTTATTATTGTGGAGTATTTTTGCATTAGGATAATTCCTACTTATACATGGTGCTGGAATTTGTCCCTGGTGGAGAAATGTTTTCCCATTTGAGAAGAATTGGTCGGTTCAGGTGAGATAAAATGTATTAATTGATAAATCCACTCAATTCTCATTTTTGTGAGTAAATGTTTTTTCTGCTTTATTACAGTGAAGGACATTCAAGATTTTATGCAGCACAAATTGTTCTTGCATTTGAGTATCTTCATTCATTGGATCTTATTTACAGGTATGTTTTTAATAGTTTTAATATTATCATTGTTGAATCTTATTAACCTTGTAGCCTTGTATTTTATGAATTAGGGATTTAAAACCAGAAAATCTTCTTATTGACAATCAAGGATACATAAAGGTACTATAGTTAAAGATACTAATGATTGACTTTAATAATTTGCTCTACAAGTTTATATTTCACCTATTCAATTGTCTTTTATGAAGATCACTGATTTTGGCTTTGCTAAAAGAGTCAAAGGAAGGACTTGGACATTATGTGGCACTCCAGAGTATCTAGCCCCTGAAATTATACTTTCCAAGGTTATAAGAAAATATCCTGCTGTTTATTTCCGATTCTAGTGAAATATGTATTTTTTTAATTTTGCTCATATGGTAATCATTATGTTATGTAGGGCTACAACAAGGCTGTTGATTGGTGGGCCTTGGGTGTTTTGATTTATGAAATGTCAGCTGGTTATCCACCTTTTTTTGCTGACCAACCTATTCAAATATATGAAAAGATTGTTTCCGGAAAGGTAGAATTATTTTGCTTCGAAAGAGTCCAATAATGTTGTTAATATGTCTGATATACTGGTCTCGTTCACTTTAATTATAGGTTAGATTTCCATCTCATTTTACATCTGAACTTAAAGATCTGCTGAAAAATCTACTTCAAGTTGACTTGACAAAACGTTATGGTAATTTGAAAAATGGTGTCAATGATATTCGCAATCATAGATGGTTTGGACCAACTGATTGGATTCTCATTTATCAAAAGAAGGTAAATCTTTGGATTTTACATAATTGAAGTTTTTCATAAACATGTTTCATTTACTTGAAAACTTACCTAACCCTGGAATGTGTAGTTAACCTAATCTAACCTTTACTTGAAAGGAACACTTTGATACAGGCTGCAATTCTACAGTCCATTTTAAAGGTGGTTTTTTTCACATAAATTGTATCATCCTTTATGGGGACTCATAGGTATAAGCAGCTTTTTTCGTTGGATTACAATTAACATTTATTCTATTAATTTAGATTGAATCGCCATTTAAACCCAAGTGTAAAGGTCCTGGTGATCCCAGTAATTTTGACGACTACGAAGAAGAGCAGTTAAGATTATCTACCACTGAAAAATGTGCAAAAGAATTTGCTGACTTTTAATAATATATTCTTTTCCAAGAACACGAATACTTGTAGTTTTAACAACAAGTGCCACAATCAACAAAAAGAATTGGAGCCCAACCGTCTCTGAAACGACGAAAAATTCTTTTAGACTGCAGAGACATTGGTTCATTATTTATTAAATCCGAGAGTTTTAGACGTATAGAGAGTTATAACCAAACAAGGAAGTTTTATTTGTATGAACTGTTTATAGCTAAGTCATGTACATTTTATCAGCGATACATTTTATCGTATGGCCAAAATCATGCAAATATATAATATTATTAGCCTTCCACTCCTGTTTGACGGCGAGTTAAATAACTTAGTGAATGAAAAGTTCGTTTAGACAAAAATTGTCCTAGGAAAAGGGGTTTATCTTTAGCTACTCTTTCTGACTGCGTTCATTAAACTCTTAAGCCTGGTTTTTGTGTCTTGTCGATAAGCATAGGTCGAAAGTCATTGAAAACGAACCATCTTATGGTGCGACGTTATCGCTCTAAATAAGTTTTTTGTTCTATGATTTTAAACATTCTGGTCAACAATTCATTTTCCAATCCCGGACAATCTGTAACAGTGCTGCTGTGGTCTGTCATTTAGCACGCCTGTGCGTAGACAATTGCAAGACGATTAAAGTAGTTCCACCGACACGCAAACTACAACTGAAAGTGTGAAAATTTTGGTTGGAAGAACGCACGTGAGGTTGATGCGTAGGGCGAGCGAGAATGGGTGTTGACTGTTGAATTTGCTGAATTAGAGGAAAATAGTTGTCGAGTTGCTGGAAATAGTTAATACTATCTTTCACATGTTACAATTTTATATTAATTACAAAAGGGTAAAAATACGCGGATCAAATCGGACCATTGGATCAGTCAAACCCGTCAGACCCCATGTGGTCAGAACCCTTACCATATCAGCCTGTTTCCAGTGACTGTTTCTAGTACCGTGTAAACAATGCAATACGCAGAAAAAATAATTGTGATATGCGCTCCTTAGAAAGCAAATTCAATTCAAAAGTATGCAATATTTACTGCCATTGAAAAGTTGTGTGTTGTAACAAGGTAATTCAAAACAACGCTATTTTTACACACACAATCCTACTGTTTTGTTGTTATTCTTGTTCAAGTATACAATATGCCGGACCGCCTCAACTTTCATTCTGGCAGTCAGTGTCATCTGGTCAGTGTATTTTTTACAACTACATTTTCCATTCGCACCATATATGGCGCCTGTATGCAGGTAGTTCCCGCCATAATATGGCTCCTCACATTTTGCACAAACTTCAAATGTAAATTGATACGACACGATCACAATCACACGATGAAGAAATTACCTGTAGAAAGTATTCGCTTACTTACTAGCACTCAAGTAGTGACTTCATTTGCTTCTGTCGTGAAGGAATTGATAGAAAATGCACTAGATGCTGGCGCATCTTCCGTGGATGTGAAATTGGTAAGTCTTCATTAGGCTAACTAAAACATAATTAGTAAGACTTACTTTATTGTGATTCATTGGCAGGAAAATAAATCACTTTTAAACTTTTGAAATAAGTATACATGGAACTTAAATGCACGTGTATATCATAAATGTATGATAACTTTAAGGCAACTTATAAATTTGACCCTGGAGCAGGCAGGCATCCTGTTTATTTACTCCTGCTATGCAAATATTCTGGAGTTTATCATGGGCGGAGTAATGCTAGTTTGATAGGGGGGGTGCAGATATTCCAAGGGGGGTACATCATTGTCCTAGCTATTGTAGATTTAAAGGTTTATAGATGAGTGAACCTTGCGTAATGAAGAGTTATTAGCTTTTTACATAATTTTATGTGAAAGATGGTGTGCAATCCCCTGCAACCCCCAGAAAATTTTCCCCTGGTATTTATTTAGAGTAAAAACAATAGATTTCTAGAGAAATAAATAATACATACAAACAATCTAAAATTTACATAGCATGACCAAATCTGGAGGATTGCTATGCCATTGGAAAATATTACAGTAAAGATTTTTAGTAAAGATCAAATGAAAAAATAAAGCCAATTGTTTTACTTAAATGTTATACTACTGATCATGGTAAAGAAAGCTGATGATGTAAGGAAAAGTTGAGCTGCAAGTGGGAAATTTTTATATCCATACTATTAACTCTTCTATTTAAAAGCAGGCTCTAAGATTGACGTAGTTACTTTAACTCGATGTGGAATGATAAACAATCTGATTTTTGATGACAGGAAAAATATGGTTTAGAGAAGATTGAGGTTCGGGATAATGGATGTGGAATCAAACGAGGTGACACCGAATTTATGGCTCAAAAATATTATACTTCAAAGATTTCAAAACATGAGGATTTAAAAATGCTCGAAACTTATGGATTTCGTGGAGAGGCATTGGGTTCGCTTTGTGAAGTTGCAGATGTTGTTGTAACAACCAGAACAGTTAATGATTCTGTTGCAATGTTGTATCAACTTGATCATCAAGGACATATTTTATCAAGCAAGCTCACACATGATGGTATTGGAACAACAGTTGTGGCTTCAAATATTTTTAAAAATTTGCCTGTGAGAAAGCAACATTTTCAAGCTAGTAAAAGATGTAGAGAAGAATTGAAGAACATTGAAGATCTTCTCTTGGCTTATGGCTTAATAAATCCAAAAGTTAGGATCATTTTACGGAATAATAAAAATGTTATATGGCAAAAGAATAAATGTGCAGATTTAAGATCAGCTATTATCGATACCCTTGGTGTTCGTGTTTTTAGTCAATTTGAGAATTTTGAACGTTCAAATAGTGAATTAAACATGAAAGTTAAATGTTTTGTTCCCAAACGTGATGCAAATAAAGAGTTTATGTGGAGATCATCTTGTGATAGAACTTTTATCTTTGTCAACAAACGTTATGTTCTTTGGAAGGAATTATCTCAGGTTTGCATTAAATTGCTTCTAAAATTAATATTTTCAAAGCATTTACTTCCAGAAATACACTGGCAAATTTGCCTCTCACCCCCTTCCCTTGTTAAAAAATGTTTTAAAACTAACACAAAGTTAACACAAAGTGTTAGTATTCCTTTATTGCTCATTTTCACATTCTTTTGCAAACTGCCCTAGGAAACTGCGCTTAGATATGGAAACAAATTTTAACTTAATTGTATAGCTGTTAAAGACATTATGCTGCCCAAACAAGGAGGAGATGTCTACTTCAAAATATCCGTTATGTTTTGTGAGTGTGATAGTGTCCAGTGAAGATATTGATGCTAATTTGGAGCCAAATAAAAACAAAGTTATGGTTAACAACAAGGTTACTTTATATTTCTAAACTATAAAAACCGTTGAAGGAAATGAAATTTTTTTTATTGAATGTCGGCAAGAAAAGAAACAACGATAAAACCGAACTAGTTTTTTCTCTTTAACTTCTGATCATGTGAATTACTGTTGCTAGTAATTTATCCAATGAAAGAATTGTTTAAAACTACGAAACCCTGATTCAACTAGCTTGTGTGCAGATATGTAGGTAGGTGCGGTGGTTGGTTTATAATAGAATGGTTATTGAATGCGCGGTGTCCTATAATCCTCAAACATCTGCTAATGTAATTATTTCTTAAACATCTGCTTATAACATTTTTTCTCAAGCATCTGCTAATGACATTTTTGTGCTAATTACATTTTTCCTGTCAGGAAGAACTTTTTGCGATGATTAGCGAAGCTTTGAGCGAGATTTACTCAGACAATGGAGAAACTGCTGTTTGTTCACTTCAGTAAGTTCTAGTTGTAGTTTATGTTCAATTTTGTTTACTTTTACGTGTGTAGATTGAATCTTTTATAAATAATCTTTTCTTAATTGTGACCGTTGCAGTCAACAATCACGGCATAGTGAAGAGTTCAATTGTGATGAAATTGCTCTGAATTCACCTGATGACATGACGGTAAATGAAAATGATAAAGATGAGTCAACGATCAATCGAAGAGATGTAGATGAATTGATGGAAAATGGAGGAGATGTAGAAGAATTGATCGAAAATGGAGGAGACGTAGATGAACTGACAGAAAAAGGAGAAGATGAAGACGAATTTATAGAAAAGGGAGGAGATAAAGAAGACTTGACGGTAAATGGAAATGATAAAATGAATCAACAATCACTAGAAGGAGAAAGATGAATTGACGATAAATAGAGAAAGTAAAGACAAATATGACGAGAAATTTTATTTATCTAAACGACAAAAGGAAAACAAGGCGATTTATGAAACTCATACTAATGAAAATAATGTTTCTGAAAATGGAGGAAACATACAGTTAGACAAACAAATTATTGAAGATACAAGTTGCCTAAATGAAGGAGTTATTGTTCAGTTAAGGAGTGATGATTCATGGAAGGACGATAATTTCTTGGAAAATACAAATTTTAAAGTTAATCAACCAAAAGCAAATGCTACGAATGAAAATAATGCAAAATGCTCAAGAGAAAGCGAAGAAATGTCCAGTCCGAGGATGGAAACAAGTAAAAATATTGATGATCTCCTGAAAGATTTTGTCTCGGATTCAGAAATTGATGAATCGCTTGTAAATATTTCTCTAGATAACGGTAAGGTTTAAGATTTTTAGTCTTAATTAGATTTGGATTTTAGAAACAATATAAAAAAATAAAATTAACTATCAAATTTACGTCAATGTTTTTGTTTTTTTGTGTGTAATCGTATCGTGTACATGTGTGTCCTCTCATTTTCCTTTTTTCAACCCCAACTTGTTTTAAATGGTACTAAACTGTTGGTTACCAATCTGTGTCCTTGTGTGTCCTCTCATTTTCCTTATTTCAAGCCCAACGTGTACTAAATGGTACTAAACTGTTGGTTACCAATCTGTGTCCTTGTGTGTCCTCTCATTTTCCTTTTTTCAACCCCAACTTGTACTGAATGGTACTAAACTGTTGGTTACCAATCTGTGTACATATGTGTCCTCTCATTTTCCTTATTTCACCCCCAACGTGTACTAAATGGTACTAAACTGTTGGTTACCAATCTATGTCCTCGTGTGTCCTCTCATTTTCCAAAACTGTCAATGATTATTACTTTGTGTTATCTTGTATTTTCTTCAACGGATTATCTATTTTTTTGTTCGTGTTTATCATTTTCTTTTTTTTTGTCAGACTCTAACGTACCAAACCAGGAACTTTGGAGTAAAGGTCAATGTTTTCTTGATAAAAATGGAAAGGAAATCGAGGTTGTCTTTCCTTTTTACTAAAGCATACTGATTTACATTTGCAAAATGTGGAACTCACTTTTGTGAATACTTTTCAGCCTGTTCGTGTTTTTCGACCAAATGTTGACAACAGATTGCAAGATACACATTTCATAAAAGCGACGTCGTGTAATCGAAAACGGAAACAAGGAAAAGAAAACAGTCAGGTTTTAAATAAACGTGTCTTTTTTTAGCTCTAAGTTTTTCTTGAAACCAGTGACTGTAAAAAAATTGTTGTTTTTGTCATTTATCAGTGCTGATCAGATTTCAGCGCTGAATAAGACAATTATTTATTATTTTACTGGCTGAAAAGTTTACTGTAATTCTAAATCAAAGGAAAATTGAAGTAACTGCTTTGTTTTAATCCAGGGGAATGTAAGCAACGGGATTTCCAAGAAAAGCAAGAAATGCTTTAAGGTTGGTATATACATTATTCTGTTTAAAACATATCTGCTTTTTATTAATTTAATTTCTTTGTCAAATGACCTCTTTTCCAGTCCCTTGTTGCAGTGGGCGTCGCTCATTTTTCGTTTTATGATTTTTGTTTGCAATCCAGCAATATCTGTTTTTGTTTTATTTAGATAGGAGGACAATCTATGTTGACATCATTTCTTCAATCACCATCTAGTTACGAAACATTTTGTAGTGCTAAAGATATTTCATTCTCTTTATCACAATTACAACATTTAGTTGCTAGAAGCAGGTAAAAAATCAGTTCATTTTTTTAATGTATAATGTTTAATATATTTTGTATTTCACATCATTACGGCTGGGTGTTGTGACAAACTTATTGACAATCAGTTTTTAGTTTAAGTACATGTTGGCGCTTTTTATATTTTGCTAACTAGATTTCATAAATGAAATGTTTATATATATAGATCAGAGGTAGTAACCACTGACGATGTATATAGATCAGAGGTAGTAACCACTGACGATGACAATATATATTTAATCAAACGTTTGGATCCTTGGGGAGTTTGGCTTGTACATAAAAATAGAAAAATTTATGTTTTGAATCCTTACAGGTAAGTGACATTAATGCATGACTTTCCATCATAGTATCTTTAAACTTCTATGCAATGTTTTAATGGATATGTTTGATTTTTACATAGGATACAAGAATCACTTCTATATCGACAATTGCTGTCTACTTACATTGCAACGCGAGAAAAACTCCCCCGACCAATTGTCTTAAATGAAGTGTAAGTTATCGCTTGTCAGCTGACCATCGATTTTTTATGTCGCAGGCGTTGTTGTCAGCATTAATTTTTGCACAATTACATGTTCAGAATTCTTGGTAATAAAAATCGGTTGTCGCTGCTGAAGAAACTTGTGACCAAAAACAACCTCGATAAAAGCATACGGTTTGTCGGAAAGCCAGTTTTATTAAGATATGACATATTCTGGCAATAAAGCTTTAAAATGTATTTCTGTATTAATTATATTTGTGTATCCATGTTTTATAGAATTACTTGTGACGACAAAAGACTTGTTTCAAATGGATTTGAAATTTCAGGAAAATTTGGTGATTGGAATTGTTGTCGTTTTAGTGTCACGTTTCCATGAAAAATTCTGAGAAAGGGAAAAAATTCAATGATTTTGAAATTCAAACATTTTTTAGATAGCGTAAAGAAAGACTTTGTAATATCTGTGGATCAGATGAACGTGACCATCCCATATTTCGGTATCACTGATCTTATTGAAATCTTAGGTGTGTTTTAAATTATTTTTTTCCGATGACGTATAGTCGCAAGGGTAACCTTGACATTTTTCTAAATAGTTTAGGAAGTAACTAATTTGGCTTTAAACATGTCTGTGTTAGCTTATAAATTGACATGTTAAAATTATGGCCAGAGATTTGACCGGAAGCGAGCGATTTTTGACATGAATATAACATCTCAATACATTGTTTTACCATCACGAAGGTGGTCTTATGACGTTAACAAAACTACCCTGTAAATTTCGTAATGCCATTATAAAGAAGTCATTTTGGCTATCAAAACTTTCCTCGCTCATGCGCAAAACCAGGCCGCTCTGATGGCTTTTTAAACCGGAAGTGGGAGTTTTTAAATGTTCCTAAATGTTCATGATGTAAATAAATTCGTTTGAGAAATTAGAAATTTATCTCTAGTGAAAGTTTTATTGATTGCAGCTATTCTATGACGTATTATTGCAAATATTTACGAAGTTAGCTAAATGTTCCTTTTCAAGTTAATGTAGGTATGCTAAACTTTATGTAAAGCCAATATAATGACTTGTCGTGTCTTAATAAAATAAAGATAATAATCCAACCATCATCATGAAGATTATTAAGATATTACTATAAGGAAAGAAGGAAATTCGTCTTGGTTAACTTTAACATTAACCTAAGCGACCAGTCAGTTTACTTTAACACCATATGTTGTTATGTTTTAGACCTAATAAAAGAGAACGACAACGTTGTGGAGAAACAAGATCTTTGTAAATTTCGACCAAGTAAAATACTTACTTTACTCAAGGTTTGTGCAAAAAAAATTTGTAAAACACGTGTCAACGTTTAGAGAAAATGAAGCACAATGAAACATCGGTTTTATATTAACTTTCAGAAATAAATTTGTGGGAAAATGCTTTGATAACGTAAAAATTGGACTTGTTGAAAAATTCATTTTCTCAACTAGGAAATTTACCTTTACAACAAATTTCCACATTTTATAGGAAGAATCCGCTCGTATATCGCGAAGCCTTCCATCGCGCATGTCTAATGCTGATCTCAATAAACTTTTGAAGAATATGAAAGAAAATCTGGAAAACGAAGAAAATTATTGTGTTCACAATCAACCACTGTTGTATCCATTGATGTCATTTTAAGATAAAGTATCAGTTTTAATCTCTGCAGAACATGCTAAAATTCAGACGAAGCATTATTATTCATGTCGTATATAGTCTTGGAATTATAAATGATGAAACAAATAGTTTGTTTAGGATGGTGACAAAATCTAATATTCTTATTTTATTTCGTCTGTCGGCATCTTGGGCGTTACTGTACACTAATAATAGTGATTTAGGTGCTTACAAATGAAGCAAGCTCGAAACTTGCACCTTTTTGTTTGTGGGATGGGGAGGGTAAACATATTGTTGGAATTGGGTGTAAATATGTTGTTGGGATGGGATGTAAATATGTTGTTGGGAGGGGATGTAAATATGTTGTTGGGAGGGGATGTAAATATGTTGTTGGGAGGGGATGTAAATATGTTGTTGGGAGGGGATGTAAATATGTTGTTGGGAGGGGATGTAAATATATTGTTGGGATGGGATGTAAATATGTTGTTGGGAGGGGATGTAAATATGTTGTTGGGAGGGGATGTAAATATGTTGTTGGGAGGGGATGTAAATATGTTGTTGGGAGGGGATGTAAATATGTTGTTGGGATGGGGGGAGGGGTAAACATGCCTTGCAAGAATACGACATGATCTGCACGTATGGGTTGCCAACTATACCATGTTTACTTTGCTGCTAAACAACTATTCAAACGAAACACTGTAAAACACTGCCATTCAAATGTTTGCATCATTAAACTTTATAATATAAAATGTCTCCATAAAAAGTAAAATGCAGGGCAAGTGTAGACCAAACAGAGTTATCCAAACAAAGCTTTTATTTAAAATTGCGCTGTGTTTTCATGTGATATGAATAATTGTAAAAACGTATCTAAGTCCCGTATTTACTCGTTTGAGTGCTTTGGCGCTCTAAAAAAATATTTATTGCAAATACAATGCTCATTCTTGGGAGGCGTTCTTGCAGTCGTTTTCTTTTTTTCCCAGCAATATTTAACTGTTTTATTTTAATGAAAATAATACTTAATGAATTGATATGAAAAGTACATTTTTCTATTTTTCGCAATAGGCAATCTTATCTCTAGTAGACAGTTCTACGAAAGCTTTTGGGAACTGTCAACGTCATACATTATTAAAAATAGATCAAAATAGTATGGCCACCTTGTGACACATTTGTTAAGATGAAATTGAATCAAAATATTATTAAGAAATATAACTACTCAGGTTTCGCAAGTAGTGGCTCTACTGCTTACTCACGAAATTTTACTAAGTCGAGTCTTTGGTGTGCAAGTTGCGTCATGGCCCTCATGTTCGATGATTTTCACAAAGCATTTTCCTTAGTTACAATAGTGATTTACATTGCAAATGTATCCAATATAAAGAACTTTCCATTGTTCTCTCACACCCTGGAGAATGGTTGCACACCACTTATATGAATGTGTTTTCAAATTAGGTTAACGACACAATATCTCTCACACTTTAAATTTATCATTTTTGTAATGCATTGTTTTTCTTTGTACTTAGAACCAATCATAGACTCTGATCATGTAGGTGGATAGGAATTAGATATTTTTGAACGACTTACCTGCATGTTGTTTTCTGATTGATATTTGTCGAGTGAGAATGCCTAGCTGTAAAAGTCAAGATTTTTGATGTGTTGATGAAAACTTTGGGAAAGTTCTTGGTAGTGACGTTAGATAGAATGATACAGGCTCAGTGATTTTGAAGAGATCGGTTGTTTGTGAGTGAAATTATTCCATGGTTTTTAATGTGGTTGAAGAAAAGTGAATTTTTGTGTCAATCCCAAACGAAGTTGAATAAAGATCATTGATGATCGTTCGGAAAATTTTGCTTTCGGAACATGGTTGATGATTATGAAAATGTTGTGGTAAGGTTTACGTTGTAGTTAAATGGAAGAATTTAAATCGTTTTAATAAAAGTAGGTATTTATAATGTAATTAAGATTGTAAAGCCCACTGGTCTATAGTTATAAGCTAGGGTCATCAGGACCTGGTTCCATTATTAAAACAGGCATTAGCGAAATAACGTTTTTATTCTCGTGAGACTAAAAGCGGAATGTGTTTTTGTCATACCACTGACTTGTTTAGTATCTTTGTCAGATGCAAAAAGACGAGAAGATGTAAGAACTAAGAAGTGAAAGTTAAGGTTGTAAGTGTTTCTATCATTCATCAAATTTAAAAATTTTGTTGCTTGTGTCTATTTTAGAACGACGTCTCGTAGCCTTATCATGGTCATTTAACGTTTCTTACAGTAAGTGTAACCAATTGTTTTTACTCGTATTTAGACTAAGTACTATCATTTAAAGAAAGCATATTTTAGAAAGATAAAATTTTTGACTTCAATTCTCTGATCGGTGTTTCCAGATGATCAATTGAAGGTTTTGATTATGCCAAAAGTATAAACATCCAGAGCAAAATTACATCGTGCCACACTAATTCAAAAACATGCACATAAATGAGTATTTGTGACGTTCTACTTTCTTTTATGAGAAGAATTCTTGTAGAAAAAGACAAATTTTGAAAACAAAAAATCCCGTTTTCGGTCCATGCCTCCCGATACCCCGACATAGTTGAGCACTAGAGCGTCGCATGTTAACTAAGGGAACCACATAATTTTTGTTTGTTTGCCATAAAGCATATGGATGGTTTGCTCGTGATACATGAGAAACAGTAAATGGGAGAGTTAATTCAGAAAGATATAAACCGATAAAAATGGTATAAAACATATTTAAGGTTGTCTTTAATTATAAGTGTCAGAAAAAGACAGGGTCATAAGAAGTTTATTGAAACATTGCTTGGTTTATTTTATGAGAAGTAAAACAAAAAGACAAAATTCGAAAGCAAAAAAAACCCGTTTTCGGGCCATGCTTCCCGATACCTTCTGATATGTAAGGCACTAGAACGCCGCATGTTAACGTTTCGGTAGGAGATTTCGGCCCCTCCACGCTATCCTACTTGGGAGATGCAATAGCAAGCTTCCGCCCATCAGACCCCGAGATCACCTGCGATAGGCTTTGCTCGGGGTACGCAGGGAGAGTGCGGTCGCGACCCGAAACGTCTGGGCCCCTAAGCCACTGCATACATATCGCACCCGGCTTCCACTGCTAGTTGACATCTACTATATGAAATTTTAGCTTTATATATATATACAAAAATTCAAAGACTTACGAAAGTTGTGGGATGATTGTTATTGTTACTGCGCATGCCCAGATGATTTCTTTGATAATTTGCGACTAAGTGAGTTAATTGACACGAATGTAGTGCAAGTACATATAGTTGGTCGTCGTCATGACTATGAACAATTACTTGAGTGGACTGCGCATGCGCTCCAGCATGCGCAGATGATTTCTCTATTAAATTGTTACTAAGCATGCTATTTACTTCAAAATTGGTGCTAGTAGATGCAGTTGGTCGTTGCCATGACAATGAACTTGGGTAGCTGGTCAAGTTCACTGCGCATGCGCAGATGATTTGTCTTAAAAATTGTGACTGAGCGAGATAATTACTCCAAAATCGGTACTAGTACATCCAGTTCGTCGTTACTATGAGCTTGAAGAGTTTGTGGAGTTGACAACGCATGCTCAGATTATCAATTAACTTGTGACAGAGCGAGCTCTGAAATTGGTGCTTGTAGATGCCCTGAGCAAGTTTTCAAGCATATATTTTTGGCATGCTCTTTGTCTCTTAAGCTTGTTTTGACAAATGCATATCAAACTCATCAACTCTTTGTTACGCCACTCGTAATATTCGTGACAATGTGATAGATGTTTTTAGTTTTCTCTATTACTTAGTACCTTTATATTTAATGTCATATCCAAGCTTTCCGCAAGCTTTTTTTTGTCGATGCTGTTCCGCGTCGTATGTGGGTCAAACCACACGCCACTTACACACCAGAATCTTGGAACACTTGGGGATCTCTCCTTTGACTGGAAAACGCTATACGAACCATTAATGTCAAGTATTCTTTCTCATAGTAACTCCTCCAACCACCCTGCTTCGCCAGACGATTTTAAAATCATCTCATCCTGCTCCGACACATTCGACCTCATGATCCACGAAAGCCTCCTCATCTCCAAACTAAAACCTTCACTTATCACCCAAGGCAGCTCCATCCTTCTTAAGCTTTTCTAGTCGGTTAGCACTATTTTCCACCCAGCAAACCGCCCTTTACTTTACACAATCGTTAATAAATTAAAGATGGCGGCTAATGGGAAAGAACCAAAAGCTAAAAGGAAACCATGCATGCACTGGTGCTAGGTCGTTTTGAGATGGCGAGTAATTTTATATTTTTATAATACAGTTTTTAATATCAACATATGAAAATATTTACAGATAAATGTTGCAGTATAAATTTTCATGCAACCACCTTAAGTCATAAACTTATAATCCAGGCTGGAAAATATGTCGTTTTTCGACGATTGTGTAAAATATTATATAAAATATTATATTGTGTAAAATATTAGATTGTGTAAAATATTATATTGTGTAAAATATTATATTTCAAATAAAGGGCGGTTGCTGGGTGGAAAATAGTGCTAACCTTTCTAGTCTCAACACCTCACCCTAACAATACATCACACTTATATCACACTTACATCACACAATACATCACATCACACCTACACATTCACAGTAACCTGACAACTCAAACTATGTAAATAGCTCTATATATATCTATATTCTTGTTAACTTCCTAATTAGCCTGAAGATGTCTTGAGTAAAGACGAAACGTCACTCTTTTAATAAATTTAATAAAACCAAATTGTTTATGACTATGTTTAAAATTATTTGTTGAGCTCTAATATTTATATTGAGAATCCAAGCTTTCCGTTGATTAGACGGAAAATGTTTTTTATTTACTCTTACACCATCTGCCTTTATAATTAGTGGTTTAGGATTTCTAAAATACGATTTACAAATGCCCTAGAGCATTTTCTTTCCATTTTATTGCCACAATTCCACATATACAATACTATGTCCGACCATTTGATTGCCCGAATCACACAAATTTTGTAATTTGATTTCTTTTTTTTGACACGTGTTATCGTCGCATGCTTACCGTCGGAAAGTAGATTGGCACGTGGTATGATCAATTGACATAATAACACTGATAGTGTCATTAGTCATTCATGTACAGGTTACATGTAATTCACGTGCGATTGAATTGGACAAGAGTTGGACTTTGTTCCATATTTTTATGTGAAAATAAACTAGCACGTGAATACAAAAATATCAACCAATAGAAATTATTTTTCTCTAATAAATGAAATACAAGTAAATGAGGACCAATTAAATTTCAAGGTTTTTACTATCACTGTGAATTGTTGTGAAATTGTACAGTTTGTTTACGTTAAGGTCTTTCGTTCATGTATGTTGAAATAGGTTAAGTGTCGGTTTTTGCTCGCATAAAACTGCCATATAGTGTTTTTAATTACTTGTTTGGAAAGTATATTTAAAAAATAGGCGAAAATTTAAACTTTGTTTTAATTTGAAAGGTCAATTATAAACATGTCTGTGCTTACGAGTAGTCAATACGGTAAATTGCCTTCCTTCGATTTGAAAAAGAATGCAAGCTTTTTCAACCTTCAAAAATATGAATTACCTGTTATTGGGACGCTTGTTCACGATTACATCGTCCCCGGCTTCAAATACCGTGTGCGTCTGATGAATACAAACGAGCAATTATTTGGCGGTAAAGCGAAGAAACTCGAATCGATTGGAAAAGGTTATGGCAGACGTCTGACATTTGAAAGTGAGGATATTTTGGAGAATAACAACTTCTTTTGGTCCGACAGCCATGAAGCTGGCTTTGCGTTTTTACCAGAAATTTTATCGGTCGGTGATATTTTTCAAGCTTTGGATAGTCATGGAGACGAAGTGGGATCTATTTTCTTAACTCAAGTCAGCGAACCACAAAAAATTACAGGAGTTAGCATTGATCAGGCTGTTGAAGTACATGCAACTGCTACTTTGTCTGGAAACTTGACATTGCTATCTCAAATGGATAAAAATATAAAACTCAATGGGCAAGTCGTGATTACAGCCAATCGAAATTTATGTTCCTTTGAGTTCCTCGAGAAAGAAATATACGCTAGCCATGGAGCGCTTCGTTTCATTAAACATTAGCCTAGAATATGGACGAGAAAAACGGGTTTATTGGGGATTATAAGTTTAATATGTAAGGAAGAAAGGTGTTGGAAATTTGGAATTAAATATTAAATAAGTAAAACTAAAAGCAGCAGCCGTCGTCTACGTTCTTGTCTGTGATTTGCTGTCTTTCTAAATTAGGTTGTTATGCAAATAATTTTATTGGAAATATGTAAATTTGGGTTGTAAAGATTTCTTATTAAAAGTATACTTTATTAATGTTTGGATTTATGTTGTCGAGTCATAAATACAATATTTTTTTTAAGGTGGAGGCCACATATACATGCATTCTTACAATTGCTTACTAAAACTTTGCGATGCTCGTGCTTAAAATTTTGTTAATATTTTGTGATTTTGCATTAATATTGAAATTAATTATATTTTCTCCACAAAACTTGTGCTTGCACTTAAGACAGCCACAAAAGTCTTTTATTAGAAATACACTTATCTCAAGCTCATTTGTTGATAAAAATTCATTGCATCAAATTCAATGGTATCAAAGATTTTTTATTATATTTGATAATTTTGCAACGCTTGGTATAATAAAATCAGGCTTTCCTTTCCTAAGTGTAGATTCAGTTTGAGTTCCTGTAAGAACAGCAACTGTCCAACAACCAGCATTTTTTCCTTCTTCTATATCCATTAATGTATCACCAACTTTTATAACAGATTTCGCATCGCATACTGCACAGTGTTTCATGGCAGACAGTATTAATGACGGATGTGGTCGACCATGACCTTCTTGCTCTGCACTTGATACATAATTTATTAATTCATTCCAGCCCAATTTACTAACTAAACTCAAAACAACATTATGAGGAAAACCACTGCCAACTGCAATCTTCACACCTTGCTCAATCAACCAGTTAAACGTGTCACTGGACCCTTCAATTTCTTTATTTATATTCATCAAATGACAATTAAGCGCTGACTTGAAATCACCGAACAATTTATCTTCTAGCGATGACCTGTTTTTCGAATCCATCGCAACGTGGGAATTTTCATCAAATTTCAAAGATTCATTCAATAAATGATTCAGCGCTTCTTTTTTATCCATACCTCTAACTTTATTCACTTGCTCCGGAGTGATTTTTATTCCATTAACTGAAAAAGCTTCTGTCATAGCTAACGTGACCAAAGGTAATCCATTTACTGCGTCATCAACAGTTGTTCCAGCAAGATCAAATACAACAAGTTCGATCTTCTTTTTCGCCATTTTAGATTGCACATCAATTGTAAATGTTGATTCTCCCCCGTCAACAAATATGCTTTCATTTTAATCAGGAGGGGCATAACATGAATATATTTTCCCAACATATCATGGCAGAAAGAAGTCAAAGAGTTTTGAAGGTACCTTACAGTCTCAGCAGAATTTATTTCATATTGATTTACATAAGTATTTAATAACAATAATAAATTAGATTTTTTATGCTTGTTGCTGTGTTACTGTAGCTAGTATGCTATACTACGCTGCCCTCATCGTCAGAGTTTTTGATGAAATGCATGCTTTTAAAAGCAACTAAAACTTACCAATCTAATTCTTATTTTTTAGATTCTTTGTATCCATGGTTATAGGTATAAAATACGTGTACATTATTGTGAAAGTGTTTGAAATCAATGGTTTGAATTTACATTTTCTTATTTTAGGCAAAGTGGAAAGATTTTTAAAGAGAAAACTGGATCATTTCGGAAAGGATTAAAGAAAATACCAGTAGAATTTGGTAAGCATTAATTTGAACGTGAAAATTTTTCGCTCTGATTACAATAAAATTAACATGTTTTTTGGTGGATATATTTTTATTGAATATTCATATATATTATAAATAAGTGTTCTAGTTTTGGCTTTGCTAGCCTTCTTTATGTTTCTGAATGTATGTTATTAATGAAAAATATGAGAGGAAATGCTGTTTTTTCAAATTAGAAACATCACTTGTGCAAAAACAATGAGACAGGAGCATTTGTATTGATATGACACACTTTATAAGCAATCACTTGCTTGCATCAAAACAATAACTGAGTGACTGACTCGATTCTTATAATTTTTACGCATTTAGCAATTTGTTTTTAAATACATAATTTTGTTTTAGTTTATGTCACTGCTCCTAACAGAATACCAAGCATTGAGAGTGACGTTGAAGGTAAATTATAAAACTGAATAAAACTGAATGGTTTCCAAACTTTTTTAAACGGCCAGCAGGAATGAATGAATGTACATGTTTACAGCATATTTAATCTTTTGTACTTTGTTGTTGAATAAATTATAAAATTAAAAGCCATTTCTATCAGAATCTACCACAATTCCTTTACTGCTTGATTTTTAAAAGACATTTCCCATAACTAACTGATGTCTTGTAAATAACTTTGTTGTAGAACAATTTGGTTGGTGGTTTTCAACAGAAGAAAACACTTACGATGCGCTCACTAAATCTCATTATTGCAAGGGATATGAAGGAACAATTACTTTTATAAAAGATGTATTCCTCAAGCAGGTGGATTAATTGTGACTAAAATTCAATACATGGGGTAACTATAGCTAGTGATAAAGTGCTATTGTGGCCAATATATAGATATATAAATGTTTATAATTGTTTCATTTTATTTATATACATTAAACTAACAAAGAAAGAGTATAATAAGACAATTTACAAATGATCATACACTCATTTTTTACACACTCTCCCCATATTAATTTCTTCATAGCACTTATACATGTTGATATTAACATCTAACATGTATATGTGTACATATGTACGACACTTTATGAAATGTTTATATATGTGCATCGTACATAAATACATGAAATATCATTGTAATTATTACTTTGTCAAAAATGTGATGCTCACTTGTTTCTTTTTCGTCATATAATCCTCATGTGAAAGATTCCTATTAACGTTCGCATAAAAAATATGTTGCGTTTATCACACTACGTATTGGAATCTTTTTGAACAAGCAAATTTAATATGGACTCATAAAGTTAAACAGTTCTGCTCCCTGCGGAAAATTGCTTTTTAATCACTTCGTTGGCCATATTTTTTAATTATCTGTTCTTTTTTTAGGGCCCGTTTGATGGTACGTATAAGTGTAGAGTGCTTTCATTGATTTCTTTGAATTAAACACATAGTGTTTTATGATACTTTGTTCGTTTTGTTTATTTAGGTGTGTTTTCTTTTAGTCAGGGAGCATCATTAACTTCATTGTTATGTGCGATGAACAGCGAGGAAGGTATATAATTACAGAAAATACCACGTTTTTATCACGAAAAACACTGTTGTCTTGCTGGTATAAATACGTCTCCTAATGTTTCACTTTGAACGTCTTTTTGTTAAACTTCTTTTTTCTTCTTTATTTCTTTACTTATTTTGCTTTCTACATTTTGCGCCAAAAAGAGTCTCACTTTCCATCTAAAAGACGCGATTTCACACTGCAAACATGAGTTTTTGTTTAGTCACACGACTCTTTCTATTTTTTATATCTTACGTAAACTTGTTTCATCATAGCCTACTAGCTATTAATTATCGTCCAAACACATTTTTCTTTCAAGCTGTGTTTCAATTCATACATGCAGTACATAATTCCGATGTGCCCAGCATTAACTTTGCTACAACCAGTTGCTATTTACATTATAACTATTTAATAACTTTGAACTTTTTGTCCAGAGATGGACAAATGAGTATGTTTAACCTCATTACTGACTAAATTCATTTGCTATATACTATGTTTTTTACTAGGCTCGATTATAAAGTTCAAATTTGCCATCATGATCGCCGGTTTTAAGTCACGATCTTCACAGCATGATATATTTTATGAAAAACCTATCAAATGTGCTAGTCTGCATGTTTACGGTGAAACTGATCAAGTAATTCCTAAAGGTAAAAGTTTATTCTTCATTTAAAAAATCATTAATCGACCTTCGCAATGGGAGTTTTGAAACAATTCACATCCATATATTTCCACTATTATTTTGAAATTGTAATCTATTGAATTTTGCATGTTCCCATAAAATGTTTTGTTAAACTTTCCAAAACGTGTATTAGCCTCGGAGGTCGTGGGGTTTTTTAACGTACGTATGCTTGATGTATGCGATGACGGATGAAGATCATGAACCTTAAATATTTAAGATTTTGATTTGGTCTGTTTCTAGTTGGTCAAACTTACTAGAACTTATATCTAAGAGAAAATTCATGGCTTTTTAGAAAACAGTGAAAAATTGGCGAAGTATTTTGAAAATCCTGTTTGCTATTGTCACCCTGGAGGTTCGTTAGACATGATGAGAAATAAACCATAATATTGCATGGATTGCAGTATGCAAAATTCATGCTGAATATTTTTTATTGTTTTTTTTTTTAAGTCGTAAGATTGCATCGTGAACTCGAGCACATTACGACATACGTAGATGAGGATTATGTGAATCGGTGTTTAGTGTGAGTAGTGTTGGTGTGCTTGAGTAGTGTTAGTATGTGCTGGAGTAGTGTTAGTATGTGCTTGAGTAGTGTTGGTATGTGCTTGAGTAGTGTTGGTATGTGCTGAGTAGTGTTGGTATGTGCTGAGTGTTGGTATGTGCTTAAGTGTTGGTATGTGCTTGAGTAGTGTTGGTATGTGCTTGAGTAGTGTTGGTATGTGCTTGAGTAGTGTTGGTATGTGCTTGAGTAGTGTTGGTATGTGCTGGAGTAATGTTGGTATGGAGTATGAGTAGTTGGTATGTGCTTGAGTAGTGTTGGTATGTGCTTGAGTAGTGTTGGTATGTGCTTGAGTAGTGGTTGGTATGTGCTTGAGTAGTGGTATGTGCTTGATAGTGCTGGATGTGAGTATGTTGGTATGTGCTTGATAGTGTTGGTATGTGCTTGAGTAGTGTTGGTATGTGCTTGATAGTGTTGGTATGTGCTTGATAGTGTTGGTATGTGCTGGAGTAATGTTGGTATGTGCCGATAGTGTTAGTATGTGCTGGAGTAGTGTTGGTATGTGCCTGATATGTTGGTATGTGCTGGATAGTGTTGGTATGTGCTTGATAGTGTTGGTATGTGCCGATAGTGTTGGTATGTGCCGTAATGTTGGTATGTGCTGATAGTGTGGTATGCGCTGGATATGTTGGTATGTGCTGGATAGTGCTGGCGTACCGATGGTGTTGGTATGTGCTGGAGTAGTGTTGGTGTGTGCTTGAGTAGTGTTGGTATGTGCTGGAGTAGTGTTGGTATGTGCTGTAGGTGTTGGTATGTGCCTGATGTTGGTATGTGCTGTAGTGGTGGTATGTGCCGATAATGTGGTATGTGCTGATAGTGTTGGTGTAGTGGTGTTGGTATGTGCTGTAGTGGTGTTGGTATGTGCTGTAGTGGTGTTGGTATGTGCTGTAGTGGTGTTGGTATGTGCTGTAGTGGTGTTGGTATGTGCTGTAGTGGTGTTGGTATGTGCTGGAGTAATGTTGGTATGTGCTTAAGTAGTGTTGGTATGTGCTGTAGTGGTGTTGGTATGTGCTGTAGTGGTGTTGGTATGTGCTGTAGTGGTGTTGGTATGTGCTGTAGTGGTGTTGGTATGTGCTGTAGTGGTGTTGGTATGTGCTGAAGTAATGTTGGTATGTGCTTGAGTAGTGTTGGTATGTGCTTGAGTAGTGTTTGAATGTGCTTGAGTAGTGTTGGTATGTGCTTGAGTAATGTTGGTATGTGCTGGAGTAGTGTTAGTATGTGCTCGAATGGCGTTGGTGTACTGGAGTGGTGTTGGTGTGCTGGAGTGGTGTTTGTATATGCTGTAGTGGTGTTTGTATGTACTGCAGTGGTGTTGGTTTGCTGTAGTGGTGTTTGTATATGCTGTCGTGGTGATAGTGAAATGTTTTTTTTAGGTCATTTCGTCCCTGCTTCTTCACAGCACAGACAAGTTTACATTGATTTCATTCAAGAATTTTTATCTGCAGTCGACACTAAAGTCAACTCAACGTAGGTACTGTGTTCTTCTCTTTGTTTGACTTAAACCACACCAACCGAAATTGAAAGCGGTGATGCATTATTTTTCTCTAGTTCTGTGTGTTAATAAACTAACAGAATTTACGCAAACAAGTGACCTCTAAATTTAGATGTACGTTGTCTGTCTTGATATTCCAATGCAGAACAGTAATAACGCGATATTTTGTGCTTTTTTTGTTTAGAAAAGTAAATAATATAGTGCTTCGTTTATCTTTCCAATTAAATACTTTAAAAATTTACATTGTCACCACCGTCTTCTCCTCCACATATTTTGTTGTTACAATGTTATATGTGTACAATCTTTTTTGAAGAAAGATTTGAAATCCAAAAATCAAACTCAGAGTTTCCAACGTGATTCGTGGTTATCTTGAGAGGTTCTGAAGTGAAATATAGAAAAGTTTTTTGGTCGATAACACACACAAGCCAAGTAAAGTGTATGTGGGAGTGCTGTAAAACATCAATGTCATACATAGTTACAACGTGGTACCTTGATGGATCTCGATGATCGATAGGGGTTGGTTAAACATCACGTGATGAAGTTGGATTTTTCTGAGTTGAAGAATCGTGAAATACTTGAAGTTGTTGTGAATTTTCAGTGCTTTCGTTTCGTTCACGCAGCTAATAAAATGATAACAGAATGTTCTAACAATCCTTTCGCTTATTGTCTTATTTATGAATAGAGTTACTTGATGCATGTAGAAGATACTTGAATTCATTTCCTCTTCAAGTCTTAGTCTTTCTTCCACGCCAGTTTCGCGCACAGTGCTAAGACTACTAGACATTTCTGGGATCTGAGTGACTGGTTCTAGAGACGGAAGGCCTAAGGACTGAACGAGAAAAGATTCTTATGTGTTTGTGAGGTCATTGGTGTTTAGAAAGCTTCAATTTTTTATTGAAGACATCCAGGAATGACAAATATCTGCAATGCTTGAAATATTCTGGGGGATCCAGCGGTACAATAGTGGTACAGGATGACACGATAGTACAACACAAGTACTAGCAGTCAATAATTGACGTACTTGTAATCTTGATGATAACATGACGTTATTTTGGACTCCAGTTGAACTAGTTTGTAAACTTGGATAGGAATCTCTGTCAGCTTCAACAACGAAAAAAAGACTATGATCTACTGTTTAGTTGGGATTGTTGGGTGATTTCAGAGGTGAAATTATTTCCTAACAAATCTTATAAACTCTAGACTGACTTTGAAACAAGTGAAGTTTTAATTTTACAGCAGGATGTGATGATAATCATTTCATCTATTACTTACCACTTTCTTTTATTGTACTCATAAACTGAGCTTCTGTTGGAGGTGGTTTCCAGTGAGGATTTTTGATCTGTTGAATTCAGATTAAAGATAAGCTATATTCAGCAGAAAATATATAATGAAGTTCTTCCTCACCGAGAACTGTAGCAAAGACAACTCTGTTTTCCCGTTTTCTGCTTGTTCGTATTGAGTGGCAGTTGTTAAGCCATAAGATATCCACTAAGGTGACAAAAAATATTCATCATTACATCTAACATTCTAACAAAATTAATTGATGGCTGTGTATTAAGCTTTTCCACAGCGATTTCTGTTTTTGTCACTTGGTTTGTTTACTAGTTCTTTAATCTCGTACTCGACCCACTATGCACTCAAAGATTTTTCTCAAGTAAACAAACGATAACCGATTTAGTTGTGAGATGTTGAAACTACTTTGACATTGCCAACTGAAAATTTCTAAAAACTTTCACAAACAGTAAAATTTCCAAAATTCTTCACCTCAGGATTTCCATGTTTTCTTACGTTCATTTGCGCAAAAGAACAGACGTCTCCAACACCAACGACCTCGACCGTAAAATTACGGAAGAAATCGACAATATCCAGCGCTTTATATCTTATACTGAAGCACAGAAGGAATGGTGTCACCAACGCGCTCACAAGTTCTTGAAATACAAATACCTACAAGGTGTAAATTACTTGTTTATTACGTTATAAAACTTTAAAATAAGTCAGTCTTTTCATATGCGAAATATCTGTGTCAACCATGATTTTCCCTGCACTAAAGATATTTCAGAATTATTGAGACGTACAGCTTTGTATTCAAACAATTGCTGGAACTCTTGAAAAACCTAAAACAAAAATAACATAAAACCATTTAAATAAAATGCTCAGACTTTAGTTGTTAAAGGCAACGCTTACATCGTTAGTATGAGCTTTTGTCTTCCATTCGTCAGGAATGTAATGAATATGCAGCAAAACTTGTTTCAAACGTTGTTCCGGACACCATATCAAGTTCTTGGAGGGAAAAAAATGTCAAACACACAAAACAAAAGAAATTTTCTGTTTAAAAGTAGATGATTTCTGTACAGTCATACCTCATCCGGGATAAATGCGTAACAGATTTTTATAATCAGACCTAAAACCACGAAGATAGTTCTGTTAGAACTTGTAACAACTTGTATTACATTGTTTGATTGCGTGTTGTACCTAAACTTGCAATTACAGTTAACACATGTTCTGCTCTGAACACATCTGTATCATAAATTGACAGCACAGTTAGCACGGCAAAAAACGACCCAGCGACAAACGCAATATTTCTAAATAAAAGGAATATTTAATTGTAGTAAATTATATACCAACAGATGGCGATAAGTTATAATATAACTATATTTTTATATAGTGAGAAAATTGATAAGACCTGAAATTTTTCTATTTACATCATTTCACACTTCAAAACTAAGTTATCTGAATTTATGAATTTCCCATCATGAAAAATAATTTCATTACTTTGCGACAATTGCCAAAAAAGGTGAAGTAAAAATATTCGTATATTGAACTGCAGGATCGTATGCTTTATTGAGCCTGAAAAAAAATTTGGTGAAACAGTGATTAATTGTTACATCGATTGACTAGTTTCTGTATACCAGTACCTTATTTGAAATTCATGGTCTAATTCATTGAAATGTCTTAAATACAGTCGACCATAGTGAGACCTAAAAGTAATTAAAAACGTTGCTACGATATAGTCATAAACAAAATAATCTAGTTCCCCAAATTTACCAATGTCGAGCTCCAAATGTTCCAGGTGATCTTTTATCATCTAAATTACAAAATGAACATGATTAATGAAAGTTTTATTTCAAATTGAGCTGCAAGTGGAAGTTTAAAACTGTGACATTGAAGATACATAATGACGTCAGCATACCTCTGCGTAACTGAAGAATAAGTACAAAACTTGCCAGACAAAGATGAAAGGAAGTAAAATGAAATTAACAATACCAAGCCATAGCATACGGTTAGAAAGTCTGAAATGTAAAAAGACGCTACTACTACAATCACAAAAAGAATAATCCAGAACGTCACTAAATAAGACAAAATAGGTTTGTCGTATATTTATGTCTTTTTTTAATTGTAGAAAGTGTGACTAATACGTATACAATAAAGCCACAATAACTCTATTTTTTATATGTTTTACACAAGTAAACATTTAAGTGCAACATCTTTCCCAGACCTTTTGGCTAAACGCAGTCGTTCCGACGACAATTTGTACTCAGGTTTTAATTTCCATGAATCCAAAAAGGGAGAATCGGGTCCCCAAAAGAGCAACAAATTTAAATTGTACTTCATTCCTTCTGTCAAGAATGCCCGTTTTCCAATAATTGGGAAGGTATAGGTACATGATAGTACTCCTTTATTTTGCATCGCTATCAAATAGTTCTTCCATCGCAAGATACGATGGTATATGTCGAGTTCCGTAAGATTCGCTTTATGTACACACATTTGATGTTCATTTTGAATCACAATAAGTCTCTCTTGCACATCTTTCCACTGCATGCTAGCAAGTTTGTCCTATTGATGAAGAATTCGTGAACGTAGCAGAAAAAGCGATAACATCAGTTCAACATGTATGTATTTTAAACGTCTTTCGAAAACAAACCTCGCTGATATTTAACGCATCTCTGTAAAAGTTCTTTATTTCCAGTAATTTAAAAAAATACAAGAATACTTTGGTGGCTCGTATCGTCCAAAAAAGAAACGCAATAAGAAGGAATAGGATCATGACTCCATTTGCGCTGAAAACAAAAATAAAATATGGCAGCAAAAACTTTAAAAACGGTTAATTTGCTTTAAATTATCAGTTTTTTAAATCTTTGTGTTTAAAAAAACGTTAACTTACTTTTTAACATTGTTGAAATTAATGCAATCAATTATAACTGGATCTTTATCTCTAAAGAGTTTGTTATAATCCACACAAAATATCAGGAATGTAGTGAAGAGAACAATGAAGACATATTGTCTGAAAAAAAGATAGCTATTATTACTTCCTTATTTCTCTTTCTCAAACAAATACCCCAAATTTTGCAATTAAGCATTTTTCATAGATTTCTATACTCAACTTACGCCAACTCAAAACATTCTTTGACTAATATGCAGAGAAAACCATTTTGTTGATGATAATCATACACATATTTAATGTTAAGATTTCAAACTCAAAAAAATGATGTAAAAATTCTTCAAACTAAATGATAAAAAAGTACAATAGTTTTTAATGTGTTTGTTTTTCTTGATCATTGGGTACATCAGATGCCATAAACATATCCTGAAAATGTGGAAGATTGGTTTACATTTTGATGTAATTTAGCAGAATTTTATGATGAGTTTAAGATTTCACTTTAGTAAAAGGATATTCTAATGAAAAAGTCATCAAGGTTTTCTATATGATTCCATCGACCTAAAAATAAAATCGCTCATAGTTCTCACCATAAGACTTTCACATTTTAAATTTTGTAGACGATATTCAAATGTCATTTATTATGTTTACTTGAACTATTTCTTCCAATGCCTTCTCCTCCTGGAGCTGTAATGTGGACTTGTGGAGGTAAATCTTCATCATCATCATCAGATTGAAGTCTTTCATAATGGCTTCGAGGAAGCTTATCCATTAAAAATTTACTAAAAATGCGATAGCTTATAATAATAACACATATTTATTTATAATGCTATGAGAAATATGTTCAAAGAATTTTTTACATCTGATCTTTTACAGTCTTTAAGCAGGCGTAAATTAGCTGAAAAGAACATATTCTCAATTCAAATATCTAAGACAAACTTCAAAATAAAACAAATCACCAATTCTCAATGTCTGTGTACTGATGACACCGAATCAAAACATCGACTCTATAGCGAGTAACGAAGTTAAAACATCAGATTGTGCAAACTGACCGTATCTTTGAGTATTTATTTGTATAAATATTTTTCCTGATTCGAATGCATACGTAGTTTAAAAAGTATTGACTGCAATTTTCATCAATGAATTTTAGATATTAGTTTAGATTTTGATGACACAATGTATTTCTTTCAGTAAAAGTTATCCTTCGTCATTTGATATTAACAGCTCTGCGCTCTCAAACCTACCGATTAGAAAGTTGTCAAACTTTCTCAGAAATATAGTGATCTTTAGCAAAGCAAGTAAGGAGATTGGCGATCATTAAAAACTGTGTTCGTCGTCGAAATCCACCAATTTGAAAGCAAAATAATCCGTTAAACTTGAGAAAAGCGAAGTAAAACAAAGCAAATAATAAAAAATAATGCCATTATAATAAAGTTCAAACATACATTGTTTATTTACGTATTCAAACGCATGCGCATCTAAGTCTTACCGACAAAATGAACACCATTGCACGCATGCGCATCTAAGTTTTCCTGTCAAAATAAATTCTTTTGTCGCAGGAGGGGTGGGGTAAGTCGGACAAATATAGATACTGCCTTTTGTAGAATCATAATCAAGAAGTTTTAAATTTGATGAAAAATGTCGAATAATCATGGTAGAAGACCCGAACTTCAAAATCGACCTTGTAGTGATTTGAATGATTTCGAAAACAACACTGTATTTGGTTTGCTTGGAAGGCGTTGTACGGTAAGAAACGATGGTTGCAACTTGATGCATTGTTCTAATTAACTTCCTAATATTTCTGTATATTTTCAGAGCCTTGCGACGTCTGTTGTTCAGCTTTATCTTGCTTTATCGCCATCGTCTGACCAATGGACCAAAAAAAAATGTGGTGTTGCTTGTTTTGTAAAAGATAATCCAAAAAGATCTTACTTTATTCGAATTTTTGATATTAGGGTACGCTTGCTTTGTATTGAAAATTTTGCCTTAATAAAGACGGAAGTAGCGGTAAAAGTAGGCTTCGAGGCAAAGTTTTATTCAAGCAGAAATAGTGATACAAAAGAAGGAGTAAAAAGGACAAAAATAAACTGCTTTTCGTACTTATTGAAAAACATTCATTATGTTACAAGTTTACATGCCACGTCGTTCGATTTTCAACTGCTTACAGCTCGTATCAAGTATAAAATTTCATGCATTTAGTATTAATAACCGTTTCTTACATTTAAGGAAGGTAAATTGGTGTGGGAACAAGAACTTTACAATAATTTCAAGTACTTAACTCCACGTCCACATTTTCATACTTTTGTGGCAGACGTAAGTACAGTATGTAAGTTATAAGATATAAGTAAATGGTTTGAACCCGGGAGTATCGTTACATGTTTGTAGATGTAGATTGTCCAGGTTAATAAAGTTAATAAAGTCCTGAGAAGGACTGTTTTTGTTGTTGTCGAAACGTCAGTCAACAACAACAAAAACAGTCCTTCTCAGGACTTTATTAACCTGGACGATCATCATGTACAAACTTATAAGATATAGTTATCTATTTGTTCATGGACTATAAATAAAAATAGTCAATTGAGTATTTGAAAAAATTTTATAAAGTCGTGTTGAAATTATAATCATTGTGAACTCAATATGATTTTTGCAGAAATGTCAAGCTGGGCTAAACTTTTGCAATCAAAATGATGCAAACTGTTTCCGACAAGAAATTGAAAAAAAGTTAAAAAATAAAGAACAAAGACGCAATGGTTGGTAAAAACACTATGTGCCTAAACTAATTGCAGCAATTTATATATTAATGTAGAAAAAGTTTTGATGAATGCATGTTTTCATTAACTAGCAAATAAAACTTCAATGAAATACATTGTTCTTGACATAGAGAGAAGAAATCAAACTCGTCGTGAACCAGCACCACCACCAGCTCTTGGTGCTGATATTGACACAAGAAACATGGGTTCAAGAAATTCACTATCAATTGGTAAAAATATATAAATACATTAGTATATTTTTGTAAATATTTATTATGGTATTTACATAAAATGATGTATATATATTTAAAGTAAGTATATTTCTATATTCAGAGAACAACCAATCATCGGTGCCAGTCTCTCCAACAACACCATCCTTTGACAAGAATAGAAACACCAAAAAAGACAAGAATAAGAAAAACAAAAGCAAAAGCAAGAAACTCACAAAGGAGGACATTGGTTTACCAAGCAATTTTCAGTAAGCTTTATTTTTTAAATCAGATTATTCACCTTACGTGTTTGTGGTACCTTTTAGTTTTAAAATTTTTATTATAGGGAGATATTTTTAACATTCTACTTTTACGATGCATGATCACATAGAACAAATAAACCTTCAGCTCATAGCACAACAATATGAAAAATCAACATTCTGCATTCATGCTCTATTGTATTGGATAAGAAGTTCAAACGTGCAATTAGCTTGAAAAAAGCAGTTTGGAAACATTTATGTAAAACTAGACATGTCATATTAGAGCTGTCAAGACTTTTGTCCTTGTCTCATAACTTTTTAGTGAACAAATTTCAATCTTCAAAGGATGGCATACCAGCCATGCATATCTGTAAAATATTGTTTGAATATTTATAAAATTTTCATTTAGGCATGTTGGTCATGTTGGATGGGATCCTCAGGAAGGATTTGATGTAAGAAAATTTATTGTCTTTTATTTTACTGTGGACATTCTCAGATATTTTTATGATTAGTGCAAGGTGTAAAATATGTAATTGCTATTTAAAATACAACATTTTTTTGTCATACTAAATGTATTTTCTAAATTATGAATTTAATTTTGCTAGATTAACCAACTTGATGACAGTTGGAAAATGATCTTTGCTAAAGCCGGTGTATCAGACACAGAACTACAAGATCAAGAAACAGCAAAATTTATTTATGATTTTGTTGAAAAACATGGTGGTGTTGAAAACTTTAATGCTCAGCATCAAAATGTTTCTCCTCGTTCTCCTTCTGCAGGTAATGAGTATCATTATATTATAATTAATTCCTAAGATGTTATTTATTTTTTTAAATATGTGTAAGATATGGATGTACATACTATGTACCTGCTTCAGGCAAGTTAGTCTCCTAGCTTCTTTACAAAGAGCTCGGTAATTAACTTGAAGTTTTTATTATAATATTTAAAGAGCTTGGTGATAAAATTGAAGTTCTTAGTATAATTTTATTAAAACAATTATAAATGTTGCTATTCTTGTTGGAAAATATTACATTTTAAACAGCAAACATTGTAAAGAATTATTTATTGCCATACTGGTGATCTTTCACTGTAATTTCCACATATAAAACAGTATATGCTTGAAAAATGTTTGGTACTGAGACATGCATTCATTAAAACTAATTTTCATCACAGATGTACCTCCTCCTCCCCCGTTTAGGGGTCATCCAAGAGGTGCACCCCCTCCCCCTCCTTCACGTGTCTCTTCAGCCCCACCCCCTCCTCCATCAAGGAGTAGTGCTCCACCCCCACCACCTCCATCAAGAAATAGCCCTCCCCCACCTCCTTTTAGAGGACCCCCACGAGGACCATCTATCAATGTGACTGCCCCTCCACCTCCACCAATGATAGGTGCAGGAGGTGCTCCTGTACCTCCTCCACCTCCTCCAATGGCACCTTCTGGTGGAGTACCTCCACCTCCTCCACCAGTTGGTAGAAGGACGGACTTGCTCTCACAAATCCAAGGTGGAACAAATTTAAAGAAAGTTGAAGCTAATGGTGATCGTAATGGATCAAGTGGTGGTGGCGATGGCAGGACTAACTTGTTAAGTGACATTAGAAGTGGTGTTAAACTAAAAGCGGTAAGGAATCAAAATGTGTATTTTTACATCATGGATTTTTAATGTGTATAGGTAATTCAATTTTTTTATTATTTGTTAGTGATGGATGCCCTAGCATTTTTATCAATTTTATAATTATTTTCTATGACATTAGTAATTTTTTATGCAGGTGAGTCACGATGAACCAGCACAAAAGAGAAACTCTGATGCAGGCTTGGATGGTATAGCTGGTGCATTGGCAAGGGCTTTGCAAGAAAGATCAAAAGCCATTCATTCTTCTGGTTTGATTACATTCACATTTATAAAAAACCTGACACTGCTGTACTTGTGCACTTGCTTTTACCAAATGGACTGTGAAAGATTTAAATGCAATAACAGTTTCATTCATTATTGTGATTGGAGAATACATTTACTTTTTAGATGACGAAGATGAAAGTGGATCAGACTTTGATGATGACGAAGATGAGTGGGAGGACTAATATATAAAATTACCACATACCATGTACCTTTCACATGCTTTGCGAGGATATTTTTTCCATCCAGATCAATTTATGATAGATTAACTTAACTGAAATGTAATTTTCCACCTTATAAAAATGTTGTATCAACCAGTTTATGGCAAGTGAAGTTTTGAAGTATTAACCAAAGCCAGTGACAATGAATTTTTTTTGAAATCAGGTTGTACATACATACACACATCTTTGCTTTAAAGAATGCTTGGAGTGGATTTTGTAGATTTCCAGCCAGTTATCAAAACAATATTGTGTTAAGCTTTAAACTTGCAGTTATGGCACTTGAAGGTTATCAACATAGGTTTATGTTAAATATTAATTTTATATATGTAGTAAAGGATTCCAAAATTATGACCACAAACAAATGCAAAGCGTAAGTTATATAGTGATTATAAAGAGCACCATGTTAAAAATACTGCTTAGAAAATTAAACATTTAATAGCACTATGTATGTGAGTAATTGTTGAATTTGTACGTCTAGTCATGTAATAGTCTTAAGTATCAATCTTTCTGAGGGGCATTTTCTGGTAAACTTAAACCCATGGAACCAAGGATGTTAGACACAGGACCTGACAATCCTTGCTGAAGTGAATAAGATTCCAAAAAATTCTGAACAAGATTTAAGTCAATATCTACTTGCTTTGTTACATTATCCATATTTGGCAATTGTGATGGCTCGTCTTTATTCAAGTCTAGTTTTATGTCATCTTTAACCATGACAAAACTCTTTCCAATATTTGTTTTGGAAAGTTCCTTATCCATTGCTGATGCATATTTCTCGATTTCTTCATTGATGATTATTTCATTGTCAGAACTGTCATCATCATTTGGTTTTGACTCTAAGAAATAATCATTAATACAATCCACAAAACCTTCAGGATCAAACTCTATGTCGTTATCAAGAATATTATTTGGCAACTCTGCTCCTTCAAAACTTGACATTTTCTCTACAAATGAATTCATCCCAAAAACAACTTCTTGTAAATCAATATTTTCATTAATTTGCTCATTTTTTCCATACTGAAATAAAATAGAATCAATTTGTTCTGGTGAAATATCCAACCAAGATTCATCATCATCACATGGAAATTCTTCAGGCTTCAACAAATTTTGCTCTTTATAAGAACTTGGCATTGTTTCCAATAAATGTTTGACTTTACTAACATTAGGGTCAAATTGTGAAGAATTAAAGTCAGTAATCCTAAAGAAATATTCTTTAGCGTTTTTTAACAATTGGTTGTATAATTGTGAGCCAACGATTTCATTTCGAAAGTAACCATGTTTCTTCAAAGAGTCAAGATATTTTTTCCATTTTTCGCTGGTTTGATTGCTTGAATTACAAACTCCTGTATGGAGCCCATGCTGCTGATTACATAAAATCAAAAAACCATAAGTTAATTTTAACCCAATGAGGTGACCTTTATACCAAGGACTTGATGCTCCAGGTAAGAAATTGCTTACATTAGAACCTGCAGTAAACTCATGTTGGACCAGTTGAGCAAAAAGACTCTTCGTAAAGCGGACCCGGTAAGGCACCAAAGATTGAAAATCAAATTTCATTGTATGACTGGATTTAATATCAAAAATATCTTGATTAACAAAAGCTGATACTGCCAGAGAAATAAGAGAACAATTTGTTTCAAGTAAGTACTTCACTTCTTTAGGAATAAAACATAAGACATGATGAAAACATTCTTTAGATTTCTGTTTTTGCTCAATAATCTTCTTATGTAAAACATCTTGAATCCATGGAAAAGCAATAGTTTTCTCGTCGTTAGTTTTAAGTACAGCAAGAGCCTTTTGAAGAGTAGGTTTGCCAGTTGGTATAATGGTGATTTCTGATGGATTACTAGGGAAAGGTATGATATGAAGGTTTCCTTGATAGATAAAAATTCTGTTTTCACTAGTCTCAGGCTCCAACCATTTAGGAAGATAATCTGCAACTTCTATAAGTAGAAATTCTCCATCGTTGTCAGTGACAGATGACACCACAAATGGAAATTGCTTTGTTATATTGAAAAGAAGATACACTATGAACCATTCATCATCAATGTTATCACCAAAGTTTGTGCTTCCTTCAAAATAAATATTTTGATCTAAATATAAGGAATCATTTGGACTCGGAGTTTTCAAGTGTTGCAATGTCAAACTGAAGCAGTCTTTCTCCCATATGTAATCATCTGTGAGAGTCTGTGCATACGATAAAATATCAAATAATAATTCTTCCAAATCAGCCGATACTCCATGCCCATTGTTAGTGGACAAAACAAATATTTTGTAATCAACAACGTTCTCCAAAGATGTTGCACCCTTCTCAACCATGTTGAATATTAGTGACGATTACTTCATGTAAGTAATCTTAAGTTTTTCTCTCATTATTCGTGAATCGTGACTCGTGACATGTGGTTGGGCTCTTGGTTTGCAGTTGGCAGGTTGTAGGCAGTGGTTGTAGCCTTGTACGTGACCCGGTAAACTACTTTTATATAATGATAAACCTGTTACGAGTGAAAACCATGACCAGCCGACAATTTAAAGAAATATAGTATAAAACAAATTCCAAAGAAGCAAGACATCTTGAGATTGCAAAATATGCATCAAAACAAGACGAGAAGTGAACTGTAAATTTTCGACTTTATTTCAAAGTCATCCTCAGACAGAATGGACAAAGTCATCCGCAGACTTCTATCTGAGGATGACTTTGAAATAAAGTCGAAAATTTACAGTTCACTTCTCGTCTTGTTTTGATGCATATTTTGCATTCTCAAGATGTCTTGTTTCTTCGGAATTTGTTTTATACTATGTTACGACTGTGAATTTGAATTTGAAAAGACCAACTATTTATTATTTATATGATGAAATACAGTTGAAAAAAGATTTATAAATTTAAAAATTATCATTTAGAGTTACTGTCTTTTGTACATAAAAGATTTTTATCGGTAGTTGTAAAGATTTTTCAAGTGAAAGAAATATAAAGAAACAGAAACTTTTGTCTTATGTAAATTATCAGTCTACTTGAGTAATTTCAATAGGACATTGTGAAAGGAACAACACAGATGTTGCATGATGTTGCTAATTTTTATTACATTTAAAATCATATATTTCAATTGGTACTTTAAATTGTTGAATTCATTTCTTAGTGATACTCTTGAGCCCAGAACTATACTACTAGCATGTTGCTGGACCTCTCTGATATTGAATGAGTGCTAAAATGGCCATTATCTAATAATATAATTAGATATATTTTAATTACTTAAAACTACACAGGCAATAATTTATTATTCATAATTTGTGCAATAGATTTCAGCAATTTTTGTTTCTTACTCGCTCATAATCTTCGACGAGAAAACTACATTACATTGATGAAGTGGAAGCACGATAAAGAATTGGTTTTTGTCAATTGAATGGCAGACCAATGGCTTCATCACTTCAGATTTACGAGTGTCGTGAAAAATGTTTGAATTGAAGTATTCTTTCAAATATTTGGTTGAAATGGTGGAGAGTATGATCGGCAAAGAGAGCACAAATTTCTACCTTGGTGAAACTGATTTCTGTGAGGCAGACTCGGTTGATGGGCCATTCGATGCAGGTTATTCATGGCTATCAGACGACGAGCCATCAATGTTTATCAAAAGAATTGACTCGGACTTAATCATTTATGAACCTAAGACCAGAAAAGCTAAAATTATTGGCAAGTATTTAATGGGAGATATGTTAGGAGAGGGATCATACGGTAGAGTTAAAGAAATTTTAGATATGGAAACGTTAAAAAGACGAGCTGTCAAAATAATGAAGAAAAGGAGATTAAGGCGTATACCAAATGGTGAAGAAAATGTTCAAAGGTTGGTGGCTAAAGTCATTGAATGAGCATTGTAAATTGTTGGTAATTAGTACATGCTTTGCAAAACTAGAGTGATGTATGTTCATCACTTTAATCTACTTAAAGTAGACAAACTTTAAATGATTATATAAAATCATTTATACAATGATACATATTGTCTTAATCTTTGAATTTCTCTTTATATATTGCACAACACTAGTTGTTTTACAAAGGTTATACAACTGTCTAGCAAGAGGGCTGAAAACTTAACTTACTTTTCTATAATGGGTCTGGAAATCCAAGGTGCTACTCTTTTGGTCGCACACAAAATTATTTAAATACTATGTATATGTGTAATGATTTCACAACCAAATTTTTAATTCTAAATGCTCAGCAAAAACTAAATTTTGTTCGAAACAATTTTTGTATCGTGATTTGTAAATAATTTACAACTATTTTTTAATGCTAAATGGCATCATTATGCATCATTTTGAATGATGTCAAGTACATATTATTAAATTAATAAACTTATTTTAAAATTGATTTTACATGTTATATGTGCTTAAAGGCGACTCCATCCAACTACTAAATTTGGTTCTTTCAGTGACTGAAGTTGATCATACTACAATGTAATATACATAATACAACTGAACATGATTTTTGTCTATTTTTCCAGGGAGCTGCGACTATTGAGAAGACTGAAACACAAGAATATCATTGAGCTTATTGAAGTGATCTATAACATAGAGAAAGAAAAATTATATCCTTTTATTTAATGCCTTATATATATTATTAAGCCTATCTACATACAGCAAATATCTCTTTAGAAAATTTTTGTAACTCTACTTGGCATTTATTTTTTACATTCCTGAAAAAAAGCATTGTGTGTTCCAACTTAGTGGTAGACTCTATTAATATTGGGGGGGGTCATCCTAAGGCATGAGCTTTCCAACAACTAAAGTGTAAAGAAGGTTTATTAGATATGCAAGGATGTGCTCAGTTTATTAAATAATCATAATTTGATATGACAATTATACAGGCTGTTTGTGGTATTGGGTGAAATATTTATTTATACAAAAATTGTTGGGGACTTGGTGTAACCTTTCCACGCACTTTAGTGTCTGCTACTGTTGGGTTTCTCTTATAAGTTATGCTTAATGTACAAGTTTTTCATCTAGTTATATATTTGCTTGATATATTGCCATTTTGAATTTGTTTTCCAAGTTAAATAAGGCAAGTGGAAAATATTTAATTTTTGTTTTGATAAATCCTAACTTTTCATACATATATGATACTTGAATATTGTGTTGGGGAATTACAAGAAATGCTGGACAAGACTGAAAATCATAAATTTCCAATTTGGCAAGCGCATGGGTAAGTTGTGTTAGTCAATGAAATCATTGTAAGAAGTAGTATTGATTATGTTGAGAATTTGGACCAAGAAGATTTTTAGTTTTATGATACAAACATAGGCTGTGAGCATCAGGTCATTTTATTCAAACTGATTGATTTGTGATTGACTGACTTATTATTTTTAATGACATTATAAATGATTTTTGATGAACACAAAAATGAATGACAGCCTAATAATATGTAAATTTAAAGTAATTTAGCTTCTTGTGCCGTAAAGGTGCTTGTCTTTTTTTTTGTTGGGCAGTCAGTCATGTATAATGTAAAATAGTTTAACTGTGTTTGTAGAAGTAAACTTTTCTTCGACTGTTTAAGGTACTTTGTTCAACTGGTGGATGGTTTAGAATACCTTCATGGCCAAGGTATTATTCATAAAGATATCCTTTTTATGGAAATTATACATTTGTATTATCATAAATAGTTGATTTAGTTTGTTTTCAACCACTTTATTTCCAACACTGGCATAGCCAGCCTCCATATTTAGTTCTGCTATGTAAATTTTTTTGTGTTCACTCACTGTGAAACAATATATTTCTAAATAAATGAATTATGGTAATGTTCTAACGTTTGTATTGCAAAACTAAAACCTAAGAACTTGCTACAACACTTATTTTTTGCTTGAAGAATTCACTTTTGTAATGCTCAAGTGATTTTCATGAAATTTTAAAATATGACATTGCAGGAAAAATAGTAGTAATTTTTGATATTTCTGCATGTAAACATGCTACAAAATCCCTACAAAGTACAGTTATGTAGTCGTGGCCTGCATGTTTTGGTCATGCTTTGCAAATTTAAAAACATCACTATTCACTTCTTCAGAAATTTACTGCTTTTACTGTAACTAAACACAGAAAAAATTTACATAGCAGGACTAAGTTTGAAGGCAAGGTACGCCACTGAGAAAATATTTTCTAAACTTGCTAAAATGATAAACTGACATTTTTACATGAAATGATCCAAAATGAGAAAGACAGCGATTCTCAATACATTTATCAAACCTAATTTTAAGGACTGGCTTTCTACAAAAATATCACAAAATCACTTAGTGAGCTGCAATGTAATATTGCTACATCGTGTTCAACTTCTTAACCTAACGCAGATATTAAACCCAGCAATCTTCTTTTAACAACTGATGGTACATTAAAGATTAGTGACTTTGGTGTTGCTGAGGTGCGTAACTTGTCTGTAAACTTTGGAAATTTGTTTTTACAACTTTTAACTTGAAATTCTTTATTAAATAGAGGTTAGACATGTTTTCTCCTGATGATACGTGTAAAACAAGTCAAGGATCACCCGCTTTCCAACCACCAGAAGTCGCTAATGGACTGGAATCATTTTCTGGCTACAAATTGGATATTTGGGCATCTGGTGTAACACTGTGAGTTCATTATTTGTGTCCTATAAACTTCTGAAATACATGTGTAGATTTTTATGTTCCCCTTTCCATGTGTCAACTGATCCTGCATCACGAGATTTCTAAGAATATGACGTGCACTTTGCACAAAACTAATGGAATAATGAACTCCATCCTCTATTTATGTTTAGTTACAACATTACTACTGGTCTCTATCCATTTGAAGCTGACAACATTTATAAATTGTTTGAATGTATTGGTAAAGGAGAGTTCACTATACCGAAAGACATTGACTCCAGTTTAGAAAGTTTGCTATGTGGTTAGTAATAAGTAGACGACAGCCATGACTGTTTTAATGAGCTATCTGAACGGACAGTATGGAAGAATCAGTGTCAGTTGAACGAAGGGAATTACTAAATTACTTACCTTTTCAAGAACTTTAATAGATTGAAAATATTATGTAGCACATTCCTGGGGTTCTCCCCCTAAAACTAACCTTTTGGGAAGTACATTTTTGCCGTGGATAAAGTATGGAAACTCTTAAGATGGTCAGTTTTTTATAACATGAGTTCATAACTATTTCATCTGTATGTTTCAGTCGACAATTAAAAGCAATATTTTAAAGTATGTTTTTTATTGCCTCATCAGTAACAACTACTTATGTTATCTCTACTTTGTAAAGTACATTTGTTTGCCATAACTGTAACTGATCCTTGTCTTCTCTACTTAGGAATGCTCAAACGTGATTTATTTGAAAGATTTTCGTTACAGGAAATTCGACAACACAAGTATGTATTTCATTCATTCCTACGTATTTTGTCTTCTATCCTGTGTTATATAATTTCGTGCATAGTGTGTTTGTGTTTTTTTTCAATGGCATTTTTTGACACTCAAGTTGACATTTTTTCAATGAACTAATAATTTTTATGTTTTAAACTTGATATACGATTGTCTTAGACTAAAGCTGCATGCTCACATATTTTGAATAGGTTTGTGATATTTTGGATGGCGAAGTAATTTTTCTTATAACCCACTTACTATCTAGTCCATAAATAATCAATTTGCCTAAAGTCTACATCAGTCTAATTTTTCTCATGTTTTTTCGCCCACATTTAGTTGGTTTAAAAAAAAACATTCCATTATTGGTGAATGTGTACGAATACCACCTTTACAAAATGGTGATCCATATCGTAGTATGAGTGTTATGCCTTATCTACAAGACTTACATAGTACAGAAAGTGAAGCAACTTCAGTGGAAATTGAAGGTGATTCAAACAAGTGTTCCCTTTCATGCTCAAAAGGTATGGAAAATTAACTGCAGATAGTTGTCAAAGCCTCTATATATAGGTAGTATATATATACATACGTTATTTACTCCTGGAAGGGCCTATGGCGGAAGGACGTTTGTGAGGCCCAAAAAATATGTTTTCAGTAAGAAACGTCCTAAACGGTGAATAATGAAGCAATTCATTTTGTAAAATGACCGATAAAAAGTGTTTATGACACAAAATTTTGCAATAGTGTTTTTTGATTGAATTGTAAAGGAAATTTAAAATGACTTAATAACTTCTTTAAAAGAATTGTGTAATTTTATTTGTGTTTGGAGATATGTAACTTTTCCTCAAAATGCAAATGACGTCATTATGACATCACACTGCATAATAATTAGCATTAGGAAAAACTAATTTTTGTCAACAGTTAGCATTAAAATTTGTATTTTTGGCATCTTTACAAATAATTATGTACGCAAATGTTCATTAAACTATTTGTTTGTAAAGCGTTTTAAGGATGTAAAAAATTGACGATCTTTAACATATCATCATACTCTGTGATGTCATACTCTGTGATGTCATAACAATGTCATTTGATTAAGAAAAAAGTGGAATATCTCTTGAAAAAAGTACAATAGTTCAATTCTACTAAGAAGGTTATCAAGTCATTTTACATGCTCTTTCCAATACATTCAAAATAATTGTGATAAAATTTCATGGCATAAGCACTTCATATTATGTTTTGTCTAAAGAATACTAATAGTTTTACCTTTAAAAATAAACTTTCATAGAAGATGTGGTTGTTGCTGAAAACATCGAGTCAAAACAACTTTCAAAGAAGAAAAAATCAAAGCAGAAAATTGTATCTTGTAAACAACAATAATCATTTCTCAGTAAATATTTTATAAACTATGTGCATTAACACTGATAATTTAAACTATAAGAATTTTCCCAGTTTTAATGTAAATACAGTCCATAAATTTCATTATTTATTATGATGTAAGATCTGCAAGATCTTTTTCAAATAATATTTCATTATATTCGGTATCAGTTACTACTCGCAACGCTTGTAGTTCTAAACGTCTGAATAAAAAAATGAAATGTTTGTTATTCGTCTGTCCATACGTAACTACGTGCCACTGAACTATATGTAAACATGTCTACGTGCCACTGAACTATATGTAAACATCGCTACGTGCCACTGAACTATATGTAAACATGGCTACGTGCCACTGAACTATATGTAAACATGGCTACGTGCCACTGAACTATATGTAAACATGGCGATGTAATGTTAAATCACTGTAGAGTTGCATTTCGGTAGGTAAGACGTTTTTGCGTTGTTTATCAGCCACAGTTATAAAGTAGTTAGAATTTTAGTAGTTATTCATTAGCTTATAAAAATAGTTGATCGCGCTGCACTTACGTACGCACGTACCAATTTTACCAATTAACCAGAAACCAAGGCGTTCTTAAGATCTTTAATCCTCTATTTACAACAATGCTGAGAAAATACTAAAGTATTCAACACATACATCAGGTGCAGATCTGTTGCGTAAAGACTGCGGTTTGATTGAGAATTGCGCATTCACCAGTTAGGTACCTTTGCGAACCTAATATTTAAGTTGCTTAAACGCGGATCACGTGAAACTTTCATGCACCTAGCCAAACATGTGTCGCATTAATGGAGTATAACATGCGTAATAAGATAAACAAGAAGCTAGGCCTTTTGCGGCGCATCAAGTCGTGTCTCCCACTAAGCGCTAGGATAAGTTTTTTTAATTCTTTTGTTCTGCCCCTTTTTGACTACGGCGATATAATATGGGGAGACCGGGGCAACACTACACTTATGACAGATCCTTCACAATAAGGCGACAGATCCTTCACAATAAGGCTGCGCGAATCATTTTAGATCTTCCCCCTACTGCTTCCGCGAGCGATGCACTTTCAAGGCTCCATTGGAAACCTCTAGAAAGGCGGAGAGCCGAGCATCGTGCTATTTTCATGTTTAAGGTAGTTAATAACCTTTTTATGCACACTTTTCACTGCTGTTTTAACAGTAACTATCATAGCTATAATACACGATCAAAGCGAAATATCCGCAAATCATTCGCACACAGAAGACTATAGTTCACGCAGTTTCAGCCATTTTCTTGCCAAAGACTATAGTTATACATTTTCAAACATTTTCACGTCAACATGTAAGTAGACATAAAAGTAGAGATAAAGGTATACAGAAAAGTAGACATAAAGGTAGACATAAAGCTATATACAAAGAAAGACAAAAATTAGATATCAAAGTGGAAGTAAAAGTACTTTTTAACAAAAGACGACATGAATGACATTCGAAAGTGTCTTTATTTCACAAAAGACGAAATAAAAAATTAATAAACTTCGAAGAGGTTCTTATTTTACCAAAGAATAATTCATTGGCCATTTCATTAGCTAGATTGCAGACATATTTTAGCAATTGTTTGTTAAATGTGCTTGTAGCTTGTTTAAAATTTTCTTTGTACAAAACAGACAGTACCCATTGAAATCATGATTGAATACTCTTTGTACATGTTCACTATTAATTAGCCAAAATCAAGCATGGTTAATGAACACAAAGAATTACGATGCAAATGAACAAGTCAATTTCTACAGGATCTCTCAAACAAACGGAACCCTCATAAAATAATTATGTATTCGCTAAAGTTATTATGTACAATAACGTAGCTAGGAATTGTTGAACTTGACAGTTCTGCGCCACTGGGATTTATTAGGGTTTGTGTAATATTATAGTTAAAACAAAACTAGCTTAAACTTAAAACTAAAAGTACCGTCAAACACTGACTTTTATCTCAAATTTATAATGCAAAACCTTTGTTAAGGCAAAGCAACATTAACTGAGTTCTAACAACCACAAAAAGGTAATCATATTTTCCATAAATTGCAAAGAACATGGACAAGCGTATGACTAAATCTAACCAGACGGAACAAATAGCTATTGTTGATTAATCATCTTATGCAGATTTCATTTTAATACATACATAATCATTTGTACGGGTTCCATTTTTTTGAGACACCTTGTACATGGGTACTGCCTTTACTACCATCACCACGTGCAATTGAGGGCACACCCATAGGAGCTGACCAATCAGAACACGACACGTTCATGCAACTTATGGCATACTTAAAGGTTAACTCGTATTATGAACGTGTTAGTTGATTTTGTTCATCAGCACGCTACACGAAGATTAGTTGGCAAAAGTTGAGACCCTACATCTTTTGAATAGTTCGTCGAGTTCTTTGAAACTATGTTCAGGTAAAAGTGCTTTTTGATACTCGTTTTTATACAGTACTCATTCTTTGATTGAAGTGAGTAATGTGAAAGATACTGTGATCTTTGTTCATCCTAAATGTGAGATCTAACGTATCTTTCATAAAGTTTTTGCTTTGGTAATTCATATTTGCTCTATGCTTTGTTTTAGATTTTGTTGGAAAGTAAATGCGCGCGGTCACGAAATAAGGTTGAGAAAGGACGAACGAAATGTTGCTGGTCAATTATTCACAATAATGGTGGACTTGTTAAACTAAAGAAAGTTATCATTGTTCACGCTACACGTTGATCACGCCAGCTTTTGTTGACTATATTCTCTTGAGGTGAGCGATCGGTTGAAATTCTATTTCTTGAATTGCTTTAAAACTGAATATAGAATAAAATACTAAAAGTATGTATGTTTTTGCTCTTATAATTTCTGTCATTAATTTTGAATTAACATTATCTTCTCTTATCGCATTGTTAGAAACCGTCTCTTCAATGATGCACAATGGACAATATACTCCAGTGAAGAAGAAAAACGCCTGATTTCTGTCCTGCAGGCCGTATATATTCTTGACTAGCAGCAGTTCAGCCATGTTGGTGGTGTGATACAAAAGAATATTTTATCTGTGTTATTGCTGGCACCAGCAGACGTGGCCGAGCAACATTGTTCTGTAAATCTCAAGAGAACGGTTGCAAGTCAAGAATAGCTGCATGACAAGCTATGAATACAAAACATTCCTTCCTTATCAATGAATTGCAGCGACAAAGAATAATAAAGGACGATTTGTCATAGTATAAATTGACAATGTACTGAACAATCATCCAGAATGAACAGTCGCCATGAAGCAAAAAAACGCGTGAATTCTGTCCCGCATGGCATAAGAACATGACAAGCTATGAATGGAAACATTAAATACAGTTCTTCAGCAATGGTTTCGTGAGCTTAACACCTAGAAAAGTCATTATTTTACTGGGCTATGGCTGTCTTGAAACGCCATGTTTCCTGCTAATACTACGATACCTTCTTGGTCAATCAATTACAAAGACAATAAAACTACACCACTATCGAACGCCCACGTTTTGACATTAATTCGATTGAAAATTTTTCGGTATAAAAACATGGTATTTTCTTGGCGTGAAGTTATAATAATATGAAAACTAAAAGTCCTAATTTTCCGACTAATTGCCGATATTTCCGATTTAATGCCGTAGACGACATGCGCAGATGTAAGAAATGGCCAATCTTGCTTCTGTGCTTGCCGTCTTCGACATGAAATCGGGGATGCTCGTCAGAGAGCCTGAAAGTTGGATACGATGGCTTTACCATCAACGTTTTGAATTTTTAAAAAAAAATATATTGGGCTTCAAACTATTTTTTCTACGTGGACATCTCAGCATCCAATCATTTCATTGTTACAATTCGCAAGGGATTCGTCGTTCGTCGTTGACTCGTCAAAAACCGTAAGTGTGATTATATGCTTTTCACGTTTAGTTTAGCCTGCTAACAGGCCAGTCTCCAATACATTTCGGGCAATAACCACATAAAATCCTGGTGTGCAGTATATTCCACTGTAAGGCTATTTTTTTTTTGCAGTGACTCAAATGAATACACACAAGTTCTCACCACTGCATTATAAAAAATAGTCTTGGTTAAGAGGTTATAAAAATGTTTTTTGTCTTAAACAATTCATTTGTATTTCGGTGTTGATTTCTTATTAAAATTCGTATAATACTAAGCATGTCGAGTTACGAATCTGTCTGATTAAAATGCGATTTTCTCTTTCTTTCCATAAACAAACCTCTGTGTGAATATACTGCTTTAAGCAGCACGTATGGTCGCAGCGATCGTTGCCTCGCAGAAGGATAGACTAGGATCACAGTTTAGATCGGAAATGCAAGTGAAGTTTGGCCAAAGGAAGGCAACTTCGACTTGGGGTTAGTGGGTACAAATGGTACCTTAGCGTAGAGGATGCAAATAGCATCTGTAAGAAGACCTTTGAAGACTGGATCTAGCGAGCAAGGCTTATTGAAGACCAAGGGAAGATGGTGGTTTTGGTGGAAAGACAAATATCTCTCCCCTAGTACGGTAAAAGCATGCAGTCCTTGTAGTTAGCCAATTTCATGAACGGCTTTCTACATTGACTATTAAGGCACTCCTGGATCCCCTATAATGCATGAGTAGTTCAACCCACCCCTGTTGGAGGTCACCCGTAGGTGCTACATGCACTAGGCTAGGTTAAGTTAAGGGCATGATGGGTTACCTCCTTCAAGGGGCATTCCTTTTCAGGGCGGAATTCCGGTGTCATGCGCAGGTAGGAAGTTTAGATAGCTTAAGCGTGCGCTGTAGTTGCGGCGGGTAGTTGCTACGCTCAAATGACGAACGTGGGGTTAGTACCTTTATGAATATACAGAGCAACGCCACGTTCAACAGAAATGACTAACTAATTAAGAATGTTTGAAAGAAACGTCAATCTTTCAGTCAGTCATTTTTAGAACTACAAATTGAAGCTTGAGAAAAGTATTCAGTTTGTTAAGACATTTACAGTTTAGGGGCGGCGTGGCAATTACTGTAAATGTGCAAATAGGTACGAAGTTATCTTATGAAGATAACTTGATTCCTGGGAATTTCACTGCAGCAAGCCACATTGTGCAAGTGATAAAAATTAAACGATAAGGCACCAGGTCTAAGGATGTGGAATGTCTTCCTAAGAACCTAAAAGAAAATATATAGGTTCAATGAAATTACAATTTATATTTTCTTAATGATTATTATGAAGACAAACCGCAGACGTTGTCACATAATTTACTAAATAGTTAAACGAAGGTTTCCATGTTCACCAATTGCGTTGCTATCCAAGTGAATTACGTGATAATCGTCAAAGTAAAAATATAACTTAAAATGCTATCGGTTGTTTGGTTGCATTATCTTTAGTCTCATGCATTGTAACCAAACTAAACGTGTGCGTTACTTCATTGCGGTTGAAATTGTTTTTTGACATTTGCAGTCAAAAAGCATTAGATTCTCGTATAATAAGTAAAACTGATCCGTCTCTTTTAAATAAATTTTGAAGTAACTTTATTCATCCAATCCATGTCATACAGCAAGCGCGCATGCTCCAATTTAAAGCGTTAGTGACACCGGGCGCGCTAAACATGCACTGAATGAAACGGTGCAAAATAGGGACGCTTAGGTGGCGCTAGGTGCGATGGATTTGGATGTGGATTGGATGAGCTAAGCACACGTTTTCGAAATTCCCGTGAATTACACAATTTTCTCGATCAAAGTAGAAAATTGTCAAGTTCGGTGATCGGCTTCAGAGTTGTTTAACTGAAAAATGGCACTTTTTGGTTGGTTTTCTGTACGTTAAATATGGCGAGGTTCTTATAAATAAAATACGCCATAAGACTAGCAAATTGTTAGACTTTGAGGTGTATTTCACAAATTTTTATTTTTATTTTTTTGGCTTTTAAATCGCAGCAAAGGTTAGTAAAGTTTGTTGTTTACAAGGGACCCCTGGGGTGCGGAACTTCGGCTAAGATCCCTAGTGGTTTTTTCCTGTTCAGTATTCTCTAAGTTCTCGCGCCTTGTGCTCGATCTTATTTAATACTGCTCAGGTTTTTCCAATAAGGATTTTTTCGGTTAGGTCTTAAAAAAAACAGTGTCCTTGGTGTTGCGACTAAACTTGTGTACATCATGGAAAGTTGAAACGCAATTTGAAGGTTAGGCTAACTTTAGCAAACTTACGTTTTATGAGAAAAAACTTTAACGCTGCCTTTTCATTTCTCCAGTATTTTAACGCACCAATATCATAGTTTTGCAATACTGCTATTTAGAAGTTGTCTAAGACGTTTTTAAACACTTCTGCCACAAACATTGAAAGATCAGAATATTATAATTTTACATGACTTTTTGGTGACTTGAAGTTGGAAATTTGCCTGTTATTAATTTTGTACAGTCATCACTAAATGACTTGTGTCTGTTGTGATCGATGATGTCAAATAAGAACTACGCTCTGAAATGGTGTCGTAGCGATTTTTTGAAACAATAAAATGTTTTAGACTTTTACGATAGAAAATCCCACAAAAGTCGCACAATGTGAAGAAAAGCAACACTTCTGACGAGATTCTATCTTAAATATATTGTTGAGTTTTCTTAAAGCGTTCTTTCAATCTAGTTTTTTTACTTACAGTAAAGCAAAAAATTTACCAACTTTGAGCTGCAGAAAATGTACGATTATATTTCAATGAAATTATCAATTTATCGCAAATGTGTTTAAATTCTTCTCAGCTACCTAAATAAGCCAATTTACAAAAATACGACCTCCTGTTGTATACAATTTAGTCTTTGGGTTCGATTCCCAATACACTGTTTATTAGAGATTTCCCATATGTGGAATTTTAAATCATTGAATGCTTTCATGAACTTTATTCTTCACTTAAAAGGACGTTAATGTCTTTATGTGCTAAAGAAAATGCACATTTATTGATATGTATATATTAAAAAGCTAAGCATGTTAATAGAAAAAATTTTTGTCTAGTAACGCGTATGATCTCACCTTGAAGCAGATATTATAATTAATTTATTACTTTCAAATTTCTTATAATCATCCGATGGAACAAAAAGAATGGCGATATGGACTTTTTTGAAAATATAATATATAAATGTAATTTGAATATGTAGCTACTTTATTGAATTTAATATCTCTAAAATCAACAATTGATTTTCGATTCTTTTCTTCTCTTTTGCAATTATGCATTATAAGGTATAACTATATTGCCTTAATTCTGTTTCTCTTGTTAAGGTACGTATTTCACGGTCCTTTGAAAATAAATAATTTTTAGTAGGTTTGTGACTTAATTCATATACGATCTAGTTTAAATGCATACTTACACGCAAATATCTATTTGTCTACCTATTTTTCTTTTTGTTATTATCTATCTATTTGTCTTCCTTTTGCACACCTTCAATTGTGTCTATCTTTTTGACTAACTTTATGTCAACCTATTTGTCTACTTTTATGCTTTGCGTTTATTGTCTACCAATGTGTATATGACGTTTTGTCAACCTTTTTTGTGTATTTTTTTGTCTTCTTTATGAATACCCTTTTTTAAACCTTTTATATAGTTTTGTCCGTTTGCCATTTTTGTCAGCATCTTTTTCATCCATGTTTAGCTACCACATGCAGTGTGTACCTTTTTATCTATTATTTTTTATACTCAGTTGCTTATAGATGTCGCAATGATAGGAAAGCATTTATTTAATGCAGTGGATGTAATTTATACGCCTTTAACACTGTTTTTTGCCTCAAGGGAGATCGTATGTTTCTATTCGTCAATGCTTAGACTGGCACTATTATAACGCAACATAAAATCATTGAAAACATTTTTTTATAATTTATCTGCTATGTAAAAAATGGTTATAACTTGCGCTTTTGGAACAAAAATGGCGGCTAGATGGTCTTTGGCATGAAAATGCGTGAAAATGTATGAAATAAAGTCTTTTGCATGAAAAAGCGTGAACTATAGACTTGAATCAAAATACGT